TCAGCTTCCTGAATCTCCTTCAGACTGGGCCCCTTGTGTCCTTCAGCGCCGTGGTCTTTGGCCCAAGGAGCCAGGGGTGGTGGCTGAGCATTGATTGATACGCTGTCAGGAGTTCCGGTCTGAGAACGGTTATACTGCTCAGGTAGGTTTGAACGAGCACGCTGAGCTGTCGGAGCGGGAAGTGGAGTGCCAGTGGACGCAGGGGGAGGGAAAGGCATGGGCATATCGGGCTCTACTGGCTGAGCGGCGGCGGCAGCAGCAGCAGCCTGAGTCTTCTGGACCTGTTGAGTCAGAGACAAGGCATCCTCAGCTGCCTTCTTCCTGGCAGCTCGAGCAGCCTTACCAGTTAGAGCCGGGGCCTCTATGGGCCGTTGGGTTTCTTCAGTGGCTACCTCAGAGGCAGGGGAGGGCTCCTCAATTGGTTCCTCACCGTTGCCCTCGCTATCCTTGGCCGACTTTTCAGCTTCGAACTGCGCTCGGTAGGCCTCGAACTCTTGAAGGCGCTCCTTGAACCCCTCGGGATCTTGCTCCAGGTTATCGGTGTCTGGAAGACCAGCGCGTGCCGCATCAGTGGCAGGGGCGCCAATAGGCTGTGGAGCACCAGAGCCTTGCAGGCCAGCAAGTACCTGGCGTTCGTTATTTGTGAGATTGTTTAGGTCATCATCTCTGAAGGGGTCTCCGTTTCCCGAACCCGATGGCATGGCTGCTTGACTACCAACTGGTCCAGTTCCATCAAAAAAAGCTCCGGAAGGTGGCATAGCACCGATGGGCTGCTGGTGAGGCATTCCGATGGGGTTTGGGGACGAAATGCTACCAAAGCTTGGCTGGCTCTGCAAGCTGTGCGCACTGGAGTGATGCTGGAGCATTGGGCCAGGGAGAGGGAACTTAGACATAGCTTGAGCTCGCATCACAAACTCGCGCTGCTGTACCATGAGATACTGCTCTTCTTGCTTACGTCTTTCCAAATTGTTCTGTTCTTCAGCCGTAAGAGTGCGTCCAAAGCTAGGGAACACACCACTTAAGGGAGGGACCACTCCACTGTTTCCCTGGGGAGAGAAAGGTCCAGCTTGGGTAGGGGGACCATGAGGAATACCAATCTGAGGAACCAAGAATGGCTCTCTAGAGTTCCCTATACGTCGGATGAGCTGACCTAGGGGTTCGAATTCCTGATCCTCGACTTTCTTTACACGGAGGTCAGGGGTGAAGAAGTTCGCCTTGTACCAATCATTCATCTCAAGTCCTGTGAAGGGCCCCTGGACATGTCCAGAAGGATCAAGATATACCCATCTCATGCGATCAGGCATGACCATTGTGCGTTGGGCCTGAGTTGTAGGAGGCTCAGTGCCGCCTTGCCCGCCACCAAATGGCAGACCACCGCCAACGGGAGTAAGGGATTGAGGAGCAGTTGCGGTGGTGGTGGGATGACTGGGTTCCCCAGTGCTAAAGATACCTTGTGCTGGGGAAGTTTCAGGGCCTGGGAAAAGTGCCCCAAACACACCGCGATTAGCTCGCATGGGACTGTCGCCCTCGCGAAGCGGTACGCCAAAGTTTGTTCGGCCAATAGCGCCGAGAGGGTTGCTCTGACGTAGGTCGGGCAAAGAATCGGAGAGACTATTATGCTCATGACTCTGCATCTGTGCCTGCATTGCGGGAGGGAAAAGAGAGCCCATCTTGCTGCCGCGGCCTATGCTTCCTGTCCCAAGACCACCGGCGCCGGCAGGTCCAAAGACATTGTTTAGGTTGGACAGTCCAGGCGACTGGAGGTCACCCAAAGGGCTAAAAAGCGATGCACCAAATGCAGCACCTAGATTAGGTCGCTCACGATCCGGAGTGCCAATTGCAGGATTACCAGAAGCAGGCCAGCCTGATAAAGTGTTCAAAGAAGGGTAGGCCTTGGCGCCAACGCTCGAGGTCTGACTACGATCACCTCCATCATAACCACCAAAGCCACGACCGATCGAGCCGAAGTTCGCAGGGCCATCGTGAAGGCTTGCACCGTGAGTCTTGTCGTCATTGGCATCGTTCTCATCATGGCCTTGTCGCTCAGCAGGAGGACTGCGGTAGGGATTAGTCTCGGAGGGGCTGATAGGGCCTTCATCCCCATGGGATCTGAAATTCAGGCCTGCCATGCCGAAGTCGCCGGCGGATCCCTTGACTGGAGTACCTAGGGTCCCTGCTCGGGTTGCTTGCTGAGACATCCCACCAGCGTCAGTATCCTGAGCTCCGCCAAGAACCGCGCTTCCTGATAGGGTATCATCACCAAATGGATCGGTATCGGTTCGAGGACGAGACCGCCAAGATTGCTGGTTGAGAGGGTTTTGACCCTCAGCTGCCTTGCCACTGAGGTTATCTGAGCTGTCCTTGGGAATGAGATGAGCCAACCTGCTCCCACTAGCAGCACCCCCAACACGTTTGTCACCAACGGCGGGCGAAGTCGGCAGTGCAAAATTACCAAAAGCTCCTACACCAGGTGTCGTCTGGTTGGAGGGTGGCCAGATGGGATTGGTACCCCCAATACCGCCCGTATTGGAACGCATCAGATTTCCAAAAGGAGGGAGTTTTCCAGGAGCGTCACGGAGAACGGCCTCACTATCGGACTCGTCGGCTTCAGCTTCTTTGAGATCGGTTTTGCTGCGCTGAAACCAGTAAGAGGGATCGTCACGAGAGAAGCGATTAGCAGTGGGAGATGCTAAAGCACTTCCACCAAAGGGATTGGATTCGATAGTCTCACGTCGTCGAGTCCCGGGTCGTGTAGCTGACGAAGGTGAACTGACGCCGAAAGTATTGGAAGTGCCCTGGGATAAGGATGCTTTACGTCCATTTGCGCCACCTTGGTGGGCGTCTTTGTTTTGGGTCGGAGGTTTAAGCGGCGAGTTTATCTCATTGAAAGCCTACTAGTGGTTAGCACAAACTTTGAACACCAGCGACAGTGCGGGGGCCGGCGCACCTCCTTCTCCTCCAACGACATATCCTGCAGTCCCATTGGAGTTGAATCTCCAGAATCATCCCAGCACGCGCCAGGTTCCTGTGGAATATGATTGTCGTTGCTTTTACCCCAGCCTCTAGGAGTATGTCCATTGATTTGGCCAGGATTCCACCCCGTGGCAAATAGACGAGTTGGGTCGTCGGCTAACCTTTGTGGACGGTACATCTCTAACAGGTCCTCTTTGGTGTACCGCGCTGGTGGCAGCTCATATGTCGATGGGGACACAGACACAGGGCTTTCGGCGGTGGGGTGCTGAACTGCGTGATCCGTCGAGGGCGGCGGCTGCGAAGAAGGCTGACCCAAGGGAGTTGTAGATGATCGTCGGAAGGTAAGAGTTCCATTGGTAGAACGGCCATCTCTCCTTGCCCTGAGACATAATTAGTGACAGTTCGTGAAAACCAATCTGTAGTTTGTGGAGAATGCATGACAAGTTGTGGCGGGTCGTGCAACTGCAAGAGGCGATTTTGAGATGTTCACACTGGCATACGGTTCACTAAAACCAAGACAAGCACACTCCATATTATTGAAACCAGGGCAGAAGATGCCCCGAGATTCTCAAGCGCCCATCGCGACAAACAAGCCAAGCGCTGTGCAGCATACAGGGCATTGCACACCACAACCACGGGCTACACGCGGGGCATCTGGGGGACACGGTATACAGCACAACATCCACCACGATACCAGGCCCAGCTACTCAAGGCCAAAGGAGGATTTCGAAAAAGCCATTGTCTTTGCTGAAAAACCACAGGGGGAACAAAGCAGTTCAGTGGTAAGTAAGGTGAGTACTAACCAATCTCCAGAAGTAGCTCCTCTTCCATCAGCTCTTCCTCCCCTGGAATTGGCGTTTTGGCCAGCGGCAGCCGAGGCAAAGCTCGAGGGAAGATTGGTCGGCATATTGATTAACAGTTCGGAAGGACGGTAGTGAGTGTGAAACGTCTTTGTCGTTCAAGGCCGAGGGCGCGAATGTCGATGGTAGGTCGATTCGGTATGGATGATACAAGTGACAACTGAGGGGTGGTGACCTGAAGCTGTACTGTGGCTAAAAAAAGGCTTGTTGACAAAATTGCTGTAGCGAACGCGCAACAGTAATGCAAAAAGCTTTAGTTAAAGGTAAGGATACGGGAGCACAAAACGCTGCTTGAAGCGATGGTCCAGAGACAAAGGCGGAGGGCGATGCGGTATGCGATATCGTAAACGATAGTGTTAATTGTTGTGATCGGCGGGGGAGCGCGACGTGAAGGCTTGGTAGATTGATGTTTCTTTTTTCGAGGATCCGACAAGAAGAGGGTTTCGTGTGATGTTGCGGTGGTGATGTAAACGCTGTGGTTTGAGTGACCTTTAAACGGGGCAACGAAAAAAAATCGAGTGGAAGGGTTTTGGGGAACCATTTATCAGATAGTGAGGTACCAAAGTTTACAAGTGGCCATACACTATCCCTCAGGTTACAGCTTACTGGTGGGTTCATCAAATAGCACTGTCCTGGTCATCTAGCCACCTAACTGGCAGCTTGTGATTAGTGGGGTTAGTTGTTACAGCCCGCTCTAAGAACTCAGAGTGGCAGCTACACAGGACTACGGCCGAGAATTTACCGGCATGTACTGCTAGCATACCAGCATATTGAATTTCAGGGCTGGATCCTAAACGAAAATGGGGACAAACTGCAGAAAGCCATTGGAAACTGTCCACTTCGAGTTTTGACATTTTGTCATCAGGGCTTGATCGGGGAACTGGTCGAACTAGATACCAGACTATTGGCTACCAGCCGCATGGGTCAGGGGATTCTATTCGATGCATCGATCAATATCTAACCTCGGTACGGACACCGATTTGAAAATTGGGCTATTCGTCTATTCAATGTGGCAAAGAGCTAGCACTTTACCATCGAAAAATGGTACCTCAAGGTATCTCATGGAACCGTAGGACCACGAAGGGTCACGTGTCGTTACACATTAAGGGACTGTATGACATTCTTAAATGCGGCACGTCACACGCAACACGTTAAAAAGCGCGACGCGTTCTACCTCCCCATGAATCAGAACTTGAAACCCGAATATGGGCTATAGCCTTTGCCAAGTATGCACGCCACAAGACACAATGCTCAGCTATATGTAGACAGACGCCTTAGCTGGAGGGGTAAAGAGAAGGATACTATATCAAGAACAAAACAGTATGAAACTTCTTCATATTTGAAATGTGATACGATCACCGTAAGCCAATTGAAACTTGTAAATAATTCGTCGGCCCTGATCATTGTATATTCCAACGCATTTTTGTATTGTAAATCCCCGTAATAACATTTGCCTAGTTATAGCGTTAGGTATGAACTAATTTCTTCATCCCCCGCTCGAGGCGTGGCGATAGGTTAACTTTCTGAGTCTGCCTCGTCTGACCTGGTACTCAAAGGCTATCTCTACGTCGAGACGATGATTTCACATCATGGCTCCATTAAAGGCCATTGAGTGAGGTGCTAAACTATAACTTGCAGATAATCCGCATTTTGCGGTGCCATTAAGTCCATTCAAAACTATTTGTGTCAGCTTGCACCTTCTAACCTTTCTCCCCGAGACATCTGGCTGCACTCACCCTCCAATGAGAACTATTGATGAGTGTTGATCACTAAATACTATTCAGCGTACTCTTCATGGTGTTGTATCTGAACCCTCGTTGTACAACTGCGGTTAACGCTGGTGTTGGCGATACAAGCAAATACAGATTTGTAAGTTCCAGCATAGCTGTTGTGGTTTGCTACACCCAATAAAAACTTGAGATACTGAGGCGTAAATATCACACCCCAGTTGATACTAACATTGTGTATCTTGAACCTTGACGCTCACTGTCCCCTTATGGACGTGGTATCATGACGCCTGCAAAGCGAGACGCATGCGTTTGGCAAAACTCCATGTGTAGGATGGGCACACAGTCTTTCACATAGTAAGAGTAGGTGGTAACACCACGCCCACCTGAATGCGTCAGTACCCAATTAAGGATACTTTTGCCATCGCCCGATTGATTTGTGTTGATTCGAATGCTCTATGAGCATAAGAGGCAACGATGTCATCCATAACCCCCTGCATGGCCTTGTCGGTAACGTATAATCTCGATCCTGGAAGGCGCTCAAATATTTGACAGAAAGTGTGCTTTAAACTTCTTGTTGGCGCGATCTGCTGCCCTCAACATCATCTGATCTCCGAGAACCTCGCAAGCAAATTTTTTGTTTTGTCCGCTCTCACCATCAGAGGCTCCATCATTAATCGTTATTTCGACTCGAAAAATAGTGCCTTCCTTGGGAACAACTTTCACTCCTCTTTTCTTGGTTATAATCTCGAAGACAAACTTGCGGTCGCGGACGACAACACCTTGAATGCCGACCCGACTCGGGCAATGGCTTCGAACAACTTGAATAGGAGCACCATGAAACTCGGCGCTGGCTAGTTTCGCCGCTGCACTGGGCCCTCCAGTAGAAAGATCGTTCCCAAGTAGCTCTCGAGCATATCCAAGCCACATTTGACTCAGAGGCTCATAGATGTGGTATTTTTGGCCATCCTTAGGTATGTCATGAAGGCCCAAGCTTCGCTTCTCTCGAGAGGATAGTGGCTTGGGTCGCTGCTTTTGCTTTTCCTTTTTATCTTGGCGAGCTTTTCGACGTGCGGCGCGCGCGTTGATTGTGGAAGGCGGAGGAGAGGTTGGTCGCAGGATGAGCGAGCGATGCTGGATCTTTTCCGAGTATATGCGATTCACACTGTCGGGGGAATGCGCTCTGGCCAGCAGATTCTGCGTAGCCTGTTGTGGTGCGCTGGCCATGGTTGATGAGTGACGCCGATAGCTAATTTGTGCATGCTATGTAAAAACTTAACAACCTAGGAAAAAGTGTTGGGCGGAAATATACCGCGATTCCGAGCTTTGTGCAGGCAATTTTCTGGGGAAATGAACGGTCCAAGCTCCTTCCCCTTCCTTCACATGCCGCTCGGTAGAGTCAAATGATGCCTGCCCCACCCGGCCAATCCCGTCCTGTCGCAACTTGGATCTTCCATTCAGGATACCTTACTTGTCATAGTAATGAGCTGCAGTGCATTCAATGCTCTTGTAATCTTTATCATCATAGCCGAAGCTGCCTCGGACAGTGACGTGACTCTGTCACTTTCTTGCGATGAGAAAGAGCGGTTGACTATCAATTACTCGCGCTCTACTCAAGAAGCTTAGCCTTCTCCAAGCCAGCATCCGCCATGTCGCATAACGAAGACGCGGTCGATGCATCGACCAATTCAGCGCCAGACCTTCAGATCTTGGGTGATGAAGTCACCCTTCAGCCCAGTGGCTATGTTGAGTCGCCATCCAAGAATATTCCCGAGGGAAAGGAAGAGGCCTTGATGGACAAGTTTGCCTCATTCCGCTCTGAACCTTTCCAGTAACGTGCCCTACTTCATCGTCGCCGGGTCCATTCTCGCACATATTGCCCTTCTTAAACATATCGACGCAAACTGACAAAACCTACTTCCAGATTCCTTCGCGAAGTGTCATTATATGTATCTGGTCAAGGATGGCGAGCCTACGACCGTGTCATTGGCCAGCCTGTCTTCTACTCCGGGTTCTCGGAAAACATGAAGAACATGGTTCTCTCGGCTCCTCTTCTTCAGCAAAGAATCAGCCGGCTTGCTGAACACCGCGTGGCTGTTGAAGAGCGCGAGGGTATGCTGCCGAGGGACAGCAAAGACTATGGCGCCAAACGAGCGCATCGACTCACCGAGATTGAGTCAGGTCTTCAAGAACTGGCGGAGAAGTGGACTGACGATATGATATGCAAGATGGAAAGCAAAGCGTTTATTCGTGGGGCCTACTATCTGACCACTCAGCTATTGACGCGCGCATATCATCAAGGTATCCATGTTTCCAGTGAAGAGGTTTTGCGCCTGCGCAAGGTGGCTGAGGTCGCAGCCAAGAAGAAACAGAGCATCATCTTCTTACCGAGTCATCGATCGCACGTTGATTACGTCTCGCTGCAGCTCATCTGCTACCGCTTAGGCCTTACGTTACCTGTCGTGGTCGCAGGGGATAACTTGAACATCCCAGTGTTGGGCGAATTCCTTCAGCATGCAGGAGCCATGTGGATTCGAAGGGCGTTTGGTGATGATGTCCTCTACACCACATTAGTCCAATCGTACATCGACACACTACTCCAAGAAGGCTATAACTTCGAGTGCTTCATTGAGGGTGGACGCTCCCGTACGGGGAAGTTGCTACCTCCAAAGTTTGGAATTCTTAGTTTTGTACTCGATAGTATTTTATCCGGGCGTGTTAAGGATGCTATTATATGCCCTGTCAGCACGCAATACGATAAAGTTATTGAGACGGAGGGTTATGTTACCGAGCTACTTGGAATGCCCAAGAAGAAGGAGAATCTTGCTGATTTTCTGAGCGGTGGATCTTCCGTCCTTTCTTTACGCTTGGGTCGCGTGGATGTCAGGTTCCATGAGCCTTGGAGCTTACGAAAGTTCTTGGATGACCAGTTATCAAAACTGCCCAGCGTACCGCGCGGTCTCGATACTGATCATCAACGTCCAGAGGTCCGAGCAGTACGAGAGAAACTTTTACGCACGATGGGCTATCAGGTTCTGAGCGATATCAACGAAGTGTCTGTCGTGATGCCTACAGCACTGATAGGGACTGTTCTTCTGACACTCCGTGGTCGCGGAGTGGGCAAGGAGGAATTGAAACGGCGAGTTACATGGCTCACAGAACGTGTACGTGCGAAAGGTGGGCGCGTGGCCCATTTTGGCAACGCACCTCTTACCGAAATCATCGAACGCGGTCTTGAGGTACTTGGCAAAGATCTCGTTGGCGTGGTCGAGGGTCTTGCTGAGCCTACATACTATGCTGTCGACCGCTTCCAGCTATCATTTTATCGCAACATGACGATCCATCTCTTCATTTACGAGGCGCTCGTTAGTGCAGCAATGTACTCGAGAGTTAAGAGGGGAGGTGGGCCCCAAATGCAAGACATGCCGTTTGACGAGCTGAAAGAACAAGTATACTTTCTTTCGTCACTGTTCCGAGGCGAGTTCATCTTTTCTAGTGAGGGTCTTGACACCAATCTTGATCGGACTCTGCGAGGCTTGGAGGCAGACAACGTTATTAGGATTGACCGCGACACAGAGGGCAACGTCACAATGGTTGGTCTTGCGGACCAGGAGAGAAGGGCTGGAAGAGAGAACTACGATTTTTACTGCTTCCTTATATGGCCTTTCATCGAGGCCACTTGGTTGGCAGCAGTCTCTCTTATGGGTCTTACTCCCCCCCTAGGCCAAAATGGAGAGATCTGGATTGAACAAGGCAAAACACACAACAGCGCACAGTTGGTAAGTCTTCATACGCATGTTTCACTAGGTCATGCCGTCGTGTTTCCCATCATTCACTGTGCTCACAAAACATCTAGCTCGGCAAGACACTTTATCATCAGGGTGATCTCTCGTATTTTGAAGCTGTCAATAAGGAAACTCTGAAGAACTCGTACACACGCTTCGAACAAGACCAACTCCTCCACGTTGTTAAATCAAAAGACTCCAAAATTCCTCCGCGCGTGCAGCTCGACGCCTCCTGGCGAACTCCTCGCGATCCCAAGACTGGCGCGCTGCTAGCGGAAGGCAAACTTTGGGACTTTACCGAGAAGATTGCCAAATCACGACGTGAAGGCAAAAACCGTCGTGATGGCGCCACGGTTAGCAGCCGTGTGCTCCGACTTACCGATGAGCTCGGCCGTAAACTTTGGGAGGAAACAGTGGAAGGTGAACGCAGCGGAAAAGGCAAGGTCCCTAGCAGATTAAACAATGAAGAGAAGGAAGCTTTCGGCAAGAGTATAAGGCAAGTTAAGAAGAAGAGAGAGGAGAGGGCTCGGGCTCATCTTTAAGCCATGGGAGAGTCCTGTCCAGCATATCTTCGAAGGGCCATCCCCGACCAGCCTTTTGGTTGAGTGGCCTTGTGGAGCTATAGCAACACATTTGGCAACTGATACGAATTTATACATATATATCCAGTCAATACAATAGCATGCTTCCTATCTAGCCCTGGAGCAAGAAGACTTCAGACCCTGAGATAGGATGTTAAGATAAACTTACTAAAGTGCTACCTTAAACTTATACTAACTTACTTAAATCTTTATATCGCTTAGGATCGAGGTTCTACGTTTTCTTACCTCCCCTAGCTAGCCCGATGTTATAGGCTCGTTTTTTGAACAGTCGAGGTCTGTTCGGGTATACTTTTTAGGTTTCATTTCTCATATTACCAGCGTCTATGAATCCTTAGGCTCTTGGGGCTTGAGGATGATATTGTCTATCAAACGTACCGCTGGACCTCCACTGAAGCCCAGGTCCTCGCCTTTCTGAGCCTGCTCCACTGGTAACATCTTAATCGCTGCGCTCATAACAGCTCCGCGCGATGGATCAACCTCATCGATTTCCACTAATGTTTCTGGATCTGCCAGAGATATGTAGTCGACCTCGAAGAGCACACGTTCTGTGGGAGGAAGCGTGGATTGGCGGGATGCCGTAGCATCGATAAAATTGTGTGCGGCGCCAAGAATATCTTCTCTCTTGCGCGAAGCCTTAGTGTTGTATACGTCGGCAGCGGTAAATAGGGCATGGGGAAGCACTGTAGCGACAGCTCTTCGTCTTGGTCCAAGATACACATTCCGAGAACTCAAAGCAAGGCCATCGAGTTCACGTTGTGTGGGTTCAACGACAACCTCCATGGGCAGGATGAAATCCTTAACCATTCGACGGATGACAACTGTTTGTTGGACGTCCTTCTGACCAAAGTACACACGCTCGGGCTGGACAATGTTGAATAGCTTTAAGCACACTGTCGCAACACCTCGGAAGAATGTTGGTCTGCTGGCACCCTCCAATACTTCCCCAACGGGCGTGATTGTAACAAAGCTTCCTTTACTATTAACTTCCTGGCCTGGAAAGCCGCTGGGGTACATCTCTGGTGTCGTTGGCGCAAACACAGCAGAGATGCGACCCAAGTTTCCTCCATCGTCTGCAAGTTCTCTATCCAGTGCAGCCAGCTTCTTTGCGTCTTCATCCCAGGTGACTGGATATGATGATAGGTCTTCTTTTATGCCAAATTGCGCCGGATTGACATATATGCTCACGACAACATGATGATTCTCCTTGGCAGCGGCGCGTATCAACGCCAGATGGCCCTCGTGAAGAGCGCCCATAGTGGGCACGAGGCCGACTGATCGGTGATTCACGACATGAGGGTTACGCCAGCGACGGACAGCTTCAACGGATCGGAGAACACGGATCGGAGACTTGGCCAGGGTCTCGAGGCGGGAGGAAGTCGAGCAAGAAGAAGCCGTACGGATGAAGGTCGCAAAGGGCGGGCGATGTCGGAGGAAGCGTAGAGGAAGCATTGTGTTGACAATTCGAATATTCAAGAGGTAAGAAATAAAGAAAGAACGAAGATTTCAGTCAATGCTGAAATATACCATCGTTAGTGGGCGCAGTAAACTCTCGTGATGGTTTCTGCCGCGGAGTTTTGAGGACGGTTCGAGTCGGAATTCTTGGTGGAGTTGGAGATGGCTGGGGTAACTTTTTTGGAGTTGACGTTGGGGGAATGTGAAAGGCGGTTACCCTGTACCCACACCACTTGCTTCAAAATGCAATGCAAAGCGACATCGACTACGTTAGTGATACTCAATGGATATCAAGTCCGACAAATTTTTTTGACTCTAATACATATACTCAAGACTCTGTAATTATTATTAATGACTAGATGAATCGTAGATATCACTTCACGTTGGGAGTGATAAGTCTTGAACATATTAAATCGCTTCTCTCGGCTTTTAGACGAAGGCGTCTAGAAGCTGTTGTGTAGATATCGACAAGTAGTCTTAAAATATCTGGAAAGAACATGACAGACGTAACATGGGGAACTGATATCGTGTTCATTAGAATACTGGGTGTTGGAAACGGCCGATCAAAGGTAAGTAAAACATTATCTATATTATTGAGACGTCTAAAATAGGAGATTGTCTTGGCTCCGATCATAACCTGGCCACCATTCTATGTGTTGAAATCCAAGGCTCAACTTGGGCATTCATTGTCCATCACGACCCGTAAGGCGGTCTTCTCAAACTTATACCCTCCATACCCACGATTCTATCACATCAATGAAACTTCAAAGGGAGGGGAATTCTAAGCGGCACCGCCAGTAAGGTTCTCAAGCTTAAGCTTGTTCCAGCGAGTGAGCAAGCTGATCAAGAATGAGAAGCCAGTAAAGGCAATAGCCATGGCGAAGACGATATGTAAGCCCTTCATGTAACCGTCAATGACGATAGGAAGTTCTTGAGAATTGAAGGATTCACGAAGAGCGGTAGCTCCAGTGAGAATCAATCGTCCCTTGCTGATTTGAGGAGCATTCTCGCCAATATTGAGGAGCATCTGGTTGACAAAGGCAGCCTGCCCCGCAGAGACGATATAGGCACCGCCAAGACCCTGGAAGACTATATACAGTTAGCTATTTGTTCTCGACGAACACCAGCAGAGAGAACTTACATAGAAGAATACCGGTAGCAGAAGCAAGATCCTTGGGGTCAACAGTACCCTGGACAGCAATCATGGGAATCTGGAAGGCAACACCCCAGCCGACACCAGCAATGATTTGGTAGCCAATCCACTTTCCAGTAGAAGTGTCAACATCAAGGAGGTACAACAGACCAGCACCAACAGTCGCAAGGGCAGCACCGCCGATGAGGAGAGGCTGGTAGAAGCCAGTAGCAGTAACAAGACCTCCACTGATAATAGTGGCGAAAGTGACCGCGAGAATAAGAGGCAAGTTACGAACACCACTGCTGGTAGGAGAAGCGTTGTGAACAGACTGGAAGTAGATGGGGATGTAGTAGATGGCGAGGAAGAAAGAACCGGCAAAGATGAAAGCAAAGGCGCTCATAACCCAGACGGTGCGGTTCTTGAGGATGCGGACAGGAATCATGGATCGCTCACCCTGAACATAACAGGAGATGGCCCAGACGATGGAGATGGCGACCCATCCAACGAGCAGACCGATAACAACAGAGGAGTCCCAAGCGTGAGCCTGTCCTCCGTACTGAACAGCGAGAATATACGAGATGGTGAGGCCCATCATCAGAACAATTCCAAGGGGGTCCATCTGAAGGAACTTCTCAAGAAGAGGGGCCTTGACGGGAATAGCAGCACGGGGAGTCTTGAAGAACAAGAAGATGATGCCGGCAGAGAGTCCTCCGATGGGGAGGTTGATGTAGAAACACCATCGCCAAGAGACGTGATCAGTGAAGGCACCACCAAGGAGAGGTCCGATGACACTAGCGATACCGTAGGCGGCACCAATGATACCAGTGAAAGCAGGTCGCTTCTTAGGAGGAGCAGAGAAACCGATGATGGTGTAAGCGCCAGCACCTAGACCAGCACCGCCAACGCCGGCGATGGCTCGACCAGTGATGAGGGCTTCGGCATTGGGAGCGGCACCGCAGATGACAGAACCGAGCTCGAAGATGAGAATGGCGACGATGAAGGATGTCTTCAGGGGGAAGTACTTGTAGATTTTACCCCCTTTGATAATGTTAGCGACAAGTTTGGGGAAAAAGGGGCTAAGGCTTTGTGACTTACAAGTTGACTGGAAAGCACCGACAGTCATGAAGAAAGCAGCACCATACCATCCGACCTTGTCAAGACCCTTGAACTCATCAGTGATCTTGGGAATAGCCGTTGCCACAATAGTCTATTGCACCCTCCATATTAGCTCTCTGAATGTTGGCTTGTGATGGAGGCGTGACTTACCAAGTCAAGGGAGAAGAGAAATACTGCCATGACAAGAGCAAGAACAATGAAGAACATGTTAATGCCGGTAGGATATTCATCTTCGTCAACCTCATCACTGTCGTTGTTACCTGAGACTGTGCCGGCCTCAACATCTTCATCCTGTTTCCCCTCCTTCTTCTCCTGAACATCCTCTCCTCGAAGTGTTGAAGTTGTAGACTCGGGGCGATCTGTGGTCGCAGGGACCTCGAGCTTTTTTGGTTCGGCAGACATGGCGTCTGATTTTCGTTTACCTATAAGCTTAAGCCTATAGATCGTGTTGAATTAAGCTTATATCGAAGTTTCTGACCCTGAGAAAAAGGGGTAGATATTGTATAAGTGCTCGAAAGCTGGTCTCAATGCTCTGAAAGACTGACACATTTTGGTTGACAGCGAGATACGACTATCTTTATAACCTACGAGAACAATGAGATAATCTCATCTCACTAACTGTCTGACTTTTCTGGTCCCAGGAGTTAAGCTCAAGGCCCTGCACAAAATCCGCCCCAAGCATAACGATATCGCATCACAGTGCTGCGCATAGTATGGGCTGTCAGCATAACGGCCGGGCATAAGACAAAGCAACCAGCCAGTAAAGAGGCTGCGGAGTGGCGGACTCCACCACATGTCCGCGCCTACACCCTCCATGATGATATCTCGTAAGCCCAATTGGGCTTGAACCAGCCAAGACTCCGACGCTAACAATGAAACGCTCGCCAGTACCTGCGGACATCTGAATGAGCCTTAATGACGGGGCCTTGCTCATACTCATTCTGAAGTGCACGATGTTTTAGCTTATGGAGCGTTATTGTGCCGAAAATGAGCTGCATGTTTGTGGCGTTGATGGAATCTGAAACTATCTGTGACAATATTGGTCCGAACAGGCGGATAAAAGACGCTGTTTCCAAATAAGCAATCTCAAAAGAGGATAAGTTGTGATGATAGAGCCAATTTATGCCACGTGTTGTTGTTGTTGTTCACTATGAGAAGATTCGGTGTAAGTCGATATCTTGTCAAGGATCTAGGTTATCCGTCCTGTTGGGATCGCTTACACGGAGACTTGGCCCGAAGTCAGTTAACCTCATAGTGGTCCCGCATAACGCTTGGCATAATCTTCGGTTTGAAACAACAGCATCTCAACACTGAGATGGAGAATTTTGCACGCACGAGAGGGTCAGATAATGTCAATTTGATGACTCACTTGACCGAGAAGGGAACGATTAAGTGCCTAATTAGCCAAATAAGACGTAATAAAATATCGCCAACTCAAGTTTACCAGCTAAGAAGCACAGCCAAACTTGAATACGCGGAGTGTACAGTAAGATCAAGTCTGACGGCCCTTCGGTAGCCCCGGAGTTAAGACTCATAGGGAAAATGATGCTGCATCAGGGACTGCAAGACACCAAGGGTCTCGGATTTAGCCCACGTTTGTTGGCATCATCTTATCTCACCCGTCAGCATCCTGCTGGGAGAATCTTGCAATACCAGTCCTATCAAAGCGCCTAAACACCCAACGACCTAGAGGCTAGAGGTGATGATTCTCCAGGAATTGGTCGCAGACCCTAGGCATACCAAGAACAGAGTCGAGGGTGATCACCCGCCAGTCACATCATTTGCGTGCCTCGTTTCTTATCCGCGGACAAGTCCTCGGTGGTTCTTTGTTATTGTAAGAAAGGGATGAATTGTCATTCCGCAATCGTGTTCACGGACGAATGACGGACCATGGCGGACCAAAGCTGGCGGAGTTTGCAAGTGCAGATGCACTGATATGAGGCCATATCCAAGCGGCTCTGTTGGTATTGGAGGGCCAAGCTTTTCTGCTGACGAAGCCACAGAGGGGTTGGTTGGAGATCATCTTGGAACCGACCTTAAGAGGGGTAGTTTCTGATAAATAAGCTCTTCAATGATCAGAATCTGATCTCACATGTCGGAGACTTTGATCGGAGACTTTGGATTCGATAATGATGGCGGCTAAAGTCGACATTGGTAAGATGGTGTTGGAATCAACAGGATGAGGTGATATGTTAATACGTCTTTTCGGAAAGGAATTTATCCCTACAAAACAAACAGTCTTTTTGATATATCGTTGAGACCGACGTGAAGATCCTCTCGATTAACATCCATCCCAGCTTCAACTTGACAGGCAGCCTTGTGGGGCATGATACTCTCCAGGACAACTGCTCGACATCTTGGCCACTATACCATATGCGGTGAGTTATGCGGTCCGGGAATGATGCCGGTCCATGAATTGGCGAGAAGACACTGTACGAACCGATACTCTCAGCAACACATAGGATCTTTTGACGGCTAATTCAAATGGCAGAATAAGGTAGTGAAGTAAGCCAACCCTCCATCACCAGAGAAGCGCTTATAACATCCAGGCGCATCATAACCAGAGAGAGCTCACCACCAAGTCAATTGACTTTTCATAATCCCCAACCTCGGTAGCTGCTATCGATAAGAGCTGTCATGATCGCCAAGCTGGCCAGGCTGGCTCGCCTCGCCTCGCTTCGTGTCTTTTTACCTGATCTGGGCAATAGTCCAACTAAACTCAATCAGTAAGGTCTAAGCGGTTTCATGACGTTGAACCACAGCTCCAATTGCCGGCCCCTCAATCATCCGCCGGCGGCGTAGATGACCTTTACCGAAACGAGGCAAAGGATTGCACATTTGCCAGAGCTTCTGAAGCTTATCAATTGCTCAAGAGAGTAACTCTCGAGGCCATTGACTGTGGGGGATGCAGGTGATACAGTTGAGAAACAGATACAGTACATACTTACCTAGCTAGACTCAAGTTGGAGGTGTTGGGTTGGATTGGATCCCGAGCTACCCCTCTCAAGCCTCCAGTCTCCAGCCATGTCTCTGAGGAGCTATAAGAAGATGGGCGCTGCCCTTGCATCGAGACTTCCACTCGTTGGTTTCTGTCGTTCAGTGTATCCTGCTCTATCTCGACCCTCAACACAATCGCTGTGTCGACTCTCATTATCTCCTCTTGGCCGATCTATCACAACTACACAGAAACGCTTCAGCAACATGTCGGACTTGTTCGTGAACCTCGAGGCCCCCAACGGCGTCAAGTATAAGCAGCCGACCGGTCTCTTCATCAACAACGAGTTTGTTCCTGGCTCATCGAAGCAAAAGATTACATCCATCGACCCTGCGTGAGTAGGCTTCTCTACAGTCTTCGAAACTCAAGCTAATATGATATCCTCCCAGCACCGAGAAGGAAATCGCCACAGTTCACGCAGCCAGTGCCGACGATGTAGATAAGGCTGTGAAGGCCGCCCATGCCGCTTTCCATGCACCCTCATGGAAGAAGATGCCCCCTCCTCAGCGAGGCGCTCTTATGAACAAGCTCGCCGACTACATTGAGGAGCGCACACAGATGTTCGCTACCTCTGAGGCCTGGGACAATGGTAAGATAGCACTACCAAACGCTTGATTTACGAATCACTGACACAATGCCAGGTAAGATTTACGCCGATGCTGAGGGCGGCGACGTTGTCGAGGTCATCAACACTATCCGCTACTACGCCGGCTGGGCCGACAAGATCACGGGACAAACCATCACCGCCAACCCCAACAAGCTCGCATACACTCTCCGCCAACCCCTCGGTGTAGTCGCCCAGATCATCCCCTGGAACTACCCTCTCGCCATGGCCGCCTGGAAGATCGGTCCTGCGCTAGCATGCGGTAACACCATCGTTATGAAGGCCGCTGAGCAAACACCACTAAGCATCCTTCTCCTCGGTCAGGCTTTCAAGGACGTCGGATTCCCTCCTGGTGTTTTCAACGCTCTCAACGGTTATGGTGGCGAGGCCGGTCCTCCCCTGGTCCAGCACCCTCTTGTTGAGAAGGTTGCCTTCACTGGCTCAACTGCTACGGGTGCTAAGATCATGGAGATGGCCTCCAAGACCCTCAAGAACATTACCCTTGAGACGGGTGGCAAGTCGCCTCTCTTGGTCTTCTCCGACTGTGACCTCGATGAGGCTGTCAAGTGGTCACACATGGGCATCATGTCCAACCAGGGCCAGATCTGCACAGCCACTTCTCGCCTGTTGGTTCAGGACAAGGTCTACGACGAATTTGTCCAGAGATTCATCGAGACCACCAAGACTGTCAGCAAGGTCGGCCACCAATGGGATTCCGAGACCTATCAGGGTCCCCAAGTCTCTCGACAGCAGTACGACCGTATTCTTGAGTATATAAAGATTGGAAAGTCTGAAGGCGCTACTCTGCTCGCTGGTGGCCAGCCTGTCGATGCCTCCAAGAAGGGCTTCTTCGTCCAGCCCACCGTCTTCGGCGACGTGCACCACCAAATGCGAGTCTTCCGCGAGGAGATTTTCGGCCCTGTCGTTGTCATCACCAAGTTCAGCAGCGAAGAGGAGGCTCTCAAGCTCGCCAACGACTCTACATACGGTCTTGGCGCAGCTGTCTTCACCAAGGACGTCGAGCGCGCGCACCGCGTCGCTGCTGAGATCGAGGCCGGTATGGTCTGGATTAACAGCACACAAGACAGCGAACCCTACATCCCCTTCGGTGGTGTCAAGCAGAGCGGTATCGGTCGTGAGCTCGGTGAGGCTGGCCTCGAGGCGTACAGCAACACAAAGTCCGTACACGTCAACCTTGGTTCTCGTCTGTAAGCTGAAAAGTGTGTGAAACTCTGAGCATATGACAGGGGTCTGTGGAATAGGAGTTTGGGCGTATTATCGTCGTATTTATGAAGGATTATTACAAATACCAGGATGCACCAATGACCAGTCAATATTGCGCTAAAGTACGCTGTTATTGAGCCTTGTGAAACTGATTTGAGGCGAAGTCTTAGTTATGAGCCCACTGATCTCCGCTTGTGAGGCTACAGTATGGCTTTGCCCGTCGTTGCCGCCCCTAGTAGTGATACACGTCATAGCAGCTTTAGAAGCCCTGTATACAGTGACTGACTGCACGCGACAGCTGCATTATTTAGTTCCCTATTTATTTCATTGAATTTAGTCCTAATCAATCTATCATCCGTTATCGATCATCACAATATCCAAAAATGTCGGCTCTGCCTCCACCCAACTATTCCGACTTGGAGTTGCCCTCCTACGATACCACTGCTGCTCCCAACTACACAACCCCCACCACTATAACCCGCCCTAAAGATTCAATTCTCGGCCCTGCAACGCTCTTCATCGCAGGACGCTTCATCTACTCGACCGACCCCCAAGACCCTCCACTCTACGAATTCTCCCACGACATCAGCTACCTCCACGATAACGATCGCAATGTCAAAGTCGAGCGCATAGATCCCGTTACAAAGACATCCGCCGGTCTGCCCCAGGTCGTGCTAAAAAACCGGCACCTATTCGATCTCAAGCATCCCACTGCTGCCGAGTTCCCGTCTTTTCCGTACCATGCCGAAGCTACCTCACAACGAGCGCTGACAAGCTTTGGGGTGTCATGTTTTCGCTCCGGTAATATTCTGCGACAGCTCAAAGGCTTTCGGTTCGAGCGGATGGTGAGAGGGCCAGGTCGTAAGTTTCGAGCTGATGGTGTACTGTACGAAGCTTGCGAATCGCGGAGTAAAGGCGTCGCATACGAGTGGAGAGACTGCTACAGCGACATAATAGCGAGAGAAATCCAGGATGAACAAGGCCATATAAGTCTATTCGTTACAGCAGAGATGACCCAGGAACTTCGCGATGCGCTCGTTACCGCGTGGGTGATCAGGATATGGTCCGAGTTGTCAAATGGAAACAAGTCGGCGACTCGTCTAATGATGGTGGGCTCTCGTCCATAAAATATTTCAAGTGTACGGTTCTCGCTTATGTCAGTCACAGACAAGTGCGGCACGCGGACAGAGGATGTTGGGAGTATGATCGTGAGTGCATCTATGGCTTATGCCAGGATATACAATGCTGACGGCGCAATTAGACGTTTGACGATACCATGAACTGACCGTATTTTGGATCCAAGTTATCAGCGTTGTTACTTTTGCTTTTGCACGTTTATTTGAAAGTCAGGTTGGCCCATTTCGATCACATCTCGTCAAGAGATGCTCCCTTCCCGCTTCACAGAGCAGGACGGAATTTGCTATGAATCCATCTAGCGAAGCGGTATCCACTGCAAGATCTGGTTTACATAGCTAATAAATATCCCATAAGCTAATCTTGCCGTCTTTCGCACCTACTGCGATCCAATGTGTTTTTCTCGCTATAGCTATCCGTTGCTCTTTGACGCTGAGCCCTGTTCGGATCAACGAGCCCGTCGGCGTGTTTGAACTCCCCGTGGCTTTGTTATCGTTAGACGTAGAGTTTTCTTCCTCCGTTTGATCCGATATCCTAACATCAGCGAATGTAACGGCGTAGCATCCGACTTGATGCCACTTTAACACAGCGAGCTCTTTCATGGTTTTTGTAGAGTACACTCGCACTTTAGAATCCCATCCTGCAGTAGCAAAGATTCTTCCATCGGATCGTATGTCTAGACTCTGTTGTCCGGAGTGCTTGGTGTTGATAGCTTTGAGCGGATCTTTCCACGCAACGCCCTTACGGGGAGGCTTCAGCCCCTGTGACGATGAAGACGTCAGGCCAGCAGATAGAAGTGACTTTCCCTTAGATTCTTCGTCTACTATCTCTACTACACGCTTGGTGCTTCCAGGAGGTACAGTGTCGTGCAGAGGAAAGAACAGATCGGTAGGAATGGGATGTTTGGCGATGATAGAGTCGGCGCTGGACGTGATGAAAAAGTCGTTATAGACGCTCAGCGACAGGACAGGTTGTGAATGGGCCTGGGAATGGTACGCTGTGACCCATTGGTCGTCGGACTCAAGACGGTGCACAGTTGCGTAACCATTCTCAAAGGCAGCAATGAGCGTGAGAGCGTCTTTGTGATGCAGGAGAGCAAGGCACATGGCCATGCCCGTTTTATCACCAGCTTTGATTGTATGAATCCGTCTTTGTGAAGGCAATTGGTAGATGTCGATCTATGAATATCAGCCCTGGTCACAATGTGGTAGAGGTTCTCCATACAGCGTCTGAGTGCAAAGTATTAGGCACCGCGATCAGCACCTCAGAGGCGGTAGCGACGGAGCCAGGCGCACTTGAACAAATGGCGAAAGCACAGAAATTCAAGGTATTGACCTCAAGGAGATGTAGCATCCATGGTTGCGGTCTTGGTGTTGCCACTTCTTCCACTGGCAATGCTGTGCTGAGATGCTCCTCATCTGCCTCGCCAAGTTTCCACACTATGAGCTTTAAATCACGACCATGCCTGCAAACTGTTGTCAGTAAATCCATTTCCCAGTCATTACTGATTTTAAAGAGAGCAATTACGTGATGATTTTGTCGTCACCCCAGCCGCCAACACCCAATAGAGCCTTTTCGTGAGGGCGCCAAACGGCTCGTGGGCGCATTATTGTGAGGTCCCATAGCACCACGAAGCCATCCGCATCGCCAGTAATGAGGCGCTCATTGGATCTAATAAATGCTGCCGTGTGAACTTGAGATTTGTGTCCGCGCAATATGGATTTTGGTGTCGGTGTTGAAGGATCCATGTTGTTGATGAGTATGTGTAGTCATGGTAAGGAATTGAAAGCTGCTTAAGTTGGGTTGGTTTTCTAGAAGTCGCTGTGGGACAATCATCGTATGAAGCCCAGATCTATGAACATTAGCCTGTCGGCCATGTTAAGACTGATGAATAATCCATTTAACCACATCTCAGAGAGCATATCAGTTGTACAAAGAGTTTGATTCTATCCTGAGTTGTTTCGGACGAGATCTAGGGTGGCAAATTCATTGCTGGGCCATTGCCAACATAGCCTGGCTGATCGATACGGACAAACGGATCAGCGAATTAATTTCTAAACACTTAGACTACATGGTAGTCTAGGTATCTACAATCTAGGTACATAGCATCATGCAGGAACAAATTTTATATGTCCCTAAAAAATGTTATATATTTCATACTGGAAACATCTCAAGACTTTCTTGAGGTCGTACTCTTATGTGCTACCATTGGTTGTCAAGCTATTTTGGGCTATTGCTTTCGTCCTACCTATATCACTTACAACCGAATTTCCAAAATTGTTGTATATTTCGGGCGTACCCGTGCCACTCAAATCGTGTAGCTCACTCGCATCGTACATCGTCTGATGGGGCTGACTCTTGCCGTAGGAAAAGACATCGTGGTGCACGAGCGACATTGACAGCCGATTCAATAAGCGAAGCCTGCGGATGGATGGAAGCCATGTTCGATCATAACACGAGCATCCCTCTCTTCCGGATTCCGGTAATTTCAGGCATTGGCATGTAAGCCGAGTTTCATCAATCCTGGGCGCCACATGTGTAATCCATACATATAACACTGGAGTCATACGTGACAGTCAAATTCCCTCAAGGAATCAACTTCAGCTTTGTCCTATAAGCTCCGTCGCCAACTTTGGTGGATAGTCTTGCACGCATCTGTCATGCAGGTTGAGCCATATGGCCGGACACTTGACTCTTGTAGCGTCCAGCATCATCATGCCTCTTTTAGCGCATACTCCTTTCTGTTCTTAATAATAAGACAGGACAGAACTGAAATTGAACACAGACGCCATCCGGTGTAATGGTCTCAGTACCAGTCAGCCTGCTCTCCGAATCACAGCCGAGAGAAGAGGCTACTTGTACTCGCACGACAGCCGGAGTACGCTCCGTGATTATTGGCTTGCGTACCTTGGTTAAGGTGATGGTATTTCGCCATATAACCGTGATGTAGCGCTCGGAAACTGGCGGGCACATCCAGCTGTTAGAGAAGCTCAGACACCTAATGCTGACCGACATCGATGCACTCTTGAATTTATATTCATCAAGTCCCGTCCGGTTCATTCTCTTGTTCATGGTCGTCCATTACCACACCCCGCCTTATCGCTCCTAGTCCTTACTCCGACTGTGGAGCCACAACGACAATCCCGAACCTGCGACGGTTTTCTATACCGAGCCCGGGGTAGGGAAACCGGACCAGAAGCCGTGGCCTGGCCCAAGCAATGATTTCATTCCATGCTTCCGTTCAATCTTCTAGAATCTTTCGTCTTGTAGGTGGCCGGTCATCTGGCCTCAAATGTAACAGCAAAAGCATTCATTCTGCAACACCAAAACTCCAAAGCTGTGCCGTCTACTTCAGCATTCTGAACGGGAAATCCCACACCACTGCCCTGGCCTCCTATAGAGAGCCAGGTAGGTTATAGTGTCTGCTCAAACAAGCCCCCATGACATCGCCGTTCTTGGTGTCAGTTTCGGTGCGGCGATGCAAAATGAAGACTCCAATGAAAGGCAGACAATGCCGTTCCCTGCGGAATGGCAAGGTTATTCACCAGGACCCTATGCGACCGACAACAACCTCGACTTTGAAATGTTCGATCTTGAAGTTCAGCGGCATTCAGATATGGGGGCGACACCGATCTCCGAACCTCCGAACATCAGCCAAGACCCTACAGGTCTATCCATGGAAAATCCCAGAGAGATGACTATTCAAAGTCCCATGCCGACGTCAAATCCGACTCCAGTCAAAGGAAAAAGAGTCCGAACAGGATGTCTTACATGCCGTGAGAGACATCTCAAGTGTGACGAAGCCGTGCCCGATTGCATGAACTGCCGGAAGCGAGGCCGTGAATGTAAGAGAGGAGTACGTCTTAACTTTCTGGAAATCAACCTCCATCGGCCTACTGCTACACCAAGTCCTGGAGGCTGGGAAGGTACGGAGCTTCCGGTCGAGATGAATGATTTGTGCTAATCGAGTCGTAGTCGAGTTCCAAGATGAATCGCGAGACATTGCTTCAGAATATCAGGGCGGACTTGGACGATATGCGCCGTACGCTTCTGAAATTGTCGACGATAGCGATGACCGGCAAGAAGTGGTGAATTCAGTCACCGCAACTAATATCCAAGATATAGATGCATCAGCTGATAGACTTCAACCTGGTTCGCAACATCGTTTCAACTATACTCAGGATAACGCCACAGCCAAACCTTCAGAAAATTCAAGATTCAAAGCAGACACCGGTATCAAGCTTGAGCTTAACGAGAATGAACATGGGACTCTGAGCGACGCGTCCCATATAGCCACACCATCGTCATCGACAAAGGCTGTTGTGACCCCACGAGCAGAAGTATTTCCAGAGCAGCTCATGGCAATGAGGAACCGTCCTCTGGCACAGCAAACGTCAACTGAAGAGGTCGAAAACTTGGTGATACCCAAGATAGACACACCGCCTCGAATAGAAAGACCGCTTGTCGAACAAGTCTTCCAGGATGACCATGTGCAACCTTCAGCAACCCAAAGCAACGAACCGGTGGGCCGCAACATATTGACATCAGCCGAAGAAATTCATTACATGCAAGTCTTTGTCGAAGAAGTTGCTGTTTGGATGGATTCGTTCAACCGGGAGAAACATTTCACCCGAAGCATTCCGTATCACGCTCTGAGGTCGACAATGCTCCTCAATGCCCTTCTTGCATGTGGTGTCAAACATACTTCTCTGGCTGCCCCTGAGAATCATGACAAAGCGCTGTTCTACTACAATACCGCAACCACGCAGCTTCTTCGAAGCCTCCAGAACCCTGATCGAAATACCGCCGAGTGTGCCACGACAGCGATCGTTCTGAACGTATACGAGATTATGTGCGAAAAGCCTGCCCAGCGTATGAGCCATATAGCAGGTTCGCGAGCCCTTGTGCGAGAATGTGGATGGGATGCCAGGAGTACAGGGATTGGACTGGCCTGCTTCTGGCTGAACATAGGGATTGAAGTTCTCAATTGCCTGGCAACAAATTGGCAGACAACGTGGAGTCCCGACGAATGGGGAATGAGTCTTGGGTCTCGTAACAATAACCAGGGTGACGAGGACGAGGACGAACAAACCTGGGTACACCGTGCGCTCTACATCATTGCAAAGGTTGCAAACTTCCGAGCGACTGCGTCACGATCCGATGAGATTAGTTCCCAAAACGAACAAATGTGGGTAAGAAATCGTCTTTCGCAGTGGCATGAGCTCAGAAACCTCTGTGATGGTTGGAACATCCATTGCCCGAGAAAGATGCGTCCCTTTGGTTATGTAAAAGCGGAAAAATCGACAAGCAAATCGCTATTTCCTGGTATATGGTACGTGAAATATCATCCCAACTGCTGAAGCATGTGGTTAATCCGTGCTTAGGATGATCCAGCGGGAGGCAACAATTGGCCAGCTGCTTTCACACACTGCGCATTGTATCCTTTCACAGACACACCCCCTGGAATCTCCAGCGTCTTCAGAGAGGCTGCGATTCTTGCAGCTGCAGCATGCCTATCAGGTCTGCGGCATTGTCGCCCACACCACAGACAAGGGGGTTGCTATAGTTGCGATCCGTTGCTTGGCAATTGCAGCTGCTGTGCTAACGAATCCAAACGAGCAAGATGAGGTCCTCGAGATCCTTGATAGGTTCAATAGCACAAATGGCTGGCGCTTGGGTGCCGTCGAGATGGAGCTCAAGAGAGAATGGGGTTGGGAGCGTATGAAGATGCCCACCTCGAGCCCGAAAACAGAGAACAGCCAAGATTCGGTAATATCAGCGGCCCGAAGAGCCTCCATGTCTTTGACGCCGTCGAGAATTTTGACACCGCCTGTCATGGGCCCGGCGGGAACGAAACCACCAGTCAACCCATTGAGCTTCGCCGATTTCAGGCTACCCAACCATCCGTACCAGAATTGGTATGAGCCACCAAGTCGATCGAGCTCGTTCGATCCACCAACATCGTAGGGACTCAAAAGCTCACAGAACGTACCTAGTTGACAAGGAAAGCCCTGTCATGCCAAAAGTTGGAAGATGAGATATTTATGGCGAATAAAGGGTAAAATAGACGGCGTTGGGATATCTATTGCTTTTGTCTATATTGCGGGAATTGGAGTCTTGTTTGTCGGTTCAATAGAATGTCAGGGCAGATTCTCTGATATGTTCACGGAGCGCGTTGCGTCGTTCAAGAGCTTCCCCCAGGCTGAAAATTCATACTGTAGCCTCCGGTCTTCTCGTCCTTGACCATCTGGAAGTTGTTCGTGCTCAATCCAAATGGCTTCAAGATGCCGTTTCCAAGATCTTTCAGCTTACCCCACATCTCACCCATCTCTTTCTCTTGTGCTGCTTTGACGCGAGGAGGTAAGTCTCGTAATTGCTTCCGAACTACTCGAAGGTCTGCCGGGGCCAAGCTTTCAGGTTTGGCGGCAAGTGCCTTACAGTCTTCTTCTGCACCAGCAAGATTATGCCAACCGCCAGCCTCTGAACGACCGCGGGCTCTTCGCATGAGAGCTTTGCATCGAATGCGTTGAATATTGGCCTGAAGTGCCTTGAGCTCCCCATCGTCTGCACTGGGTACTGGAGCGGCACGTGAAGCACCACTGCTGATTATCTCCTCTTCAACATCGTCGTCTTCCTTCTTCTCTTTCTCTTCATCAGACTTTTTGCCATCAGAGCCCAGTCGAGGATCACTCTGCTCAAGCTTCTCCAGCGCTTTAAGGGAGTCAGAAGCTGACTTTATGGCCTCCTTCCAATCCTCAAGTTGGATATGGCAGGCGGCAATGTTACTGTAGATGACTGCGAGTGGATAATGTAGATATTTAGGACAGGAGTTGATTGCATCGTCGTATTTGTCCAGAGCTTCTTGGTACTTCTTGGCAGAAAACAAAGTGTTCGCCTCCTCTTTGGACACAGTTGACTCCTTCACTAAAGCCTGCATGCAAGTGTTAGTAGATGAGGTTGGGTACCAAAGTAAAAGAGAGTGATGGGATAAAAAGTGAGGCCACTCACTTCTTCCTCTTCTGGTGTGAACTTTAGATCCTGTCCATCTACATAATCGGCGTTGTCTTTCGCTTTTTCGACGTCCGGCGACTTGGCCACATCATCTTTGCTAGGCTCGGTTGTGCTCATATTCGTTGGCAAGGACGAATGACGTATGATTATTACGACAAAGATCAAACACTGAAATAAAAAGACAGAATTGTCTTATTGATACAAGCAGGATGAGTCAAAACACTGCAAAAATTAATTGCAAGTGGCGGGGACTGGCTGTGTTGAGAGACGGAAACAAATGGATGTTTAATGAAGAAACATCAAAAGCACAATCTCACGAGCCTCAATGAATTCCATGTGGTTCCTGCCCGTCCTGCCCACCTTAATCATCTGCTAGGCTACAGTGGGCTTAGTGGAAATACACTGCCCCGCCGCGGGGTATTCAGCGGAATGATTCACTGTTGATTCACTACTGATCGGCGAGCAAAAAGTTGCCCCGCGCTTGTTAGGTTCCGTTCTTGTTCCGTTATCAAAATCTCGCGATCGCCTCGTCTTTCTTTTCTTAAATCTCTCCCTTGCTAATCGTACCTCCTCACTATAACAAGTTCTGATCTGCCGTGTTTTTTCGTTCTGATACCGCATCCCGATACCCATCCGCTTTCCCTACTTCCAACACTCTTGGTTTTTCCAGACGCAATGGCTCCTCGTACCGAGTATGTTTATTCTGCTTGACTAACATTCAAGCATTGTTCGATCGCGAGCGTTATACTGACCAGATCTCACTCTCTAGTTTCCCACCTGTTAGGGCCTGTCTTTTCGACATGGACGGCCTCCTTCTCGACACCGAAGACATCTACACCAAGTGTGTCAACATCATCCTCGAAAAGTATGGCAAGGGAACTCTCCCATGGTCTATCAAGGCCAAGCTTCAGGGCCGCCCTGGTCCTCAGGCCAATAAGATCTTTCACGACTGGGCCCAGCTCCCCATCACCTCCGAAGAGTACGTCGCCGAGAACACGATGCTCCAGAAGCAGCTGTTTCCCCACACAAAGCCTCTCCCTGGCATCGTCGACTTGCTTGGCCACCTAGGCCGAACCCGATACTGGGAGGTCAAGGATGATGCTACTACTGAAGCTAAGGACAAGTCCAGCAGTGAGCCTCAACGTGTTCACATCGCTCTGGCCACTAGCTCTCATCTTGGCAACTTCCGTGTCAAGACAAACCACCTCGAGGAGCTTTTTGCTGTTTTCCCTTCCCACCGCCGTGTTCTTGGAGACGATTCCCGCCTGACTCCCGGCCGTGGAAAGCCTCTGCCCGACATCTTCCTTCTCGCTCTGAAGACCATCAACGACAGCCTTCCTGCTGGCGAACGACCCATCACCCCCGAGGAGTGTCTTGTTTTCGAAGATTCAGTCCCCGGTGTCGAGGCTGGTCGTCGTGCCGGTATGCGCGTGATCTGGTGCCCCCACCCGATGTTGAAGAAGGAGTACGATGGACGCGAGGCTGAGGTCCTCGCTGGGCGCACTGGTGAGGCTGGAGAAGTCGATCTCCATCAGGTTGGTGAGATTGACGATGGCTGGGCCGAGTACATGCTCAGCCTTGCTGACTTCCCCTACGAAAAGTTTGGCATCGTCGTACCTCCTATCGAGGTTGAGAAGGAAGATTGTATGAAAGAGATACCCGAAGAGATTGTTGCTGAAGTCTAGGAGACTGAGCCGATCATTCCTGGCGGGCCGCTGGTGATGAAGAAGTCGTTGGACTTTGGTCCGCGCAACTAGATGCATGGCAAATGCGCCATTTTTCGTGTTACTTCTGGCGAGTGACCATTGATGAGAATATGACGAGAACTGAACGGATTAGACAAAAAGGTGTGGTGTAAAGAATTTGCTACTATATAGTTGGCTTGCTTTGTTGCGTTCTTCACACACGAGAATAGATAAGGAATCTCAGGACATGATACCCAAGCAAGAATCCATTACCTATTTCTATGTGACATATCATGACTGGACCCTGTAAACTTACGGCAACAGGAGCGTATCAAGATCGACAATTTAGACGTGCGGTACGTCTCCCCGCGTTTCAACCCCAGGATGAGCTGCAAGTGTGGGGAGAGGAATAAGACCACCTCGAGTTGAGAGTAATACCACCACAGTGTCAGCTTCATGTGCTTTGATCAACGTGTCACCGTCTATGTCATGCCATTACAGAGACAGCATGCTCCCGAGATTTCCCTATGTATGCTATATGAACCCAATGTTTCTCACGATGCTGTTCAATTGTTGTCCATCATCAATGTCACCCGATGGCTTCAATATTGTCTTTGCCGCTTCATCTTATTGCTGATATTCTGCGTCTGCTGGATAACATCCAAGAGCTTCCTCCTATTCTACTAAGCCATCGAATATTTTACTCTGCTCTCTTGGATACACCAAGTCTGCCTGTGGATATCATTCGCAATCACATTCCCGACAACTTGCTTCCGTTGGCTTTTACCGCATTCAAGTCGCAAACGTCGGTAAGGGAAACAAGTGGTATAAGCGTGGAAGAGTTTCTGACTCATTGCTACAACAATTCTATGCGAAATGTGGACGGCAGTCAAATTCACTTGACTGTAGGTGAAGCCCTTGAGGTTGCCAGAGTCAATGATGCATTGTCGGGCTTAAGGGATGAGTTTGCTTTGTGTTCCTTGAGGAAGCTTCATGGTGTAAACCAAGATGAGCCCATGGCAAGTGACCACGGCCTCTCTCCTGGCGAATACTATCGTATCTCTCGTGCATTTTATAGATTTCAGATATATCGAAACCTTTTCCTCGACAAGGAGCAGGAGATTAATCTTTTCCCTTCTTATGACGAGGATGAAGACGAAGATTTGAGCTCCGACAACGAACTGAAAAAGCTGTTCTTTGATCGGCATTCTCCATGGGTCAATGAACAACTGGCCTGTGTTTACGACTTTCTTGAGACGAGATTAACTGGTGGTAAGCTTGACATCCTAATAAGTCCTTCACATACAGACTCCAAATGAGCTATCCTAACTTGCGCCCGGAATATAGTCATGCTGACCATCTTGTCCGCGACCCCAGCCTATCGGCAAGTTGTTGTCAATGGCTTTCAATGGGGAGACAATCTTACCGAGTGGCTAGCTGAAAAGACCCAATCGTTTGAGGAGCAGAAATGCGTGAGCGGCAACACTTATCTGGCACTATGTGCTTTTTTTATGCTTACTGACGACATCCCAGCTGTCTCTCGGTCTTCCTCGTCTCAGTCAGCTTCTCAAGGCCTCGACCTACCAAGAGTGGCAAACGTCACTTGGTGGGGCTACGAACCCTTGCCAAAGCCGACTTGAAGAAGATCTCGAGGAGTTCAACCGCGGAAGAAGGCCAAATGAGGAGAACGGAGTTTGGAGGGCCAAAGATATTGACAAGCTAACCAGGGAAGTTGACGCCGACGATGTGTTTACCGATGATCAACCCAGACAGACATGGATGAAGATACACTATGATCATGCGCATGAGAGATATCGCTTAGGATATCATGCCTTTGCCCCAATGAGGTTTATCTATGGGCTGAGAGGCATCGGATATGTCATGTGGGATGCAGAGAGAATGAAGAATGATGCCTGTAAAGTCACCTTGGACAAGGCGTACCGAGGCGATGCTGTTTCCTAGGCGACTTGCACGAAAGTCGAGTTTGGAATTTGGGATACTTGTGAATCAACAGCTGTTTATGTCCAATCTGGAGTACCTTAGAGCCTAACTGTCAGTTCAAGCCCTCAGACCAACGTCTTTGCACCTAATTGCATGCCGACGAGGACTCGATTTGTGCTGATGGGCCAGGGCATCCGTGGGAATATAATCTAACCCGAGACCTCGATTTCAGGTGAGAAACGGTTGCTCTCATAAGGTATATATGATCAGACAAGCTGAGGATAACTTAGAATGAACTTGGCAGGTAAGTGCAGTTCATTTTATGCGCCCACGCTGAAGGGACAAGTCAAGGATGCTTAAATTGATTATTGTGATTTCCCCAGATTGTGGAAGAAGGTGTACCGGCCTTGCCTAATCAAGAAGTTTCGCGCGATGGCTAGTAAGGGAGTATCGCATTTGGCTGCCGGAATCTGTCGGAGTAAGGGAGGCGCAAGAATAGAACATCGCGATCCATCATGGTGGCGGGGGTCAAATGGGGAAGTGGGTTTACCTTGAGGGACTGTTCGCCAGCTCTGGACACTATCTTGTTCGCTGTGCTCTGGATGATCGCATCACTATACGTCTCAGATGCTCGGTAGTGGCAATGATACTATGCAGTGCAATACACCATTACTTAAGGATGATCCGAGATAAGATTCTTCTCTTGGAATTCTAGCCGCCATGTCGCATTCTGAGTGCATCAAACCTGCCAGCACGGCCCGGTCAAGCAACCGAACCAAGAGTTGTAGTTTATGAGGCCTGCAAAACACCTCCATGTCTACTTCGGCTCCGTGGGATCATCAGGCTCTTTCGGTACAGGAATTCTCCATACAAATGCTGACAAACCATGCCGGAGCATCATCATGAGAAGTCCAACTACCTTTGACAAATTTCTAGGCTTCTCATGATGAGAAGCCATCTCCACAGTTTTCCCCAGAAACTCGCCCCAGAAGCCAATCGAGTTGACAACCACCTCGGCATACCAACCCATAAAGAGTAATAGAAATGCACGAGTTCCTTACATGGCCATGAACACCTCGGGTTCCCGGGGCCGGATTCTAATTCCCGATCTCCAACTACCGGAGCCGTAAGTCAACCCCGGCCCGGTCCCGGTCTTTACCGGTTCCTCCAGAGGGGTACTTTCAGTGAGGAATCGCTTGATTTACAGTGGTCCTCCCCTCCACATCCCCGACCTCGCAGCTCCATGACCCCAATTGGAACCGGAACTGGGAGGTTCTTTGACATGACTGGTCTCAATTGAAGCAATATTTCACTATACGGACATAATTCAACGGTTAGGACAGGCTCGGCCGGTGGGGTTATAAAGGTTTAGCGCGCCCATGTGACGTTTGTTAGGAGCTCTCGTGGATCTTTTCGTTTTTATTTACTTGGACGTAGACCGGAACTCTTTTGTAGCTCGGCCCTTATCCCTCAACTTCTTTCTCTTCCAATTCTTTGACCTTTCCTTCTCTTTTACTCGAGCGAAGTCTTCATCGTCAAATTCATAAAACACCGACATAATGGCTGAGAGCTACCACAAGGAGGTCATTGCTGGCGTATGTGCCCCTCAGTCATGAGGCACCTCATCTGCCCCTCATTGAGATTCGCGATGCTAACATTGAACTCAACAGCTTAAGGACAAGAGCCTTTTCATCCAGGATGCTTTCATCGATGGAAAATGGGTCTCCAAGGAGAACAAGTTCGATGTCTTCGGTTCGTGACACCGTCATCATGAGTACCGATTGCCCAGAAGCTAATTGGAACTTCAGAGCCCTCCACTGCCACCGTCCTCGGCCAAGTTGCCAACTGTACGCTCGATGATTTCCAGACTGCCATCAAGAGCGCCGATGCTGCCCAGACAAAGTACTTTGAGAGCACAACTGGTGCCAGCCGTGGCGCCCTTCTGAGGAAGTGGTATGACCTGGTTCTCTCTCACCAGGAGGACCGTACGTTGTCTCCTTCAAATGCTTCCAATTGCACACTTAACATGACCTCTAGTCGCCAAGATCCTCTCTCTCGAGAACGGAAAGACATACGCTGAAGCCCTGGGTGAGGTTATCTATTCTGCCAGCTTCATCTCCTGGTTCGCTGAGGAGGCCACTCGATCCTACGGTGTCACCATTCCCTCATCCTCTCCTCATACCACCCTCATGACTATCCGGGAGCCCGTCGGTGTTTGCGGCATCATCACCCCCTGGAACTTCCCCGCCGCCATGATCACCCGCAAGATCGCTCCCGCTCTGGCTGCCGGATGCTCCGTCGTCATCAAGCCCCCCTCCGAGACTCCCTACTCCGCTCTTGCTTTCACCAAGCTCGCCATCGAGGCCGGCCTTCCTCCTGCCACTATCCAGGTTCTTCCCACTCGCGACCGCCAGGCTGCTACTGAGCTGTGCACAAACCCTCTCGTCAAGAAGATATCTTTCACTGGTTCTACTGGCGTTGGAAAGTACCTTGCCAAGCTTGCTACTGGTACCTTGAAGAAGGTCAGCCTGGAGCTTGGTGGAAACGCTCCTTTCATTGTCTTTGAGGATGCTGATCTTGACCTCGCTGCCGAGGGCGCCATGTTCTGCAAGTTCCGATGCTCTGGTCAAACCTGTGTCTGGTAAGTCGAGACATTCTCCGTGTAGGATAAGACGTAGCTAACGTATCTTCAGCGCCAACCGACTCTATGTCCAGAAGAGTGTCGCCAAGGAGTTCACTGCCAAGCTCGTCGAGAAGGTCAACGCCCTGAAGATGGGCGGCGGTCTCGACAAGTCCACCACCCAAGGCCCCCTCGTCAACAAATCTGCTGTCGACAAGGTCAAGGAGCACATTGCCGATGCCACCTCCAAGGGCGCCAAGATCGCCACGGGCGGCAGCACCCCCGACAGCCCCGGATTCTTCCACCAGCCCACCGTCCTCACTGGCGTCACACAAGAAATGGCCGTCGCCAAGGACGAGACATTCGGTCCCCTTGCCCCTGTCTTTGAGTTCGAGACCGAGGAAGATGCCATCCGTCTGGCCAACGACACCGAGTTCGGTCTCGCTGGATACTTCTTCTCCAAGGACATCAGCCGTGTTATGCGGGTTGCCCACAAGTTGCAAGTCGGCATGGTGGGTGCCAACACAGGCAAGATCAGTGCTGCTGAGGCACCTTTTGGCGGTGTCAAGGAGAGCGGCTACGGAAAGGAGGGCAGTCTGTACGGTATGGCTGAGTACCAAAACATCAAGTCTATTACCATTGGCAACCTCAACAATTAGAGTGGGAGTTGCATAAAAGAATTTGAGCGAGCAAAAAGGGATTTGTTTTATTTAGCATGATAATGACGAGGTGGGAAAGCCTCACAGAATAACGACCGAGATCAAAAGCATGATCTCTAAAATAAAAAGAGTAAAACATCAGTCTTGATTGTGACAACATCTGTTCAAAATTGTTCGCTCCTGATGGTTGACATCAAGCCAATTGTGTATCTACTGATCGAAATTGATTGCCTCTATCTCTTGTCATCGACACAATTGTCTTAGTACTAGTTTGTTGAACCCGATGCCTCTTCAGATCATTCATGGCGATTATGTTGCCAACTGGTCTGGAAATTGACATATGTTATCCCCGCATTTGCGATCTCCAAAGCATGTATGCATGCATCTATTACTATAGCTTGTTGGTTTTATTTACACTGATTGGCTCTTCTATATGCTTAAATTATTCGGTTAAATTATTCGGCCATTCGTAACCTCTTGAATCACTATGCTTGGCCCCAGCATGTTTGTGATACAGGAGTATCCTATCATCGGTTCGTCTGAAATGAACATCTGATGTTCTGACGCACATTTGAATCGTCAATGGTCAAAATCGTTGTTGTTTTGTTCGGTTTTCTCCCCGAACAAAAGGTATTTCTTGACGAAGGTTTCCCACCACATCCTGAACTGACTCTACTCCAAGTGTCTATCTACCACAACGGATACACCTTTTCAATATGCCCACCAACGGAAATGCAGTCAATTACAGCATGGCGGAACATGGACACACCCGTCTTTTCAAACTATCTCCGCCTCCTTCTCTTGATGCCTTCAAAAAACTTTGCGCTCAGAAAGCCCCCAAACAAGACTACCCACTCGCTGCAGACATCAAGGAGAACGTACCTGTTTACAATCTTTCCAACTTTTCAACCCTTACCGAAAACCAAAAGTCCGCTCTCCAAGACGAATGGTACAAAATCCTTTTGTATGGCCCTGGTGTTTTTGTCACAGCTGGTCTTTACACCAACTTGGACGTGATCAACAAGTCAACAGCTGCCTTCAATAATATCATCAAAAGGGAGAGCCAGGGTACCAAAACAGCAGGCGATCACTTTGCAAGTGCTGGTAAAAACGATCGGATTTGGAATTCGTTCAGTAAACATGGTCTCCAAGACCCAGACTCCTTCTTCAACTACTTTTCGAATCCCTACCTCGACCTCATCTTCTCTTCATGGCTTGGTCCAGGGTATCGCATCACTACTCAAGTCAACAACGTCCGGCCTGGAGGGCAGCCTCAAGTTTCCCACCGCGACTACCACCTAGGTTTCATGTCTGCTGAGAACTGTGGAAGGTATCCCAGGGCAGTGCAAGTTGCAAGCCAATGCTTGACTCTGCAAGGCGCTATAGCACACGTCGATGTACCTCTTGAGAGCGGTCCAACAAGACTTTTGCCGTTCAGTCAGGCATTTGCGCCTGGCTACATGGCGTATCGTCTTCCCGAGTTTAACGAGTTCTTTCTAGACAATTATATCTCACTTCAGTTAAAGAAGGGCGACGGTTTATGGTTCAACCCTGCTCTTTTCCATGCAGCAGGCGAGAATAAGTCCGTGGACATCAACCGCCTTGTTAATCTCGTCCAAATCAGCAGTGCATTCGGCAAACCGATGGAAACAACCGACGCATTGCCACTTGTGGAGAGTACGTGGGACGTCTTGACAGCTGCATATAGAGAGCAAGGTCTCAGTGATGAAGTCCAGATGTTTATTGCTGCTATTGGAGAAGGCTATCCTTTCCCAACAAACCTGGACAACAACCCTCCTAGAAACGAGAATATGGCGCCTGATTCGGAGCAAGACATTATTCGAGTTGCATTGGTAAACGGGAAGAGTAGAGAGGAAGTTTTGGCTGATCTTGAAGGCTTCCGACTAAGAGTTAGAGCTTAGTTGGAACATCTGTGTATTACTATTAGTACTTTTAGCGGTTATGCCGCACAATCCCATTTGCAGACTCAACCTCAGATACCCTTCGACTCTATGCTTTGTTCTCGGTGCTCTGAGGATTGATGTTAGATCGTGCAGTCTTCTTCAGATATCCCCTGAAACTCTCGAAAGTGACAGGATTGTGACCTTCAAGCCATCGACAATGGACTGCCACATCATCCTTACCAACCTGTATGGAAACCTTGAAAGCAAACTCGCACTTTACGTCTACCACCTTTTGGTCTTCAGTACCCCCTCTTTGCTTTCTACGACGCCAAGCTCGTGCCCAGACGCGACCTGCTGCTCGTCCGATCCCTTCCAGGCGCTCAGTGTCCCATTCCCAGGTGATCAAGTCCAGCTTCTCGAGTTCAGATCGAAAACGATCTGCAAACTCGCCAATTTTCTCTTGAAGAGGTATATTGATGACTCTCTCTTCTGTGATCTCTGGAAGCACGTTTTTTGAAACTGCTGTCTTGATGCCGCGTGCAACCGATTGGGCTGGTCTCATGTTTCCGAAACTCCATGCAACAGCCCATCTCCTTGTTTTGCTGCCCTGAATAAACTCCGTGACAGCATAATTGTCGATTTTGTGTTCTCTCAATTTGTCCACAAACTCGATCAAGCTTGTGAGAAATCCGAACATGGATGTGTACCACTGCACACGTTCTTGAAGGGCGAGCGACTCTTTGAGCATGCGATCAACAAACTCGACTTCGCCGCCGTCGGTCACCATCTCAACCTTAGCTCCTGTACATGATGTAAAAGGCGGGCGAGACTTTTGCTTCGCGCTCTCCAGTAACTCTTCTTCGGATTTATAGAAAGGTGGGTTTGACATGGTGAAAGAAATGCTGTTAACATTTAGATCATCGAGCGGAATGAGGGCATCGGTTGGCTTTCGCTCCACGACTTTGATCCTGTTATCGAGGCCGTTCAGCGCCACGTTCTTGCGAGCATACTCGAGGCTTTTTGAATCGATGTCTGCTTTGATTAGCGGTGCCCTGGTCAACGGGTGGTGAAAGGATTACCAATGGCGATAAAGTCCCAATCACGTTCAGTGCAACCCATCAAAGGATATATGCAACTTGCGCCAGTACCAATGTCTAGTCCAACGATTTTCCTATCCTGTTTCTCATAAGAAGTGCTGTCAAGGAGGCCTTTTAGCCACATGAGATAGTTGTGCCGGTTGAGAACCTACGGGCGCGTCAGATCATAAAACGCGTCAAGAAATGAGACAAAACTCACAGGAGGGCATAGTCGATCGTCAGGGAGTTCAAGCTTCAGTCCGAAGTCCAGCTTGAGAAGTGATTTCGTCAATTGCATGACACATTCCGGATCATTGAAGAAATCAGTTTTGTGTTTCTTCCACCTGCGATGATTTATTAGATGGAATTCTCGTCCATTTTGAGGATAGAAGTATTCACAATCGTGCAAAATCTGCATCTTGAAGAGCAAGCTGCTGAAAGTCTGGCGCTTTTGAGTATAGCTCGGCAAAGTGACTATCTCGAGATTTTGCATCTTCTGGGGGACCTTCAAGGGTCAACGTTTGGTCGACAGGGAGCGAGTGACCCCGAAGGTCTTGTGAGGCTTTGCGTTTGCCGCCCATTTTGATGGTCGACTTGGTTTTCTCGGGTCATATGAAGGATTTCCTTCTGTGAGGATTCCTTCAGATACTTTTGATGGGTGTAAGTTGTGACACCTGCTACTTTCTATGATGGAGATGAGTTTGCAAGGATCAGTGATGTCAGTGGAGGTCTCATAAATTAGCGATGACTTGTAGGCACAGACTCCCATAAACACAAGCAAGCAGTTCATTTGCAATTGTTACCAGAAAACTCCCATCATTTGATTTGCAACCATGGATGTATTGAAAACTCATGACATCATACAGATAAATATACTGCAATCTTACAATAAAAACCATTCAGTAAATGCAATCGCCTCGGCTTCGTTTCAATCATATCCTCATCTTATGTACCTTTCATGTCATCGTAGTGGCACTGTCTTACCACAGTAGAACCCTCCATCGCCAGCCCTCGAGGAGCTTCATGTCCTTCTCATCGATATCCGGATCACCGTGCTCGATTCTCGCTGTCAGCTTCTTAAGCCTCTTCTGCACAGTCCGAGCTACTCGAATAGACACTTCATTAGAGAACACAACGAGCACGGCAAATACAAAGAAAGCCAATTTGGCGAAGCGGCCTTTGCCAAGTATACCATTCTTGATGTGCTCGAGAAGACCCTTTGACTTTTTGAAGGCGTACTCGGTGTCGTTGGCTGATGAGTGAGAATCTTCGTCACCGTCGTTTCGGCGCCAGAAGCGGCGGATGAAGGGAATGAACGTAGCACTGTCGAAGTTAGTCAATTGCTTGGGTTCAGGCGAGTGGGACGTGAAATTTACTTACATAGCTCCTCCGATGATCCATCTTCGCCATCGATGGTTCTCGGCTTCTTTAGCGATGCTGCGCACCTCGCCCTGCAGGATCCTCAGATCATTCAGGACCATGTTGGTCTGGTTTCGAATCCGGGTCTCAAGCTCATAAGCAGAGACGGCAGAATCGCCACCTCGTCGCTGACGCTGCAGGCTCATGTACTCGCGCAGATTGAACTGGCAGTTCACTCTAAGAGCTTGTAACTCTCGCAGGTCACTCGGTGCTGTGGCGGGGACCATTTGCTGGGTTGATGCGGTAGCCATGGCTCCGGCATGGTTGGGAAGATACGATTCAGAGGCAGGACGGATCGGGAGGTTGCCTGGACCAGTTTGAGGACCTGATACAGGAGGGTAGTTCTGCGGGTTGTAAGGCTGGTTGTAGCCCGGCGAGTCGTAATTCTGAGGATTATAGCTCTGATTGGCATAATCCTGGGGATTGTAGTTCTGAGGCCCATAAGGTTGAGGACCATATTGAGATTCGGGGCCTGGATATGACTTTGCTCTCTCTGGACCTCGATCAAAAGCACGATCCCGCCGGTCTCGCTCTCGGTCACGGTCCCGAGAGGGAGACGGAGTTCGGATGGGCTGAGGATCCAGCGATTGAAGCGGTGACTTGTTTGACTTGCGAGTATCAGACATTATGGGCGTTCAGGTTTCAGTCTTGGCTCAAATAACGACGTATAATTGAACAGACGAATAAATTGTCCGTGACAGCTCACCCAACCGGTGATTTTCTGCCCAAGGTGACCGACAAAGAATGAGTATGTATGTATGCGCTGGCTACAATTGTGGTGGAGAGCGAGAGAGGCTGGTGAATGAATAAACGAGGCCAGCCCATGACGTCCGAGTGGCCGGGGGGGATAGGTTGAGCGAGAGGTGGGGTGATGGAATTCATGAGGCTGGGGATGGCTTATGCAATTCATGATGTGATGTGATTGGCAACTATTGAATACTGCATAACTATTCACAAAATGACCAGATTCCCTTCTTAGTCCTCATTCTAGCTTCTGGTGACTTCTAGTACCCCAATGTTCGATACATGCGGTGCGCCATGGCATCCATGCCCTCGACAGGCAGTGCACTCCTAATGTCAGCCAATATCTGCTGCTGAACCTCTGGGTCGAATTGGTTCCAGATCCTTCGAATCTGCTGCACCTGATCCCCTCGATTTGTCCGAACAATGTTTGCAAAAGCTTCAAAGAGAACCGCAGCTTGATTCCATCCCAAAATGTTATGAACTTCTTGGATGAGAAATTCAAAAAAGTCGAGAATTCTGCCGAGAAGGACATCTGAACATCCTAGCCCTTGATCATTGCTGAGCACGATGCACAGAGCATGCATTTGAGCAGCCCATTCGTTGACTGCACGACCACGGACTGGATCACTTTCAATGTCCTGCATAGCAACGCCGAACATTTCCATCGCTTCAATGCTGGTGAATTCTGATAGGTGCTGGAACACAAAGTCGAGAGCCCAGTTCATCAAATCCTCTGGATGATTTTCCAAGTATGGCTCGCGAAAGTAGGTGCTCAATACCAGCGCTCCGCGTCTCGGTGCCTCCTGGACTCTGGGTAGGAGATTGAACAGGACTTCTTGGTCGACACTGTATCTTCTCCTCAATTGTCCAACTCTTGAGTGTACAATGATGATGTTTTGTCTTCCACCAGGTCCTGGAACGAATGGAGGCCGGCGTCTAAAGGCCATGTCGTGTGGCTCACCGAGATCTTCAAAATCGTCGCCATAATCGATCTCAGCGATACCATTCAAGTGACGACGCCTGTCACCAGCCATGTTGATTCTCTGCGGAATTTGTGCACGACTTCTTCTGGGGTACAATTGGTGACGTTGATAGTGATCATAAAAGCGATACTGCCTGAACATGCTTTAGAGAGCACCCAAGATGGTTCTGCATACGTCTCAAAGGGAAAGCATGCTGGCGATAGTGCTCGCATTTATAGATGCTGAGAAGCATTGTATCAGAATCCGGTTCAGGTTTGGTGAGGTTGATTGCGATGCCGTGTAAGGTGGTGAGCAAACCACAAGATGTCATCTGGACGTTTGACTTATTAAGGGTTTGAACTGGAGATTTGGCATACGGCACAGCCAATACTCTCGTTTTCAATAATCATATGGCTTTTCTCAAGCAAACATTGGGGTCTGTTCGTTATTCAGAGCAGCATACAAGCAACCTTGGTTCTCCATATCCAGCTACAGGGTGCGTGTTGGAGAGAACTCCAACTGACATGCTGAGGTGCGAGGTTTGCCTATGCAAATAGAAAAAAAAAATACTCAAACACTTGCCAACATTGTAAAATAAAGTATTTTGTAAGCATGCAGCTCACCTTAACAATATCCAATGCTAGGTATAAAAAAAAATACAGTGAGAGCCTGATGTTGTGGCCTGGGAATAAGATGACACCTGAAGCTTCAGGCATTAGTATAAGGCACCCAGATAAATCAGCAGGCAGACCCTGAAGACCCCAGGGACCTCACCCCCCACCAATTTCCCTTCTTACTCCTGTCCCCTCGCGCTCTCGTCTCTCTTTCGTATAAGAGACGAAGCATCCGTTAGAGTCGGCCGCTCTGGTAATGATATTTTCCGTATCTTCTTATCTTGCTAAAAATGTATATCACCTTTTTCATCACAAAGGTCAATTGCTACCAATTGGCTACTTTACATCACTGAATGTTCTTTGAATGCTCAGCATCGTGTTAGTGGTGATCAAGCTCTTCACCTATCAGGACCTCCATCTTTTTCAACCTCACGTCAAACTGTCCGCTATGGTTTTTTCTGCCTTATTCCGGTACAAGTGACTTCCGAACTGCCATCTGCCTGGACCCCAGCATCTGTCGTCCGAGTATAAGTATCTCGTGTTCCCCCCTCTGTCCTCTGTTTTGGCATGCTCAGCAGTCCTCTTCCTCTTCACCTCTTCCATTTACCTTCACTTCTCCTGTCCTCGAACATCTTGGTCTGTCTCAACAAGATAGCCTCTCATCGTACCATCCTACTTCCTTATACTTCTTCCTTCCAGTCCATCATCGTGACACCTTCTCGTGTTGTTGCTGCCTCCAAGACCTATCCCATCCAGACCTCTTCATCATGATGGACCTCGCCGCTCCAGCCTTCGACACAGACGTTAGCCATAAGGTTGAATACAAGATTCGTGACCTTGGAACACGCTCTGTTACCCTCTTTCCCACCCAAGCACAGGTCAAGAGAGAAATCAAGAATGTGCCTCTCAAGGTACGCCTTTCTTGGCCAATGTCTCTCCTTATGCTTACCTAGCTAGCCTGGAGTCAACGAGATATCCATTGTCGGGTTGAGCCCAACCATTGACAAGAATTCGGTCACCGTTGAAGGCAGTGGTGCCGCTACAATCACGGGCATCAGTGTTGAATTTCTCCCCAACCGCGAACTTTTTGATGAAGTCTATCCAGATTCCGATGATAATGATGATTCAGACAGTGACGATGAAGAAGAAGGAGAAGGCGAACCCCCAGAAGTGCCGCAACATGGGGAGTTGCTGGAAACCAAGATGAAACTCATCGAGCTCAAAGATGAGCAGCAGCGAGCCAGAGAAATTATTGGCAATGCTGATGAGCGTATCAAGGTCCTTGACATATACTCCAAGTCTCTTGATAAGAGAGAGGGTGTAAACATTAGTGAGATGCTTGACACATATAAGCAAGAACACCAAAAAGCTTTTGAAGAACGTCTAGTCGGCGTGCAGAGGGAGCGAGAACTCACGGAGGCCATTAACAAGGTTACCAAGGAGCAGATGCGCTTGAACAAGCTTGGAAACAAGTTTCAGAAGAAGGAGGCCAAGAACAAGGCCAGAATCCAGAAAGCCGTCCAGAAAAAGCAGGAACAGCGCCAGAAGCGTCAAGAGGAGAAGCGCAAGGAGAAGGAGCGTATTCGCAACGAGCGCTCACGTTGCTGGCCGCTGTTCTGCTATACCATACACATACAACTTGAGGTGAGCTCATCCTACACGCCGGCTTCGTCTCGCCGGGAATCTGTATCCAGCGAGGTTGAACTTGTTCAGCGGCCCAGGAGCAAGACTGCAGACCTGGAAGAGACATCCTCCTGCAACCTTGTGTTGTCATATGTCACCAACTCGGCATTCTGGACTCCCAGTTATGACATCCAGCTGTCAACTGTTGACTCCACGGGTACGCTTTGCTTCGATGCCGGTCTGCATAACACAACATCTGAGACATGGGAAAACTGTAAGATCACACTGTCCACTTCTCAGGCCACATCTTCGAGCCTTGACGAGTCAATTCCCAGTCTCACACCCTGGCGTATCAAGCTGGGCAACAAGAAGTCCTCATCTGCCGAGAGTGGTGCTTTTGAAAGTGTGGTGGAACTTCAGCAACAGGCCACATGGCGTAACAAGAAACAAGCACCACAGCAGCCTCCTAACTTCAGGCGCGAAATGTTTGGTCTTCCAGGCCACGCTCTGAATGACTATCAGATGCAGTTGATGATGTTGGAACAGCAGAACAAGAAGAGGCTGATGATGGCTAGACAGGAGCAGGATTCCACGGGCCCGCCTGCTCCTCCTCCCCCTGCTGCTGCGATGATGGCGCAACAAGCGCGAGCGCAAGCTCAGGGGTCGCAGATGCGACCACCCATGTCACACAACATGATGGTGCAGAATCAGATGGCACAGCCCCAACAGATGCAGCAACAGATGCAGCAACAGCAGCAGCAATTCCCAGGAATGGCACAGATAGACTTCTCCTCTTACGACGACTTCGATGCCTTGATAGATGAAGATACAACTATGACGGATGCTCAGCCATCCCTCGAATTCCAAAATTCCCTTGTTGAAGAGACCGGCTTCACCACAACCTTCGATCTTCCCGGCCTCAAGACTCTCGTGCCCAAGTTCACCGTTTCGAAGCAACGTGTTGCTCGCCTGCAGTTTACGAATGTTCTGTTCAGCCATACTATCGTGGCCAAATATCAGCCAGCGGCTTATCTCAAGGCCAAACTCAAGAACAATAGTAAACTTACTTTATTGCGTGGACCTGCGAGCTTGACGCTCGACGGCAGCTTCATGGGGCAGACCAAAATTCCTCGATGTAGCTCCGGTGAGGTCTTCACTCTTAGTCTGGGTGTGGACTCGGCGATCAGAGTTATGTACCCCAAGCCTGATGTTCGAAGAAGCACGAGCGGAGTGTTCAGCAAGGAAGACAGCTCTGTCTATGTTCGCGCTGTCACAGTCCACAATACCCGCGTAACTGCCAAAAAGCCCATCAGCCTTCTGGTGCTGGATCAAATCCCTGTTTCAGAGGATGATCGCCTCCGAGTTGAGTTACTCAGCCCTCGAGGTTTGACTGTCGAAGGACCGCGCCAAGCGACTGGTGCTCCTGGACGTGAGACTGCAGAGGATAAAGACTGGGGCAAAGCTATGGCATCTCTTAAGAAGAGCGGACAGGTTTCGTGGGAGGTCTCGCTGAATGCGGGCAAGGCCGTAAAGTTGGGACTCGAGTATTCGGTTTCAATGCCTAGTGGCGATGTTGCTAAAGAATGTTGATTTGCCTCGACATGTGTGGAAGTTGACAATTGATGGATCAGTGATAGTGGGATAACTCTGAGCCTCTAACCAGCCATCAAGGATACGTTATAGCACCACGTTCACTTTGATTATTCTCAAATTTTACTCTCGGGGTTTACAATGATTCCTATAATATTTCACAGCACTCAATCTTTCCAGTCTTTCCAATCTTTTCACTTTGAAAACCTCGCTTTCTGTCAAGTTATGGTGATTGCTTAGATCTTCCAACTTCATGTCAATTGGAAGATATCAGTTGTCGATACTATACATAATTTAAGACACAGCTTTACATAGCACAGCAATCCCTTCGTCTTTTCAGTACCCTCTGGTCCTCTCCTTATGACTGCACCATTCTCTACCTTCGGATCATTCGTCGCCAGCCTACCGGCCACTGACTTACACCCCTGAGTCAAGTAACTCAATCTTCGTCCATCTCAGAGTCATCCTCGTCTTCAGAACCATCCTCCTCCGCTTCAGAATCGCCCCCCTTCTCCACAGAATCCTCGAGCTCAAGCGTTCCGAACTGATCAATTACGGTGTGCGACTCGATTATCGCCATGTGAAACTTCTCGCCTGGGATCTCTGTTCGGGCAGGCTGTAGCCTGTTCCCAAAGTTCGGTGCGCGCGGAACTCCTGGAGGACCAATAATCGCATTCAAGGGTGTATCTCGTGAGCCGGGGCCATCGTTGGTATGCATCAGTGTCGATGGGGGGTGGCGGAGAAGAGGAGGCAGGGGCTGGATTCGCCATTCCATATCATTCTTATGGGCGTCTGAGATTTCGTCCGACCAGCATGGTCTACTGCGGTCCATATAATACTCGATTTGCCCGAGCATGATCATCTGTGACATGGCCGGATCGTCGACAGAGTGATGGGAGTACCGCTCTGGGAGCTCCTAGGGCTTTCTCTGTCGGTGGTGAGACAAATATGGGTGTCCGCGTTCGTACTCGTCAGCGAGCAGAGCTGGGTTGATAAATGGGGCTGGTGTGCTGCCCATCTGGGTGTTCTTGAGGGACATGACAGGCTTAAGCCTATCGGCCCCATCGTTGGCTGGTACGTGCACAAGGAGTCTCGAAGAGAAGGAAGCTCCATACCACTGACTACACCCTGTCGTGGCTCCCAGTCGAAACTGTGGGTGCTTGACTGCGGATATTTCCCAACCATGATGGCGTCTGTGGAGTCGATCGAGATAACATCTTGACGATCATCTGCATCAAAGTCACCATGCTCACCACAGTCGATAACACCATCTGAGAACTTGCGACAAAAAAGGCAGACAGGCATTGGCCTATAGAAGGACGCGAGTATAAACATCGCGTCCCTCTTCGCCAGTTCCCAACTCTCAGGGTGGCAAGTTCGAAAGCTCATGTCTTTGCTTCGGTACACATCGGAAGCAGAAGCCTCTATTTTCGACGTATGGAAGGCTTCTCAGGCAAAGGTTGCAACAGTTCCAAGCAGGGCTACGCGTTCTGTATGCCCTGCAGAGGAACTCCAATGCCTGGCGGGTGCCAACCCTGCACGCGACGCATACGTGCTCTTCGGGCATTGGGGCCCTCGGCTCGCTGACATAGTAGTCGACTTGCTGCTGAATAGTCATGGCGATTTAGGCTTGGGTACTAAAGGAAGTGTGTAATTAGATTGTGAGGACGGAGGTAGTTGACGGCTGGGGATTCTCACTTGCGTGTAAAAAAAAAGAGTCGAGATATTTTTGTCTAGATCTTTGTGTGTGGTAGTGTGTGGATTTGTGTTTAGATATTAGTCTCTTATCTGTGTTTAAATAGCTTCTGAGTCTGCTGTGTTCGGCGCTGAGGAAGGACAGGAAGGGGAGACAGGAGAAGGAACAAGAGCGAGAAAGTTTGGCGTGTATTTTGAACAATGACAAGTGCACGTATCTCTCCGTTGAAGTGGGGTCCTCGAGCAGTCCAACTCACTGTCTATCCCCTGAAAAGCCGCCTGGTGCCTAATTATATATTGGCTATCACCGAGAAGTGGCTTGATACTCGTTCAAGTGCAGGCACTGCCAGTTGCAGACGGCGACATGACCAGCCCGACAGACCTAAGTTCTTTCATATACCATCATTGAACTGTCCTCAGTACCATCGAACACTATGCAATCGATATACTCCTTTTGCTGATTCCTTTCTTTTTGGCTCCATCGTCTCGATCCTCTCTCCTCAGACTACGACCTCCCCGTGACGCGTCACAGGAAACATCACCTTGTGATGAAGCCGCTGCAACCGCTTCCTTCTTCTCAAAGCTTCATCTTCATATCCATGGAACGCTAGTCCAGTTGCAACTAGGTACAGTGGTACGTCTGCCATAAGATATGAAAGCCCTGACAGATAATAGTATGCTTCTGTCAACGGCTGAAGCGGCATCCACTCTCGTGCAGGTTGTACGATCTTGGCATTCTCATCCCCTTCCGTCCATGAGGATTTCAGAGCATCATCTTTGTACCTCAAAGTCCACCCATCGACTGAAAAGTTCCATTTCGATATTCCATTCGGCGTCTGGTAGGTGGTGAAAGTTTTGAGAACTGCTTCGAGAAACTCTCGGAGTTCGTCCTCTGTTCTGTCTGACCACTCTTCCTTTGCTAATGCACTGCTCTTGTTAGTCGCATTATCTGGAAGTTCGCCATCGTCGACAGAGTAGCCAGTCACTGCCGTCGAGGACTGTGTGGTGAGAGGTTCGATTGCCATTGTATAGCTGTTTGAAGTGTCACCCGAGGACAGAGAAACGCCATCCTGAGCCTTCTCATCATCCTGCAGAGATGAAGGCTCCCGAAAAGGTTCATCACCATCTGATTCTGCCCCCCCTTGGCTCGTTTCAGATGCTACCTCTTCGATAGGAGACAGTAGCGTTGGTACGTGGAAGTCAATCTCAGTCCTCAACATTACATCCGGGGCCTGAATCTGGGGCAAGTTGACAGTAAGAAAGGAGTGATAATCGCAGCCCCAAGTACGATTTCCTGGTTTCTTGTCCTGTCTGACACACAATTCGCAAAGGTCGACTGTGCAGCATGTGCAACAAACGTAGCGAGGGCCTGTAATTGTGGCAAGACACATATCACAGTAGTTGTCATGCTGCAAAACTAAGGGGGTTGTCTCTACAGCTCGAGCACTTCTTTGAAGAGCAATTTGGGCGAAGCTGTATGACCCGAGCTGGAGCAGAAACTTGCCAAGGCGCTCCCATCTTACCCCGTGAAGGTCGAAATCATCCAATAGGCTTTGAGCATCCCGACGTACACCTTCGACACAGCGATCGAATGGCGCAGGATTGTTGGCTTCAGGTCTGGTCAGGTCATAAGCGTTAAGCCCGTACATGTCTCGGTTCTCGGTAAGTATCCTCTCTACATCCGAGTCTTGAGCAGCACCTAGCACTATAGCAGGCATCAAACGTGTTCCCGATTGCTGTGCTATCTGAAGCGCAGTCCGGTCGAAGGAGTCCCGTTGAGTCAGATCGATGGAATCATGCTCAAGAAGAATCCGTAAAGTATCATACTGACGATTGGTGATCGCCCCAAAGATTGGGACGTTTCCATATTTCGATTTTCTGTTCACATCTGCACCACGTTCCAAGAGGATTGGCACCACCTTATCGTGACCAGAATTAACTGCCTTGAATAACGGTGTCTCGCCATCTGGTAAGATGCAGTCGGTGTCGAGGTTGGGATTCTTCTCCAATACGAGCTTCAAATTCTTCTCAGATCCACCAGACACAATGATAGGTATGATGTTGTCTCCATCATCAAAGATGACATCTGTTGACGCTCCTCGTTCGAGTAGATATTTGACCATGTCCTCATGTCCTTCCACACAAGCGTACCAGAGTGGTGTCCTCTGAGCTCTATCACGTATCTCAAGTGACGAATCGTCGACTGCTTCAAGGATGGTTTCCAAAACCTGGGTATTACCTCCCTCAGCGGCGGCATGGATGATAGTCTGGCCCCTGTTGATCTTGGATTGCAGCTGGTTCTTTGGGTCGGCTCCCTTACTGAGAAGTAGCTTTACTGCATCCAATCTGCCACCTGATGCCGCTGCTTTTAAAGGGGTTCCTGCCCAGCCCCATTCGAAGTTGACCAACTCGCCAACATCATCGACAACCTCCAAGAAAGTTTCCATCACGTCCAGCCAGCCCCCTATACAGGCAGCATGAAAGGCACTTGATTCTTTGGTAGTTTCTGGGTAAGGATCTGCTCCACGCTTCAGGAGCTCTATCACGATACTTCGATGGCCTTTGTTGGCTGCAATGTGTAGTGGAGCGCTTGAGTTACGTTGTCCATTCCGCATGTTTGGATCCGCTCCATGATCAAGAAGCATACTGACGATGTCCAATCTCCCAGTTGTCGCTGCAATACCAAGAGCAGTGTATTCCTTTTCACCTTTCGCGTCTATATCAATAAAGAACCGGCTCGAAAGAATAATTTCGACCATCTCAAGGTTTCCCCAGTCGACCGCAATATGAAGGGGTGTTTCATAATCAGGTTTACTTGGATCAGCTCCGTGAGAGACAAGGCATTCGACGATGTCGAGATCGTTCAGGTCTGCCGCTATTGAAAGAGCCGTGCTTCCATCCCTGTCTTCTGCGTTGACTTGGCATCCAGCATCAAGAAGCAGCTCACAGCCCAATAAATTCTGAGCCGCCACTGCGATATGTAGGGGAGAGCTCATCCCCTTCACGGGGCACTCGACTGCAGCACCTGCGGCCAAAAGCGTCCTCAAAATATCACTATGGCCCGACTCAACGGCCAGAGCCACTGGTGAAGCTTTTGGCAGATCTCTGGGAGGATCATTGAGGTTCGCATGCTTCTCGATAAGCTTATCAACCACCCCTTTCCATCCCTTGAAGCATGCCATGTGAATCAAGCGCTCATTCCGCCAAACTTGATCCACGTCGACATGTTGTACCAGGATCTCGAGGGCATCAGTACTCCCCATCCAGCTAGCTAAGAAAGGTATAGGTTTTCCATCGAATGCGGGAGCGTCAAGGTCCGCTGAGAACTCCAGTAAGATTTCAACCATTTCGGAACTATTCTTCCCTGTAGCAAGTGCAAGTGGTGAATGGCCGTTGATAGATGAAATATTAGGATCGGCCCCAAATTCAAGAAGTGTTTGAACAACATCCACTGCGCCAACATCAACCGCGGTGAACAGTGCCGTTTGGTTCCATGGATCAACAGCATCTACCTTGGCGCCAGCCTTGAGGAGAGCCCGCACGCTCCGGCAATGACCACGGACTGCGGCAAGGATTAAAGGTGTTGACCCGTCATTATCTGGCAGGTCTACATTCCTCGCAAAAGGGAGAAGTACCTCCAATGCTGCCCCCGGTTGGGCTGCGGCATAGTGTATTGCTGTAGTGCCTTCCCATATATTGTTGACTAGTGTCTCCAGGTCTTCTTCAACCTGTTGCTTTGATTTTGGGGAAATATGAAGAAGAAGATCATAGATTTTGTGAAGGAAGCGGTTTGGGTTAAGTTCTAGGGCCTTGGAGAAGATCTCTTTGATTACAAGATCCGCATCCCACTGAGCGAGCAACACCAAGGGTGGTTTTGCTGATTGAATGGAAGATTGAGTCGTGTTAATCAATCGCCCACGGCCTCCAGATCCGTCAGAGTCACAATTACTCACACTGTCATCTGTGCCGTCCGATAGGTATCCAGCTTTGGTCATATCTTCAGTCTGCTTGCCAGCAGCTGAGGATGGGGTCTGTGGGCGTTCTATTGCAGGGGGCGATCGAGTCCTCGACCCATTTGAGGACCTGCTCCTAGACCTCGAAGGACTCGGTGTCTGAGCCCTGAATAACGCAAACGATCGTGTCGGCGATGGACTTTTGGATCCCCAAGCACGTTTCTGGAAGGTGTAATATCGCCACTTTTCCCCAGCTGGGGAGCGGATGAAATCCCATAAATCCCAAGATATCTTGTAGGTATCTGGCCCAAAGAACTTCAAATGATACCTAAACCAAGACGAAGAGTATTCCAGAAATACATAGCGATCTGCAAGAGCATCTCGACAATAGTCTGTCCATGGGTCGTGATATGGTTCCCAATCTATCTCCCTAACATATTTGAGGCATGCGGTTGCGAGAGTTTGATGTACGAGCTTGAGATCATATGTGTCGAGAATAAAGTCGTAAAGAGTCTGATGCAAAAGTTCGAGAGTGTCCTCGGCGCCAAATCTAATTAGTCGCTGGCATGTTCTTGTCAAATCGCCGACAAGATCGTAAGTCCTCGTTACCGAGGGATTTAGAAACCGAAGGATCTCCTTGGCTTCTTCTATTCTCAAGGTCGACCTTGCTATGCAGATAATCTGAATCAGCTGAAACAAATCATTGCGTTCATTCTGAATGCGGTCCATATCTTGTTGATATATCGCTTCCATGGTTGGAGGACAGCTTGTAACGAGTGTAAAGACTGAGTTAGCTCCTGTGTCTTTGATGTGCCACAGTTCCTTGAGGACTGCTGATGCAAAAAGAAAGCTTCCATTTGACCTCTCGACAATGACGGCTGAGACAGAAGCTCGTCCAACAGTGGCTATCCGGCGACTCAAGATGATGCGGTCAACTTCTTCATCAACTACCTTTTGAATATCATTGAGGATCAGATCTGGTGTGACTTCTATGTGGTTATTTGCGAGCGCAAATCCTCGGATCGAGTCTGCCATGCGTGATGTTACGACAACTTTGAGGGCTGAAGCAGAAGCCTCACGGCGAAAGATCGTGTCTAAGCCACGGAGCAATCGGATGATGAATTCGTCTTCGCATTGATCTAGACCGTCAATTATTAGACAAGTTGGCCTAGCATCTTCAGCCGTCGCCAGTAATTGGACAATTTCCATCAATTGGATGAAATGTCCACTATTCTCGGTTTCGAGAGGTGATCGCGACTTCTGTCTATCGACCCCAAGGGTTTCTAAGACTGATTCGAGTTTTTTTCTTGTCGCTTGTGACATGGTGGTATACTTGCTCAACATAGATTGGACAACAAGATCCAATATCGGAGGGTTGTGTCGAGAGCTCTCCAGACTATCACAGTAGAATGGTATGACGAGGTTCTCCTCCCAGCTTTCATCGCTCGAATCTTTCATTGCACCCTGGATGTACTTTGCCAAGTTTGACTTGCCACATCCAGGGCTCCCTGTAATGAATAGGAGACTACCATTCTTGTTTTCCTTCCATTTGACGAAAGCGGGATCTTCCAATATCCATGAGCATGTCTGCCAGTGAGGAGCCTCGCGATCAAGACCTTTATTCTCGGGTGTCACAGAGCGAAGAAGGCGTATGAAATCATTAAAGTCCTTGACGTCTTTTGCAAGTCAGCATACCATATACTCCTGTAACAACACCTCGGCCTACCAAATTTCTCCGGTTGTGTCCGATTCTGAGCTTGAGACACAGCAGTCTCATGCTGTGTTGGTAAGTCGACATTGATGCGGCTTGTGACTTCTTTCAATAGTTTGTCGACACTTGAGCGAATCGCCGACTCTCTGGAGGATTTTGATGCTTTCCCTACTTCATGTCGACGCCGGAGAGGAGCGTTCTGGCGTGGTCGAGGAGGTGACGGTCTGGGGAAATTAGCATTTTTCGGGCGGGTCAAAGGTGTTTCGTACTGTGTAGCATCATCATCTGTCCACGTAGGTGCCTTTTTTATTGGTTTGATTGGAGGTGATTCGGCCAGTCTGACTAGCCTCTCAACTTCGCCCCAGAACAGTTCGAACCGTGGGTGTAAAGGGGAGGCGAATTTAGGTAACCCAGAGTGCGTACAATTTAGATCTATGTTATCGACACCTTGAAGGACAGCAGACCATTGAGGGACTATCTTGGCGAAGTTAGCGGGATAAACTTGGCCACAAGATTTACTTACAATTTCTTTTGTTCCATTGGGTAACCGCTGCGGATGAGACTCATAGCAACATAGGAGCTTGATTGAACGATGAACATCAATAGTAAATTCCATGTTGATGTCTTGTACTGAGTTTGAGAAAGCACGGAGTTCTTTTGTGAGGTTTGTCGCAACCGCCGTTTGAAGTTTCATCAGAGATGCCAATTTCTGCACAACGACAAGGTCTTCAGCCTTTTCCGATCCCATATGAGGGGTTCCCATGAAGATAATGGACTTTGTGGCTTGCTTAACAGCTTTCCAATCGTCATTTGTCGCGCATAGAAGTATTGCCTTGGGTTTGTGAGTTGGAAGACACATGGGAATTGGTTCTCAACTCACTCTTTTGACCACTAACCCACCAAGGCTGTGAGCAATGAATATTAGGGGGCGGTCCTGCAAAGACATTAGACAAATTTATCAAAAATCCTGACCGTGCATACTGGGTGATCGAGTCGTTTCAGAACCAGATTTCGGAGTAAATCATTGGCGTGATGAATTATTCTCGTATTGGCGACATCGCCGAAACGGTGAGCATTGTAGCCAAATGACAGAACGCGAACCGAATCTTTGAGGCGGCCAAGAAACTCTGGCTTTGTAAACCACGGTTCAGTTGTCCCCTCTTTCTTCCAAGTGGTTCTGAGATTCCCCCCTAATCCATGCACAAAGACGAGGCTTTATATGGTGAGTTTAGACTAGACATTGGTTTCAAGTTCAACTCACTCCACAAGGTCTTTCTGGTCGGCAAATGAGTTATCGTTCAAAGAAGGTACGTACATCTCCTTGAGAATGTACTCATAATGTGGCTCATCATCCTGATCCGATATCTTGAATCACAAATAGTCAGCGGTGGTCAATACGCGGGGCTTGTAGTGTCATATCCTCTATCTTACTGTGGTATCGTCGGACGATGAGAGACTTTCCTCTCGGCGACGCCCAAGTCTCATTTTTACGGCGATCCAAACAGAAATTTGTAGTCAGGCAGGACAGCCTTGAACCCAAACAATGTTGAGCACGGCTGGCCTATGAGCTTTAATCGAAAGTGCGGGTTTGGGGGCCGTCAGCAAGGCTCAGCCTCATCCAATGATGGAGACTGCCAGAGGTGATGCATGGGTCCTGTTGACCCTTGCAAGCACACAGTAGCTTCCCTAACTCAAGTGTCAATATTTGTTGCTTCGACATCTTGGTTCAGCTTGAGATGAAAAGGAGAAGAGGAACTTTCCAAGACTCATACCATTGATTTAAATTTCGGCTTAAAATGGTCACTCAGAAACCGGAGGAAGGTGCTGTTCAATGAAGTGTTGAACACTTAACAAGCGCTGCAGCACAATACAGCCTAAGCTTGTCTAATCATAGTTAAATTAGTTTTCATTCTTGGGGACTCTTGATATGATGCGCCGAGATAATTGGTAGTCAAGAGGGTTGCGTTTGTATTTAAAGTTGCTTGAGATTTACCATAGACAATAAATGGTCACCGCTTTTTTGGCTCAGGTCCTCTGTTCAATCACAATGGGACCAAAATCAATAAGCCAAACCATTCATTTTACTACTCCAAGCTCATTTTGTTTTTTCTAGGATCGACAAGTCCACTGAAGCCGGTCTGATGCCAAAATCCGTTATCGTTTCATCTTCACAAATGATGACTCTAAAGCCATTATCGTAACGCTCTAGAAATACAGCTTACCCTGTAACAGCGAAATAGGTCTTGGATCAAATGTGTGATTGGCTCATATGCTTATAGCAACGCTCAATTACTCACCCGGCGTCCTTCGCCTACGGGGTGAGACCTTGACGTGACTCAATTTTCAAATGTGGTAGAGTACTTCTTACGCATACTTTATCAATAAATACCTAGCTTGAGATTTGCTGTAGCGGTCTTCTTTTCTACAGCAATACTTGAACATTCTCCACTGCTTCTTGATTCACTTGCCTTGATCAAGTCTCCACTACCAAGAAAGTCCAAATCGAAAAAAGACCCTTCCATCCAAGTCAGGTGATCGAAGCAATTGCCCCTCCCCCTCCTTCCTGGGCTATCAACAACGATAAAAAATCCACCACTAGGCTCAACCAGATTGAACGAATATCGTACCATCGCGAATCGCCAAGATGTTGGACATTGAGGATTTTATCGAGGAGCGCGGCGGAAACCCCGAGAAGATTCGAGAGAGTCAGCGTCGCCGACATGCTCCTGTAGAGCTGGTTGACGAGGTTATTGCCCTTTGGCAAGATGCGCGCAAGAGTGAGTCATTGAATATCTTTACAATTTTATGATCTATTTGCACCAGCTAACATCTTGGAAGCTCAGTATGGAGTTACACAGATCGGTACACAAATAAACGGCGTTCAAAAGGAGATTGGCCTCAAGAAACGAGCCAAGGAGGACGCGACCGAGCTACTTAAGCAGAAGGAGGAGTTGACAGAGAAGAAGAAGATCCAGGAGGAGCTTGCCGCGGCAAAGAATGCCGAGCTCAAAGTCAAGGCAAAGCTCGTCGGAAACTATGTGCACGATTCCGTCCACGTCAGCGACAACGAAGACAACAACACGATCGAGCGAACTTGGGAACCTGAGACTTTCGACAAGACCAAGCAAGCTGCTCTTTCCCACCACGATGTGCTGCTGCGACTTGGCGGATACGACCCTGTTCGAGGAGTCAAGTTGGTCGGCCACCGAGGTTACTGCTTGACTGGCTACGGCATGTTCCTGTAAGTCAGAAGGGCTTTAAGGGCGACAACGACTGACATTGACAGGAACCTTGCACTCGTCAACTATGCCACAGCCTTCCTCTTCAACAAGGGTATGCATACTTAAATCCAAATTATCATGCACCGTTAACGAAATCTGTGCTGCAGGCTACACCCCTAACCAACCTCCCTTCATGCTCAACCGCGACCAGATGGCCAAGACTGCACAGCTCTCTCAATTTGACGAGGAGCTTTACCGTGTTTCCGAAGGACCTACACCTTCCGAGTCGGATCGATACCTGATTGCCACCAGCGAGCAGCCCCTTTCCGCCCTTCATGCCGAGGAGTGGATCCAGCCCTCTGAGCTCCCTATTAAGTACTGCGGTTACAGCACTTGTTTCCGAAAGGAGGCCGGTAGCCACGGTCGTGATGCCTGGGGCGTGTTCCGCGTGCACCAGTTCGAGAAGGTTGAGCAGTTCGTCCTCTGTGGCCCCGATGATAGCTGGGACCAGTTTGACCAAATGATGGCCAACTCCGAGGAATTTTACAAGTCCCTTGGACTTCCTTACCAGGTCGTGGGTATCGTCACAGGTGCGTTGAACAACGCTGCTGCCAAGAAGTACGACTTGGAGGCATGGTTCCCCTTCCAGAAGGAATACAAGGAGCTTGTTTCTTGCTCCAACTGCACAGACTACCAGACCAGAGAGCTCGAGATTCGCCATGGTTCAAAGAAGGGCAAGCAGATCGTTGGTGGTGGAAAGAAGGAGTATGTCCATGCTCTGAACGCTGTAAGTCTTGGGATGATCCCCTCGCTTGTTGGGATCATATCGCTAATTCATCGTTATAGACACTCTGTGCTACTGAGCGAACACTATGCTGCATTCTTGAGAACTACCAAACAGAGGAAGGACTCGTTGTGCCCGAGGTGTTGCGAAAGTATATTCCTGGCGAGCCTGAGTTCTTGCCTTTTATCAAGGAGACCCCCAAGGAAGTAGAGAAGACCGAAAAGAAGGAGGGCGGCAAGAAAGAGAAGACCCTTCCTGTTCGTGAGACTAAGGCATAAATGATTGCATTCTGTCAAGATGAAATGGGATGTTATAGAGGAAGAACATGTGTTCTATTTTTGATGATACAGCGTATGATGGGAATGCAGTAGGAATCAATCAAAATCATCAACAGGATAGCTGGTCAGCTAAACAAGCTGGACGAATCTCTGTTCAACATGTTGGTGCTCGTCTCTGAACAAAGCTTGGATGAAAGCTTGAATACGGGTCGGAAGAGGATATCTCCGAAATTCCGCGGCACTGAACAAGTTCGGTCAGAAGCGCTAGCCCACGGATCGTTGTGCCCTTTCCCCGCCCCCTGTCAAAACGACACCGGTCCTCTCCGTGATCAAGACGGAGGTGGGTACCGTTTTGGCATTTAATCTGCCGGCCTCGTTGTGGAAGCACCATGGCAGCAACAGCCGGTACCATCAGCGATTAAGTGTCCAGAGCCCAATGGTTTTACTACGAAGCAAGATACTACATCCCTATATATACTGTACAGGACGCAGGCAAAGGAATTCGTTACTGGGCGCGTAGGAATTCATTCCATCCGAACTCAGTGACGGTGATAATTACGGTACGGTGCCGCCGCATCATAAAACCACTGTGCTGTACTCGGAAACGGCCCCACCGTAATGCTTCTGTCGGAGACGCGCCTCCTTTTCATCACCAGAGCAGGAGGCGCCTGCGAATGGGTGAAATTGTCGGCCGGGCACGGAGGGTGGGTGCCGCATGTCTCTGTGAGAGGGTGAGCGTAGAAAATACTCAAACGTTGCTCTGAAAACGAAACCGTTCTGTCTTGTGGATATTGACATTGGAGACTCGAAAGCTCGCGCCGCCGGGCGGAGTGGAGGTAGCAGTCCCGACAATACCTGGACCATGTCCGGCCACATCCATTGCTATCCGGAAGTGTCACAGGACATGTCAAGTATGGGGGATAAGGTGATTCTGACCACTTATCCAGCGGCCTGTGTGTGATATTGAAAATAGGGCTGTCTTGAAGAAAAACATGATCTTCTTATTGCTCCTTCATGCGCCGACGAAGCAGGCTGCCACAAGGAGGGGAAGAGAATGGATGGTACTGATAGCCCCGGGCCTGGCTCGGATCATTATTTGCCGGCCCGGAACCAATAAAGGGCTGCAGAGTGCACAAATAAGACATCGTCGCCATTGTCTGTCTGTATACAAAAGCGAGTAACATATGGGAAAATGTTGAGTGAATGTCATAGAGATACAGCTATGGGATGTTGAGGCTCCAAAGCTCTAGCCTTGCGGGTCACCACGACTGAGGGCTAAGGAATAGGCCATGGACGGCACGGCGGCGGCTATTGAAGCCACTTGGTGATATTGTTCATGTGTAATGCTGCAGCAGAACAGCTCGTGTTTTACGGTAACACCAAATGGCTGAGCTTCAAATGTACTTTCGATATTGACTACAACGTATGGATGCAGGAGATGACAGCGACGTAGTAGGCGCCTGCTTGTCCTACATTGAGAAAACAAGGAGATCTCTTTCGCCTTTCGGAATGGTGATCGACCGCTCAGCAGTTTGAACACCAACAAGAATTCTTTGAGAGGGAAATTGGATACTTAAAAGCCTGTCTCCAGACTCGGAGGGCAAAGCGATGGACAAGCCCCAGCTCTGGAGACCGATGAGACTGCCGAACACCCCAATTCTGACATCAAATTTGTGTGCACTGTGGTGAGTGTCCGGGGGAACAATATCGGCGGTGAATGGTGAATGCCAGGGGGAAACCTCGGGCGGTTCGGCCTGGGGAAGGGGAAATGAAAACCACTAGGCCCCGGTGACGGCGCGAATAAAATCGGCATCGCCACCAGTTTTTACGGGTTTCACAACGTTGGATTTCGGGCGACAAACAACCGTGCTTTTTAATGAACTCGTATCGCCTGTTCATACAAAGGTCGATGTGTGATGATCAGAGAAGGATGAAGCTTAATCAATGCTGAATGAACTCCGACGTTACCGACACCCCGGATATGCCGATGCTCGGGGCGCGTCGCCAAAACAACCGAAAAACGACCCATCTCTGCCCTGCAGACGATGATGCCGCTGATGCCACCGCGGTTACATCAACGAAGCTGTCTGTCAAATGAGAGGCTTATTGTGGTCAGTCCTGGGGATTCTGGGGATAGTCAGATCGTAGCGACTGTGATGAAACCTCGCGACAATTTCATGCGTCGACCTGCGCAGGACGGCGTGACATGCACATACAGCAGGTACGTATCTCGTTCCTGGTCGCGATATGAATACCTTATTTGCGCCCGCGTTTTGGTTGCTTGCTTGTTCCTTTGTTTTAATCCAGGTTGTTGTAGACTCCGTAGGTGGCCCCGCTACCGTTTTAAATGCCGGCGTATGGAGCGCGGAAGCTGGATGAGATGTTTATGATCAGACCCTCTTTGTCAAGAGGAGAATGTGAAAGCTTGACGATGGCCACTTCCTATCTACTCACGAATACCTTCCATCATTTACTTGATGCCTTGCGCCTCTATTTTTATGCCCAACTAGACGACTTCTCAGCCATTGTAGTGATTGCACGGCGATGACACTACGGCCCCCTTGAAAACCCGATGCCGAGAGGCCGTAGCGCTGAATTTGGTTTGCGGTGCGGGCAGCGGCCGAGCATGATTTCCAAGCTTCATTTCCATGGGGGTCACAATAAAATAGCTACATCTTGAATGATACCTGCTGAATCGCGACGTTTTATTCATCTTCAAGGTTCCTTAGGCATGGGTTTGATACATAGGTGCTGTAATGTATGACGTGCACTTATGGATTATTCTTGTCTTTCGGATAGAGCTCAGTTGATTCATAGGTCTGTCCTCAGTGATCGAAGGCCTGTAACGTTCGGGTGCGGATTTCTTTCAACCTTTGCCCTGTCGGTTTACGACCCACACACCCCCGTGGCTCTCCTCCGTTTCCCGTTCTCCGTCCCCCGTTTCTTCTGCCTCTTTTGTTGATGTTCCTGCCTTTGTCTTCAGGCTGTCCTGTCCGCTTTGTCGCCCTTTCGTGCTTTTGCCTTGCCAGTCACCTCCGCTTCCTCCGCCCCCTTCTCCTCTTCATTTCCACTTCCTCCCATCTTGCCCCATACACGCGATATTTTTTGTGAAAGATCTTGTTTCTACTGTTCATAGTAGTCTGAGACTGCTATTTCCATTTTTCTGCTGTTGTCTGGACATTGTGTGCGAATTGCCTGGACAGCCGGACTTAGGTAAAGGCTCTCCGACTCAGTTTGATCGCCCCGGGCTTGGGTCCTCTCCTTCATCCGATCGCACGGCGCCGCCATTTCGGTTGTTTTCGCCTACCAACTTTCCTAACGAGTGCGTAAGCTATTCCTTCTGCTGAACTCGCTGCAGCAACAGACTTTTTATCTTGTTCTGTTCTTCAATTTTTACCATTTTCTATGTGGTGGCTCCCGCCTTGTTCAGCCGCCCGAAAATCCCCCAAATTCGCGCGTGCCTTCCGTTCGGCCTCGCTTGCCTCCTCCTTCCTCACACGGGGCCCTCCGGTCCTCTGCCGTTATTTTCACACGGAGCCCACCCCGAGAATTTCTTCCTTTCATCAACCATTTTCGCTACCATTTCATCATCCTCAGCAGCATTTACTTACCAATACCCTTACAGCCGTCAATCGTTCCTCAGACTCACAGTTCCAATAGTCCGCCGCCGACCATGTCGTCTGGCGTTGTACGCTCTACCGCCCTCCGGGCTGGCGGTGCTTGCGTGCGTTGTCGCAAGGGCAAGACAAAATGCGTTTATGAGAATGGCCGAGCGCCATGCAAGAACTGCGCAAAGGGAATGCATGACTGCTATCTGCCTTCAGAGAGTATGGCTCATCACCATGGTCAAAGCCCAGCGCGACACGCCAATCCTCATCGGCCACCTCGCGACAGTCTTCCTGCTGCAGGACCTGGCGTTGTTGCTGAAGCGCGACAGCCTGTGGTAGGCTCCAGTGCTGCTCGTCATGTTCAAACAGGTTCCGATAAGTATGCCGTCCATTTCCATTGTAGTCTATTGTTTCTGTACTATTTCTTCTGTCGTTGCTATTCTCCGACAGCCATTTCCCCACACTCGGATCTTATCACAGCCCTCACTGTCGCGCGTCAGCATAAACAGCCCCGACAGATGCGGCATCTGCCAGTTGTCTTGTCAAACTGCTCTTCTTAACCCCTGGTGGATCGGCAGACGAGTCATCTTCGCCTCGCTTCCCTGCCTCGTCTCATCATAAGACTTTGGCACCCTCAGGCAGCTTCGTCGTCTTGCCCGAGTGGCTAGCCGCCCACTCGACATGCCTCCATCAGCCCCTTAGCCGGCCCCCGTACCCCTGCCCTGTTCCCCATTTCTCATTACCACACCCGCGCCCGCGCTTCTTTGGTTGCTCTCCCCGATCGCGCGACCCACTTTATCGCCGTCGGCTTACGGGGAGCCCCCGAGAATTCTCATCAGAGTCTCCTGTGAAACTCCAGAGCTGTATCTTTCGAGACGATATGAGTCGAGTTCTAACTTGGCTATATTTCATTATTCTTTGTGGTTTCCTGAAATCTTGAATTGAACTCTCGAAGATACACGCCAGCGCTTTTTTTTTTTTTTTTTTTTTTTTTTTTTTTTTTTTTTTGATTCTTGGGTCATTGAAGTGCAGGCCCTGGAGGTTGAGACGGGCCGTGCCACCCCCTAGACCCCATTCGCGGTCTCTGTTTCCTTCGGTTTTGCTAACTGCAGCACTTAGGCTCACTCCCGAACTGATCGCCGAGTGTGAACGTGTTGTATCGAAAACATTTCCAGCTTGTGTTGCGTTTCACAAGCCCTCGTTTGTACAACAGCTGAAGAGCGCATCTTTGGACGCTGCTTTGGTCTACGGTCTTTTGACTTGTGCCGCCAGGTACGTTACTCTTGTTTTGTCGTTGCCTCATGTCATTTTCGAATTATCCCTCACACGCTCACTCCCCGGTATGTGGATCCACCGACCGGTGACGGTAGCACCGGTTTGAGCTTCGACACGCCGTAGACCGGATTTGAGCCGAGGCTTCCCGAACCACGGCATTCCGAATCACAGCCTGTTTTCTCTTCATCATGATGGCCGCAATACCTTGAGTCACTGATCTAGACGCCATTTTCATGCCAAGTCCCCACTGCTAACTTGATGCTGTCTCCAGGAGCTCTCCGAGTCTGATCCGCCGATATGGAGGTCCTACTCAAGCTGCAGAGACATTTGCTGCCAAGGCCATGACCCTTATCAACCAAAACTTGGATCATCCCAATCTCGTCGACATTCAGGCTCTATGCTTGATCATTATCCACGAATGGGGCTCGCGAAATGCCGTTCGTGCCTACATTTACTTGGGGCAAGCGGCACGCATGGTTCAGATGTATCGCATCTTGAACAGCCATCATGCGTCCCCAGATGGCGATATGTTCTTGCGGGATGAATCTCTTCGGCGTACTGTTTGGCTTATTTACATCTTGGATTGTCTTTTAACCAGCACACCGGGACGTTTCGCCGCACTGTCTCCCCTCGACACCGCAGACGTGCCTTTGCCTTGCTCCGACATCAACTTTGCATTTGGCAACGCTGTCTTTGTCAAGACCCTGCGACAGCAGCTTGATCCTACTGCCGTTCCACCTGGCCAACCACCATCCGAGATTGGAGAGTTTGGTTATATCGTCTTGGCATCGACAATCTGGCGTGACGTTGTTGGAATGCTTACCACTACTACCCTCGCGAGTTTCCGCGAGGAGGACTGTGGCGATTTAATTGCCAAGATCGAGGGTCTTCGAGCTTCTTTGCCCATGCAGTTCGTGGACAAGCCGGGCCAGATCAACCTACACATGACGATGGGCTCTGGCTACACCTTTGCCATGCTCCACTGCCTCCTACATTGCGCAACGATCTTTGTCCATCGAAGGCGTCTGTTGCAGGAAGTTACTTCAGTCAACTTCAACCTAGAGTCATTCCGCCTTAACGCTCGATGTCACGATATCATTGATCGGCTCTTTACTTCCTGCCACGGCACGATCTCTCTACTGACCGCTGTCGAGGCAGGCTCTGAGAAGGACCACACCCCTTGCTTCCCGATCTTCATGCTATTTTCAGCCTTTACAGCCAGTGCCACTGTTGCCTACCTGTCTCTCAAGGGCCTCACACCGCCCAACGCTGTCGAGACCGCCGCTCACATTGTCAAGGATGGTCTACGATTTATGAGTGATGGCACTGAGAACTGGCCTCTGATGGGCAGCTGGCTTCGACACCTCACCGTCATGCAAAGAGTGCTCAACAACGATGCTGCGGCTGCCAATGGTGGCTCCTTGCGCCATGGCTCGACATCTCACGGTGCGGGTGTTAAGGACGAAATCTCATCCAACGCTGACACCAACCCGGATGCGATGGACTATGACCAGCAGACCAACCATGCAGGTAGCGTCTCAGGTCAGGGCAATCCTCGATCTGTCTCAGAGTCTGTGCGTGGCGACAGTGAGCCTCCTGTTGTTCTGGCAAGACGACCTGGCGTTACAACCATCAACGGGTCTGGGGGAGCATCCACCCCTACGACAGTTTCGCCACCACCGTCCAATACGACCCACGGAACAGTACCCGATATCAAACAACAGCCTAGCCCAGAAATGGCAAATGGGATTGTGCCTCCTCAGGATGGACAGACGACGAGCCAGGATATGACTGCACCGGAGCTTTGCCAAGCCTTCGAGCGACAGCTCCTTGATCTCGATGATCTTGCGGCTTTCATGGGCGGAGGGGTTTAGTGAGACGAGGCTATGAATAATTTTCAACAGAAATAATGAGGGTCTTTAGCGATTGGTATCAAATTTTGGGCAAATGCAAGATCATAATGGTGAAGTCGGGGGATCGCTACATTAACAAGAGACTTGCCAGGGTTTTTGTAGGACTACGTTGCGAAGGAATACCCAATATAACCTGGAAGGGCGTTGGGGAGAGAGTCTTTTTTGGTACCTAGAGGTACCCAGTCGATATATTCAAGAAGTCGGTGTTCTCCTTTCCTTCGAGACACCAACAGTTACAACCCATGTTTGCTGTGAAGTGCATGTAACCAACCCTGATATGGATAGAACCTATCCGAGCACCAAGCATGTCGATTTTGGTTTGAGGCTAGGAAACTCTCAAGCGACTGTTGATCTGAGCTTCCTGTTCTAGTGTTGTGTATCTGGCTACTAGGGTTCTAGATGAACTTTGACTTACACCAGCCCCGAGTTCACCCGCCATGGTCTGATAGTGTCTATCTCTATATCCCTGAGTGACGAACCCAGATTACGGTAGTGTTGTGAAGGACGTAAGCTAGTGGGCCGTAGACACCAACCACATCTACTTCACTATCTTCAACTAGCAAATGTTATTCGGACATCAGAAATATGGCCGAGGATAGCTCATGGCAATGGAATTGTTGATAACTGACAAGTAACATGGCAAGTCCGGTAACCAGATTTAAACGAGGCTCATTACACCGGGGCTCTTGTATTTCGGGGAGTCGGGAATGATGTAAAGTAACATGGAGGGTTCGTGATATGGTGGCTCGAATGACAAAGTATCACGCTTCTAGAAGCCTTCTGGAAGGCCCGGCAAGAGGTTAGATTTCGGTTACACTCAAGCTTGAAACGATGGATTGGAAAAGGTTTAGCTGTCGAGCTAGAGAGATCAGCGGGCGTAAGTGATGGGCTGGATTTGAGTAAGAGGGATTTTCTGGGGAAACAAGCTTGTGGAAACGCATAAGCTGTGGAGGGATACTTTCATGGGGGTGACACGCGGAGGAGGAGGGTTGAAGCTCAAGGTCAGTGCTGAAAAATGAGACCTTATGTTGGTGTTTAATTGGTATACGATGCTGGCGTTAATTTCCAGGGATGAATCTATCGAATGATATTGGTGTTTCTGAGTCATTCGTCCCGTATTCTTCCTCAAAATGGCTCTTGATCAAAAGTGCAAGTTGAGTGATGCCAGCTGGTGATGTCAAGTCGTAGGCACATGGGCTCCACTTCAGATGCCGGATTGCCGATTCCCCCAGGAGCCGCTTACTCGAACTAGAATAGCTCCGGGCATCTCTCTCCACTTTATCGGCCGTCGTGTGCCGGGATGAAGCGGGGACTGACACTTGGAGATAGAGGAAGCTTCTCCAGGTTTGAGTAGTGCGGAGGAGGCACGTCTAGTCTATGAGTCGTGAGGGGAAGGCAACTACGTCAGGCTACTTGAAGAGAGAAAGGGAGAAGAAGGCATTTTGATATTGTTGACCTGCGTTGCTTGGACAAGTTTGGGAGTTGCTTGTGAGAGGAATCACAAATCGAGATGGCTTACACAAGCTGAGATATCGCAACAGGGACATGAAATCTTTCACGGTGTGATGTAACGTGGATCTCAGCGACGATTGCACACAACAGCAGAGATCCCTGTCTTTGCAACACCCAACACGAGATCTGCAGCACTACCTCGTAGATGCCGAATCAAAACATCACGTCTCCGGAACCGGCACCCTCTAATCTACGAATTATGGGGACCCCCCGACTCTTCTGATCCCTGCTGATGCTAGTATCGTAAGGGTATGATAGGTTCGTGGGATATTCGCTCACGGTTCGGAGATGGTGCATTGAGTTTTGGAGGAGTTGGTCAAGTTGGGGGAGATGGGGAAGAGTATATAAGTGAGGATGATCCTCGCTTGGAGTAGGTTGGCCTTTCGATAACCAGCGTTGACTGTGTGTCTTTACTGATACCTTACTCACTCGCATTCATACGCATCAATCGTGGTGACTTCCTTCCATTTATACCAGTTCATTGTTGATAGCACTCAACGCCAGCTCGTAGCCCAAGAGGGTCACTTCCACAAACGCATCCAGACGTCTTCACTACCTACAACCTTTTGTACGATAACAAAAGCCCACAATGACTCAAGACGAGTACAACACTCGCGCACCTCATGAGGGCATGTCCCCAGGTCGCTACGCAGCCACAAGATTCTCCTCGCTCAAACCTCCCATGCACAATGTGCCGAATCCGATAAAACTCGTGCGCATGCTGAACTCCCAACAATGGGCATTCTTCTTTGTCGCCTTCGCGGCCTGGGTACGCTCCTCTTCCAAGTGCATCATCTTATCAATAACTAACCCATGACATACAGACATGGGACGCATTCGATTTCTTCTCCGTATCTCTTTCCGTTACAAGTCTGAGCAAAACCTTCGACAAATCCAAGACCGACATCACATGGGGTATTACCCTCGTTCTCATGTTCCGATCCGTTGGCTCTATCGCCTTCGGTATTGCGAGTGATCGATACGGCCGAAAGTGGCCATTCGTGGTTAACAATCTTCTCTTCATTGTTCTTGAACTTGTGAGTACAGCCCTACAGACACCCCTGTCACATTGGGCTTGGCGAGGCCGATGCCAAGAGATCTACGAGATATGTCCGAACAGTCGCTGACGAAATATCAGGGCACTGGTTTCTGTCAAACCTACCAGCAGTTTCTAGCTTGCAGAGCCCTTTTTGGCGTTGCCATGGGTGGTCTTTATGGTAATGCCGCCGCCACTGCTCTCGAAGATTGTCCTGAGGAGGCACGTGGTCTTATGAGTGGTATGCTCCAGCAAGGTGTAAGTAGCAATGCCCCGCCTGACTGAAGTCCATTATCTAATTGTTGCAGTATGCTTTCGGATACCTTCTCTGTGCTGCATTTGCTCGCGGTCTAGTCGATACAACATCTCACGACTGGCGTCCTCTCTTCTGGTTCGGCGCTTGTCCCCCCGTGCTCTTCATCATCGCTCGTCTGATGCTCCCCGAGACCCAAGCCTATCAGGAACGCCAACGCGCACGGGAAGTTGCTGGTGCAGACGGAAAAGGAAAGGTTTTCATCAAAGAAGGCAAAGTCGCTCTAAAGCACCATTGGCTTCTGCTGGTATACCTCGTCCTTCTCATGGCGGGCTTCAACTTCATGAGCCATGGCAGCCAGGACTTGTACCCTACCATGTTGCAGAACCAGCTCAACTTTTCCAAGAACAAGGTCACAGTCACCCAGGTCGTGGCTAACTTGGGAGCTATGCTTGGTGGCACTGTCGTCGGTTTCAGCAGCCAATCTATTGGTCGTCGAATCAGCATCATCGCTTGTTGCATCGTTGGTGGCGCCCTGCTCTATCCCTATACTTTCGTCCGCGACTCTTCAATTATCGCGGCTGCCTTTTTCCAACAATTCTGTGTCCAGGGAGCGTGGGGTGTCATTCCCATTCATCTGATGGAATTATCTCCAGGCGCTTTCCGTACTTTCGTCGTCGGTACATCCTACCAACTTGGTAACCTCGTGTCTTCTGCGTCATCTACCATCGAGGCCCGTCTAGGCGAGAACTTCCCACTTCCCGACAACGCTGAAGGCGAGACCCGCTACGACTACGGAAAAGTCATCTGTATCTTTATGGCTTGTGTGTACGTGTACGTCATTGTCTTGACGTTTATCGGTCCCGAAAACTTGAGGGGCAAGTTCGATGTTGCTCACGACTCTGATGCCAGGGAGGCCATGGGTGACGGGGCTATGGATCAGGCTGCTGACCGTCATGGACATTACGACGAGGAAACTGGTAGGATCAGCAGTGAGAAGCCTGAGGTTGTCCACCTGCGGGATTAGACGTAGGTGGATGACTAGGAGAAAGGATGAATGGTTGAGATGTTCTGCAATGTTGACTGAGGTGCAACTCTGCACGCATATAGTTCATACTGTTAGTCCAGAAATAGTTATGAAATTCATGAAATATTCCAAAGCTTTGTTGTGCTTGATCTCATGTGCCGGATCGTCGGTGATGATTCCTCATGACTATGAGCATTCCCCGCATCGGTGGAGCGGATGTCGGTAGTATACGCCAAGAGTTCATGACCATTTCCCCAGAACATCAGTTGATCCAATTCGATTCGGACTTCTTAGTTAATTCCTCCGCCTTTTTCTGGATCAATCATGGTACGTAAAATGTCTGGGGAACCTGTTATCCGGATACGCATTTCCCCACTCTCAAACGCGGATCCGAAGATAGTTGCATTTTGAATCAATGTGTTGATTCCAAACTTGACCCAGCTGACCGAGTCTGTAAAGAGTATCATCAATATCGTTGGTGCCAAAAACTGTGTTAACCCTCCGGAGAAAGGGAGTTCATTTGCTTACTCCTCAAGCCTCTGACATGGCTGCAACACGAATGGAGATATTTTTCGTAGAATAGCTCTCCACTTGGCGATGAAGTAATTCCAAACTAGCTCCCGCTCTTGCTTAACCGACGAGGACAGTCGTGGGAATCATTACTCACTGACCCCATTGTGCGGAGATCTACTCAAGTATATATATCCCATGTCCGAGAACCTTGAGAGCTTCTTCACTCCACGGATTGTCTCATAGACACCTTGATAACTACACTTTTCCAAAGACACTCTAGCTTCGTGCTTAATTTGTTATAGAATGGCTCTTACTGGCAGCTGCATGTGTGGTGCCATCGCTTACAAGAGCGACAGTAAGTTCTTTGAACCAATCATATAATACGAATTCATCTAACTAGATAGGCGACGCTGCTATTACGGCTCTCTGCCACTGCATCGATTGCCAGAAGTGGACTGGCGGTGCCTTTACTTCCAACGCTGTTGTCGCTGAGGACGACTTTTCCGTCACCAAGGGTATTGCCTTCAACCAAGTTTCTTTGCCAAGCAGACACTGATATTTCCAGGTTCTCCCAAGCAATACGATGTCACCGGCGCCTCAGGCAAGATAAACCACCACTTCTTCTGTGGCGACTGCGGCTCCAGCCTGTACACTCGCCTCGACGTCATGCCCGGCAAGATCATCATCAAGGCTGGCGGTCTTGACAACGGCAAGGCCAACCTCGACAACAAGATCAATGTCGAGTTTTACTGCCGTGATCGTGTTAGTTACCTGCAGGCTGCTGAGGGTGCCAAGCAGGAGCACCTCTTTGGCTAAGATTGGGGGTTGTGGGAGATGGACATGGGTTGTATGTGTGAATGCGGAGCTAGGTGTATAGCATTGAATAGTGATGTTGTTCTCCAGGATTGCGTCCCTCGTTTCGTAGCCGAATATAACACAGAATTGATACTTGTCATGAGACAGTTCATAGATAACAGTATCGCAACAAGGGCGTTTGGAAGAACGTGGCCTTCACTCTCATTTTTCTCTTCAGATGAAGCACTTCGTCTGTTAAACCTCGATTGGATACCACCGAGTAATTCCAAACCTGGAACAGTCAGGCCGATGGTTCTCTTCTGCGGCATAGTGCTCTTTACATTCTGGTGTATATTGGCACGAGAGCCCCCAAGGACAGCGCCTCGATCCAAGGAGACTACCACTCGCTCTGCGAGCCTTTCCAACATACTTTCCCTCTGGTTGTATGAAGTCATCTTGACACATCCAGCGCTGTCGTACGAGCCCGGGCTCCTGAGTCCGGCTTCTTGGTTCGTTCCAAATGCAGTGTTCGGCAGCAAGCCTCCACTTCCAATCATAAGGGGATCTGCAAGCGCCAAACTGCTGGTAGCTCACTACATTTATGCGCCAGCCTTGCCTCTGGCGACTCTCGGGACATATAGTCATGGAGTAATCAGTAAAGCAGACGGGGCACGACCCCAGAGAGTTATCGCAGCCGTTGAAGGTCGTCGATACATCTGCCAACTCTGGTAGACCATAACGGGCTGTGTAGAGGTATTCATCCCCGAAGTTTGTGTAAGTGCTTCCAACATGAAGGCAAATCGGGATGTACAGGCGATCCATAGGCCTCTTTGATGCGAGGTCATTTGGAATCCAGGCTACCAGAGTCCTCTGTACGAAGAGCTCGTCTCGAATTATACGAGCATAGGTCGTCCATTGCCCTGTGCCGCCATCTCCGTATCGCAAGACTGGTCCTTGGTGGTCGAGCGTGTCGAGGGGGAGTCCGTGGGTGGGGCCGTTGAAATGGCGATTCATGACAAGTCGCATGTCGGGATATGTCATCATCATCAAACCAGAGTCGATCCACAGATGAAAATTGAAGTGGTACAAACAGCCTTTCTTACAATCCCATTTGTAGCACTTGCAGGGGTCAACTTCCCCTCGTCGGTCCCGTTGGTGAAGCCTCACACAGGTATAACAAAAGTACGAGCTGGCGCAATCCTTCTCCAGCAGCTGCAGAAACTCTTCCAACTCCATTCCCTCAAGTTTTACATTGCGGGTGATCCCCGAAAGAAGAGCGTGGTAGGCGTGACAGGTAAGGCTGAGTGAGATTAACGAGCCATTGGGGAGGAACTCGGCGACTTCCAGGATGATCTCAGGGGGGATGCGAATGAGATCTCCACGGGAATCTTCTTTCAGTTCTTTCAGAGCGGGTCTCCGTCGAAGGTGATTGAAGAAACGTCTGAGGTGTTTGCGCATATTTGTGTTTGATGGCAAAGATGGCAGATTTAAACTCCAAGACCAATAAGAATCAGGAAAGGGGGAGATATATATATGTATATATATAACTTGTTGATACCTATTAGCTTAGAGTTTCCATAACCTGTCTCACGTGTAATTGGATCCAAGTTTAACACGCCACAGCATCAGAATTGCTTCATTCTGTTTGACTTGGCTTCATCAACGGCAAAGTATCGCTGTGCTCATGACTGGGTTCTCAACAAAGAGACTACTATTCCACAAGATATATGCTGACAGGAGTCACTAACTGCGACCCTCCAAACAGGCGGCTTGGCTTTCGGGCTCGGGCTCAGGCTCATCCAACTCTGCTGCTGCCTTACAAGCACGCACATAGCCTTGATCCTAAAATATATGAAATACTCAGACCAAATTACATGAGTTCAGTACAACCTCAACCTAAAAAGCCTAAATTCCACATCAACATCCTAACCGGAGCCTTGAGTATTAAATCCCGTATCGGCATCACATGAGCTTACAGCGGCGGTGTATGGATTTTGCCGTGCTTCTTCATTCTGGGTCTCTATAAGAATTCCCCTTTCATTCTCAATTATCAAGACCTCACCGACATTCACGCATTGCTTTCATACTCCGTATTCGGCCATTGACATGCACGTCACTGAAAGCTGATTTGACGTTTGTACAAGCCAAGAGTGGGGCATTCTCAGCTTCTCTGCAAGTTATTAGGGCGATCTCCCGAAGACCAACAACCATCAACATCTAAACACGTCTTAATAAGTTACAAGGGTTTTACTGTTGACAGCCACTCGCCATTTTATACTTCTTGGCTTGCTCAAGATGGGGCCATCACAGTCTACACACAAGTCAGATGACTCTCACGGACAAGAGTTTATTCTCCCGCCCTTCACTCGTGACGTCACTACCACTAAGCCGGAGGCCAAAAGATGGGTCCAAGACGGCATCGTCTGGTGCTACGCTTTCAACCATGCTGAAGGGGAACGCTGTTTTGAAAGGGCCATTGAAATCGACCCCGAATGTTGCCTCGCGTACTGGGGCCTTGCCTTTGCTCTTGGTCCCAACTACAATAAGCCATGGAAAGCATTCGACCGGAACGATCTTAAGCACACAACTTTGAAGGGTCTTGGGGCCTGCAAAAATGCTGAAGCTCTAGCCTCAAAAGCGAGCCCCGTTGAGCGAGCACTTGCTGGTGCCATCCGACATCGCTTCCCAAAAGATGAGAACGACACAAATCATGCAAGGAGTTGGAACAGTGCCTATGCGGAAGCCATGAGACCTGTGTATAAAGAGTTCAAGGATGATCTCGATATCGCAACCCTGTACGCCGATGCACTCATGAATCTCACGCCCTGGGCTCTATGGGACGTCCGAACAGGGAAGCCTGCACCTGGTTCTGAGGTCCTGGAGATTCAAGAAGTTCTCGAAAAAGGTATCGCTCAGGAGGGTGGATATGAGCATATCGGACTCTTGCACGCCTACATTCACGTCACAGAGATGTCGACCAAGCCTGAAAAGGGTCTCCTTGCAGCCGAGCATCTTCGCAGACTTGCAAACGAAGCAGGCCACCTAGCTCACATGCCTTCGCATCTCGACATCCTCATCGGAGACTATCGACGTGCCATCTCTGCTAATGCAAAGGCTGTCATAGCTGATGAGAAGTTTGTATCCCTTCGGGGTGGCGGCGACTTCTACACCATCTACCGCATGCATGACTACCACTCACTCATCTACGCCGCCATGTTTGCTGGCCAGTACGGTGTCTCGATCAAGGCAGTGAACCAAATGGAAGTGGCTATTCCAGACGAAGATCTACGAATTGACTCGCCACCAATGGCAGATTGGCTGGAGACTTTCCGATCAGTTCGTCCACATATCCTGATCCGCTTTGGGAAATGGGAGGAAATCATTGACATGCCACTTCCTACGGACAAGGAACTGCTCTGCGTGACCACCGCGACGATTTACTATGCCAAGGGTGTTGCTTATGCGGCGCTGGGAAATGTTGAACAGTCAGCTAAGCAGCGAGAACTGTTCATCGCTGCCAAAGCTCGTGTGCCGCCGACTCGTACACAGTATCCTAATAAGTGCCTTGATGTCCTGGCTGTGGCCGAGGCCATGCTCGATGGTGAACTGGAGTACCGACGGGGCAACATTGAGCTTGCCTTTGAGCATCTTCGAAAGTCAATTGATCTCGATGATGGTCTGCGATACGCTGAGCCGTGGGCATGGATGCAACCCGCCCGTCATGCATACGCCGCTCTCCTCATGGAACAAGGCCGCATCGAAGAAGCTGCTGAAGTATACCGCACCGATCTCGGTTTGAATAACAAGCTATTCAGGGCAAGACACCACCCTAACAATGTCTGGGCCCTCCACGGCTATCACGAGTGTGCAGTGAAGCTGGGACTTGACGGCGAGGCGCGGATCGTAAAGCAGCAGCTCAAGACGGCTATGGCTTTTGTAGATGTTCCTATCGAGTCGTCATGTTATTGTAGACGAGATGTTGAGAATCCTGTTGGATGCTGTCGTTTGTGATTTGCCCCCATAGATGACTGACTAGATTGTTATAGAGACAGTGCGAGAGTTGTTAGATACTCTAGACATGGTTTAATAGCTGGATTAACACGCTCTTGGGGAATGCCAGTCATACCTATGTATTAAAGTACTTAGTCATTTGTGAAATACATTGTCATAATAAGCTCACTTAAAGCTGCTTGCAACATTTAACACTTAACGGTAAGCTCTTGTGTTTCTGTCAGCTCCTAGATAAACTATAGAGCTAATGGCAGTCGGCATTAGCATAATGTGGAAGCCTCGGCTGAAGATGATGAAATCGGTATTTATCATCCATCCAGAGTTCAAGAACAACTATATAGAGATTTCTTCTATTCAGGATAATGTTTTCAGATGATTTTGGATAAGTCTTAGATACTTAAGGCCTAAACTTGGGATACCTTTTGTCATATGTACTAAGATTTATAGTAAGCTTTATCAGGCTTCTTTCTCTCTCTTTATCGCCTCTAACAGTAATAAATGCTCATCCAAGTATTTACCTCTAGCAATGACTCCCGATGATTGAGACCAAGATATCTCCCGCTATTAGAATTTTCTAGTTTAATCGACTCTGAGATAACACAGTTTGACGTTTCTTCAGGTCACTAGTTCACACAAACCCCCTTTATGACATCTATCCAAGATACCCTCAAGCTTGCTAATAGACTGTACAGAAGAGGAACACTCGCGGATTCAGTAGCAGCAATTTTGTCACTATGAGATCGCGGGGGCCGCCGCTAAGTATAAACATGAATCCTGCTTACGGCCGTCACTAGGGCATAAAGCACTCTGTAAATGACAGGTTGAGAAGCTTTCGTAAGCTGTCACAAGTCAGCCAAACGAAGCCAGAGCTGTATGGAAGGGGATACTTGGGCCTTCAAGCCAGTTCGTCTTAGCTTCATCTCCTTACGGAGGCTACTAGACTCCAACACCGCGTTGAGGTGCGAACTGATCGTTGGAGCGACCCCCGGAGGAGCCGCCACCAACCCTCGGGGATTGGTGGAGAAGCATGGAGCTCCCTAGCCAGCGGCTACATCAGAATATCTCGCAGTAGATCTGGTACTTTGCCTTCGAACCTTGACGACTCCAGGTCTTTGAAGCCGATGCCGACGAGGACCCCGTGGTCGTGGTCCGGTTCTCCGCTGCTGCTGTAGGAGTATAAGCAAAAGCAAATGAGGCAACGCACCGTTTGACCGGCGCGAATCAAGTATATCTCGCTGTGCAATGAGGATATCCTTGAGCGCAGTCAGGATCTCCTTTTCAGTCATCGATCCGTCTCGCAGCTGCCCCCAGAGTGTCTCCGGCACAGTCCCCACTGCTGGGACGAGTACCCTCGTTAACTTTCCGACTCCTTCAGCGACATCTTGCAAAAGCTGCCTGTCGGCTCCCCTTTCAAGTTGAAGGGTGGCAGCTTGTCTCGTGGCTTCGGCGGAGGGAGGGGGGGTAGGGGGGAAGGGGAACCAGTGAGGGAAACAAGCTTGGCAAACCATCAGAAGGAATGAAGGGATGGTAAAAAAGGCACCTATGGCAGTGAAGATCGTACCGGTGCACGGCCAACCTGACCAATCGTGCATGATGATGAGAGGCAATGAATCGAGTATGTGAGAGCTGTTGGTATGTGAAGCGCTTGAGTAGTGTTGTGTGCGTGTACTGAGGTGCCATGGAGAAGAAGAAAGGAAAGGAATTCAAGAAGAGTTCAGAGGAAGATATAAACACGACAGCATTCTATCATACTCCTTCCTCGAGAATCTTGGAAAAGAAGTCGGCATTGGAAGGAGTTGGGAGGAGTTTGGGGAAGGACCATATCTATCTTCACTCAAACAGGGAAGTACCGCCTAGATGTCGTCTTTAAGTGCAGCTTACCTATCTTATTTACAACTCCTGGCTCTTTCTACCTACCTTAACCTAGGTTTCTAGGTTCTTTCCCTAGTTCTAGACGGGAGGTGGCCATCCAGATGCCACTTGTCTTGCTTATGCGTGTGAGGCTGTCAATTACGTCTCTCATGTTTCAGTAGCATTTTGAGAATCTGCGAAATGATATAAGAATTATAGTGACGTTTCTGCGTCACATGGGCTTACAATTGACGGGAATGCTTAATTTGCTGCAAGTGATAGTGCGGGTTAAATACAGACTTCATGAAGGATTACAGACGTCCACTCTTACCTGCTGGCTTCGCGTACCTCCAGATTTATTGCTCTTCACTTCCTGCCTTGACCGAAGGCCATTTGGAAGTTATGATTGGAATCGCAACTTCTCGGCCGTAAACTACCTAAGGTAAGGTTATTAAGCTAGACACAGATTGGGGGAGGCAAGAGAACTTAGGACCTCTCTATCCTACCTAAGTGATGGAAAAGCTTATGTTAGTTTAGTTGTATCTTAGGAAGCCTTTGGACCAGTTGATTCTGGCACCCTGGCTAAACATCAGAAGTTCTGTTGTTCCCGGGGACGGATACCAATTGATGAGTACTCTATATACCTTAGGTAGTATTGCTGTGATATAATCTCTTTGAGATCAACTCAGATAACAGACTTACCTATCATCTCTGTCTATGCTTGAGTAATGACCACAGTCCATGGGTACATAAAATTGAATAGGTAGCTTTTGTTGGCCTTGAGCCAGCAAGAGCCTACCTAAGGGCTTATCTCTTCGTACGGATGTTGAAGCTGAAGCAAGCCCCACTATCACCAAAAAGAAAACTCCAATAATCATCACGAACATCCACTTCCTTCTGCCATCCAACACAACCAACTCATGACTCGAATCCGGAGTTGAAATGCCACGACCTAGCAAGAAAGGCATCTGGTTAGCTTAAATACCCAAATCTAACATCGCTTGGCTAACAGGGATGAAGCAATACTTGCCGTCGTCGCAAGCTAAAGTGTAACAGTGACACTATTTCCAAGACCTTGTTCTGATGCTTGTAGCAGGCAATCAAGCACTTCCTATCTGTGGACCATGCGCAATCAGCGGCCTTTACTGCGATAGATCAGAGAAACCAGCACGCTTTAGTCTGTCATCACATTCCCTCTATCCAATGCTACTTTGCTGACTCTTCAACAAGTTCACCACCAAGAATTACCTAATCCCGACTCTCCACAAACAGCTCTACAAGACCAGAACATCGCACGCCTCTTCCATTCTTACATATCTAATATCTCGGAATGGTATGATCTCAGCGACTCGGCATGTTCTTTTGGTCTTGAAATTCCGTCCATCGCTCTAGACGAGCCTCTTCTCTTCTGCGCCGTCATCGCACTCTCTTCAATGCATGCATGTAAAACATCAGCTCCAAGTTTTCGCAAAGTCGCTGAATTCTACCATCATCGCTGTGTTCAATTTCTTATCGCCTTGGATGCAGGCGATGAACTCATCAGCCGAGGTGTGGCGCTCGCTGCGACGTGTCTTTTGCGTTCGTATGAGATTCTTGACGGCGATGTTGATCCCAACATGCATCTTCGTGGTGCTTACTCCATGGCTTCGCTCCATGATGTGCTTTCAGGCATCCCACAAGCAGGGCTCCTCGGCGCAGGGTTCTGGAACTATCTCAGAGAGGACATTACGTTCAGCCTATTTGAGGAGTGTCCGTTGAAGATGAACCTGGAGAGTACACCATTGGCCATCCAGCATAGCTCTGATCAAGATTATCTCAACTCTATTACTCTAATCCTGGGCAAGATAATCAATATGTCTTTCAAACAAGACACAGATGGTCTTCAGTGGGACTACATAAAAGAAGACCTCAAAAGCTGGCGGAATTCTTGCCCTCGTCACATGAAGCCTTACTCAAGACTTCAAGGTGAGATTACCACATCTCATCTATTCCCTGCAATCTGGTTCCTACAGCCTTGCCATGGTGAGCTTAGTCCTTCCCTGCCCCGAAACATCCATGTCTCTAATGCCGAATAGCTGCGATGCTTCACTACTATCTCGTCGCAATGACGATAGTCTGCATCTACACTTCTCCCAAAAGCCTGGAGGACCTAGGTGGACTTGATCTCCCTGAGCTCGAATCTCAGTCCAAAGAACGATTTCTCGAGAACTTTGCGCTTGAGATTTGCGGCATTGCTTTCACTGCCAAGGTGTCGTCAGTTCTGGTAAATGCATTCGGGCCAATAGCTTTTTGTAAGTAATACTACCCTGTCACTGCCATCAATTTTAACCTTTGTATAGGCGCAAGATTTATCAAAGCCGAGGTGTCGCAACAGGAGCTGATTCGGCAACTACTCGCATGTAAATCAACTATAGGATGGCCGGTTGAGCGACTCATTGGTGATCTGAAGACATCCTGGGGGATGGATCAAGAGTAGAATGGCGATGTCGTGACTCCTCGACGTGTTACTATCGCTAAACCCACAGAACCACGTTACATGAAGCAAACTCATCGATACGTCTCTTCACGACAAGTTGTTGCATCGTGGCAGCCGAGAACCTATACCAGTGGGGAAAGGTTTTCCGAGCTCGGGAAACCCACATCACCAAGTTTACTGATTACAAGTATAAATGAGGTCTTTTCACCCCCAAGAATATCCAAAACAGTTCTTCAGACTCATATAAATTACTTCCAATTGCCATCGTATACCCTACTAAGGTCCTTTATCATGTTGCGCGCCCAAAAACTTTCCTCGGCCTTCGCGAAACATGCACGCACCTTTGCGACAGTTACACAACCTCCTCAGGTCGGAGTTGTTCGACCTTCAGCTCAAGAAGTAAAGAACTGGACTCTCGACTCCAGAAACCTTGAGAAAGCTGTGCGACACATGCACAGAGATGGCTTAGTTGTTGTGGAAGATGTTGTTCCTCACGAGGACATCGACATCCTCAATAAGAAGATGATTGAGGATGCTCATACCCTACAGGCTCGTGGTGACAAGGGCCCTTTCAACTACAACAAGGGAAACATTCAGCAGGATGCTCCTCCTGTTTCTGAATACTTCAGCCCCTTCATCTTCACAAGTAAGTATGCCTCTACGAATTTGTCCTACCCCATCTGACTTACATGCCCAAGACCCCATTGCCACACAAATCACCACCGCAATGATGGGCCCACGGCCAAAGTGGACGTTCTGCTCTGCCAATTCTGCAATGGCAACTCTCCCTGGAGGAACTCCTCAGCGCCAGCCAGTTCATTCAGATGCAGACTTTGCACACCCAGACCACCCCTTTGCCCTCGTCGTCAATATTCCTCTGGTCACAACTACACCAGAGAATGGATCCACAGAGATATGGCTTGGCACCCACAATGGGTTTGGCCTTGATGCACAAGAAGGTGCACACGGTGAGAGAGCCAGCGGTCGCATCAGAGAAGAACTCCTACGCCAACGTCAAGAGATCTCACCGCCCTTGCAGCCCGTCATTAAGAAAGGCAGCATCGTCGTGCGCGATCTCAGACTCTGGCACGCTGGTATGCCTAATACTACGCAACAGACTAGGGTGATGCTCGCCATGATCCACTTTGCACCGTGGTTCAGGAACAGAATGAGGCTTGAGCTGGGCGAAGATGTAAAGCCGATTTTAGAAAATCTAGAGAGGGAGGGAAAGCTGGGGTTGGATGTACCAGTGGATTGGGCGACCAGGGAGGCCGTGCTTGAGGGTTACCTGAACCGAGGATTCGGGAATAGCTATGATTTCAGCCAAGAAGCCTGAAAGCTTGGCATATAAGCTTATTTTTAGGATCTGAACTCAGAATATGATATGTAGTATTGCATATGCTTTAGCCCATTGTCACTTATAAGAATGCCATCAAGTTGCAAGTTACCAAGTATTCATCGTATTCGCAAAATAAATCTAAACAATAATTGCTATAGCCCCTAAACTCCTTATCCCCTCATGAACAACCATCATTAGTCAGAATCGCTGCTGGAGCTACTGTCCATGCCGCGGGTCTTGTGCTTCTTATCCTTCTTGTGTTTCTTGTCCTTCTTGCCCTTCTTAAACTTGTTCTCGAGCACATTGGCACCGATAGCACCAGCGGCCGCGGCTCCGAGACTGCCTAGAAGACCACCGCCAGCTGTGTGCGCAGCCCAAGCAGCGGCACCTCCGCCAACGAGAGTAGCTCCGAGACCACGATCACCGTCGGGGCCGGGTTGACCGGGAGGGTATTGTCCTGGAGCGCCGCCCTGGGGATAGGCAGGGGCACCGTATTGAGGATTGTTGTGCTGTTGTTGAGGATAGGACGATGAACCGCGCTGGTCGTAGGTGGGTTGTTGCCCGTACTGCTGCTGGGGAGGAGCGTGCGAGCCGTAGCTGGGCTGAGGCGAGTGGGAGGCATATTGAGGCTGTTGTTGACTGTAGCCGTAACCCTGAGGCTGTTGCTGCTGGGAGTACTGCTGCTGTAATGTTGTTAGTGATGGCAGAGAAGAGTTGGGATGAGAAACATACCTGTTGGGGATAGCCGCCCTGCTGAGGATAGCCTTGGGGTTGGCCATAGTTCTGCTGCTGAGGATAACCACCCTGCTGGCCGTAACCGCTGTTGCCACTGCCGTAATAATCGTTGGCGGACATGTTGGTTTTGTAGGTTATAGGTACTAGGTAGAGAAATAGATAGAGAGGTAGATGAAGAAATTGATCAATAGGATTGTTTGAGTGACGAGTAGACTAGATGATGATGGACGGAAACTCAAAACGACAGCTCCTCCCCCGCCTTTTAAATACCACGATCGCTCCATCTCTCCCGCTACAGCAAAAGAGCTGCTTTGGCTTAGCTTCTCATTAAATCCGCCTTAGCTGACAAAAAGCCGACAAGGCTTCTTCACGTCACAGACCACTCAGTAGGACTAGGCGCAGTTCACAGCCGCACACACACACAAGCCCGTAAGCTCAAACTAACCGCTAACGGTGCAGGGCTGAGCCACTAATGTCGTCGAGTGACATGCTGTGCGCCGTTTGTGGGGTTATCGGGTTTCCCGAGTCCGAACCTGGGACATGCTGAGCCACAATCTCTGTTGCAATTGATCGGCAGGGTCTTGTTCTGTGCATGGAACATGAGGCAGAATATCGAAATGCTCACCAGATGCAGAATAGCATGAACCGATAAGCAAGAGATTAAACATTATTAAGATATTCATCGCGAGCGGAAACTAGGCTATTTCGCTAAAGCCACGCTGGACTTGGTCGCATATCTCCTCCACTATCTTCTCCTCTGCCGCCTCATCACCAAGCCCCAATGCTCCGGACTGCCACGTAACCGTGTACACCAGATCGCCATTCTTCACAGAGGCGATATTGAAACAAATGGGGCAACCTCCAACGTGACCAGGCTGCGCAAAGCTCAGCTTGGACACCTTGACCCTGTCATTACTCGCATTGTTGCCATCAAAGACGCCAACATTGCTGAACTCGTATGACGAATCCCGCTTCTTGCCAATCTTACCAAGAGTCCATTTTCTCATACTCGGGACGTATCGAAGCAGACCAATGGCGTTATCTTCGAGTTTGGTGGAAGTCATGGCGAACTCCTTTGTAGCTTCAGCAGCTGATGCCCACTCTTGTTCAGTCAAAGGACCTGTCGCAGCGCTACGAAGATGGATAGTGTATGAGCCAGATACAATATCACTCGCCACGTCATTGGACATGCCGATTGATCTTCGCATATTTATAGCTGTTTGCGCCACGAAATTGGTGACGTTGTTGTCTTGGACTGCCTTGCTCAGTGCGCGGGTGATGAGCTGGTGCATGACTCCTGACAACCTCGCATCATGAGTCCGCGCAAGCTGGATAACCTTGTTTACTTGCGATGCCTCAACCTGTCGAATTTTGAGTTTGTTGTGATATGTCTCAGGGTCGAAGAAGATGGGCGCTGCTGCCCATGTACCTTCGTCGACATAGGATGCCGAGACACGTAGGCCAAGCAATCGGACGAGAACGTATGGCATGTACTCAGCGAGAACCGGTGCCAGTAGAAATGACCACGAAATTGGCAGTCTTTCAGCTGTGTCGAATGGTTCAGGAAGAGGTTTATCTGTTGGAGCAATGATCGATGATGGTTCAGTTACATGGGTTTCCCTCAGTCCAGCAAGAAACGTCTTGTGAAAAGCAACCCCCGTGATCCCATCACCAATGGTGTGAGAGAAGGAGAATGCAACATGGCATTGAGAAGGGCCAAGGGGAAGAACGACAATCCTCCATGGTGGAATTCCAGCGGCAAAAGGGCGGTCTATCTCTGTTTCCATAGATCTTCCAATGGCTTCCAGTGAGTCTGTCTCAGCATTTTTGTCCTCAACAAAGCTGATGTGCTCCTCGACATTGATGCTAGCCACCCGCTCATAGAAACCCTTGTCGGTGTTTCTGTCCCCGACAGTAACGCAGAAGAAGGGATGTTCTTCAATGCAGCGTTTTAGCGCGTGGAAATAGGTCGAAGGAGACTTGACGTTGACCCCATCAGCAAAGTCATAGACTGCACCAATGACGACTGCGTTATAGTAACCAACATCCTCACGGGCAATAGTCCGCATCTCATTTGGACCTATCAAGCATCAGAGGAGGTAGCAGTTTGGCTTCTGGTAGGGTTACATACTCGCGTATCTAAGAAACTCTGTTTGCGCTGGCATGATGAGATATGGTTTCACAAACGATGGATGATCTAAATGTGCTATTTCCGCCGAACTCTGGGAGGTTTGCTCTTATAAAGAGCCTTTGACTCTTGTTGAAAGTGTTAGACGGCCTTGAAACGGATTTACTGGTGATCTGAGGCAATTGATTGGAAGTCGGCGGCCTCTTGCGAGTGCGATGTTATCGCGGAAATTATATGTGGACCCGTTTACGATCCTTCGATACGGGGAAATCCACTACCCGAGAACCCGACACTATCTCCTGAAGAAGTTATGAATATTGGTTCAACTTGTGCAGATATTTAACCGTTCTTCTAACAAGTTTACTCAATCCTCTCTGTCAGAGAGCAGAATAAGGAACGGCCACTCTCTTGGCAGCTGGGGGGAGGGAGGGCATCAGCTCGACAAGCATCATGGCAGCTTTCATCTGTAAGAGGTCGGGGCAACTCTCGTCCGCTATGACAGGCAACTGAAACATTTGATAAACAAATTGCCAGCTCGGGAACTGCTGGTTCAAGGTTGACGCGTATTCCTCATTCTATCTTGTGTATAGCCAGGATTATATTCGCTCAGACGGCAACGACATCCGATGGAACATTCTCCCAACGCTGGCACTTTCTAGGCAACGAAATTATATATGTGGCGGCCTCTTTAAGTTAAGATCTTGCAAGGAAAGGCTATCCGGTTTGGGCATCTTCTGCAGGAAGACCATATCGTCAGCTTGAAACACAAAGACTTTATTGTGCTTGAATTGCGAGATCAACTTGTTAGGGCTTCATACTTATAGCTTCCCTAAAGCTTGAGTTGATTTGGATTTTTCAATGTGTCCTTGACATATCTTGTGGAGGTATTATAAGATTCAACAACCAATCAACTAGGATAGGTCAGTACACCATGGCAACTACGAAACCAATCCTGGGTTGAATTTCTCTAGATTCCTTTTCCTTGCAATATTGTTATTCAATAGCTGATATGAACAGAGAAGATATTGAAGTAAGAGATGCAGAAATAGTTTTCTTGAAGAAGAGCAGGGATACGGTATTACACACTCCATACATGCTTGGATTCCTCAAACATACATTTCACAACTATTTAATCTTTAATACTACCACCAACTCTTCGAAATTATATACAACTCAGATTGAGCTGTTATCAAATCCTTCCAGGTGATTAATGAAACATGAATTGATCAAAAGATTCGACTTATAAGAACTATCTCCTTCCAGTCTCTGTTGAGCATGCTGTGTTGATCGACGTACTGGACTTTTCAATAGAAGAACTATTATGTAACTATGAGTCTTGAAAGGGACTATAGATTGACTTATGGGTGGCTATTTTTCACTCATTACTCAAAAGTGCAACTCTTACATGCTTTTCTCCATGTAGATTCAAGCAGAACTTTAGTGGTCACTGTATTGAAAACGATAGCTTGTATAACGAGACCTCAGTGTAAATTCCGACATCTTTCCTATATTACTTAGGAACAACAATTACGTCTGATTGGAGTTTCAAGTCCGTGGTTAAACATATCAACTTATGAAGTGTGAAGAAGATGGTTATCAGATAGAGCGGAGGCATGTCAACGCCATATCTGCCCAATGCACTTCACATCCCACTCGGCAAGGGTCTACATGCGGGAATAAACATCGCAGCTTATAAATAAGGGTCCAGCCTGGATGGCCGGATCTTGACATCTCCCTCCGCTAATAAGTATTGGCTGATCGAACGACACACCTTCTTGGACAGTCCACATCTGAACAAATATGGACCGATCAGTTCATAGAGACGGACTCTTCAGATAAGGATTTCGATAAATGTATCCAATGAGGTGCTCAAAAACCCTTATAGCATCGAATTCGGATACATCGACCCGTCGGTGGTGGCCGCAGGTGTCATTATGGTGGCCCTGTTTCAATCTGACGCCATCGTAGACCCTGTCACATAAGAGGATAAGGATACAAACCGGAGGGGAAGTGAGCGGGGAACCTTGGGGAAGATCTAAAGAGCCAAATGGCTATATAATACTGGCAATAGAGTTAGGATATCGGCTGGGCAAGTTGTTAATTATCATAGTGGGTCAGGATAGGCATGAAGATTTATTTCAGCTACAAATAGCGAATTTATATCATCACCATGTCTTTAACCATATATAAAATCTAAATAGAATAGATATTCTCATAGTTCTCTTAATCTCTCAGACAAAGGTTACAGTTGATCTGATTAGCCGAGATCGGGGTGGGTGCGAAGGCGTGATCATCAACTATGTGTCGCAATATTTCGCCATACTCGATATTAATAATGAAACTTGACTAGCACGCATATACAACGGGTCTAAAACAAATTCAAGGTAACGTTATTATTGATATAAGAGTTTGGGATATCTCTGCGGACTTCAGCTTCGTTGTTTTAATCAGATAACATCTTATAATCAAACGCCAAGATGCCTACAGAATTCATCAGTCTAACTTTCCCCAACCCCTCTACGGAGCTCAACCCCATTCCCGGTGCTGGAATTGATCCCGAGTTCCTTGTCCGGTATGCCCGGAATCTTGATGATTACGAGTTCAACTACACTCTCATCCCCTATCACTCCTCTTCCTTTGACCCCTTCACTATCGGTGCCACTATCCTAGCTGTTACCAAGCAAATCAAGATTGTCATTGCTCTCCGCCCCAATACCCTCTACCCTACCGTCGCCGCCAAGGCTCTCGCTACACTTGACCAGCTTGGCAAAGGCAGAGTTGTTGTTCACTTCATCGCTGGTGGAGATGACACCGAGCAAGCCCGTGAGGGTGATTTCTTGAATAAGTCTGAGCGATATGCTCGTCAGGAGGAGTATATCAAGATTCTTCGACGGGCATGGGCTTCTCCTGAGCCTTTCGACTGGGAGGGCAAGTACTATACTTTCAAGAACTTTTCCAACCAAGTCCGCCCTACGAATGGTCACATCGACGTCTCAGTCGGCGGTTCATCTGATGATGCTTACCGTATTGGTGGCGCTCTCGCTGATATCTTTGGTCTATGGGGCGAGCCCCTCAAGGAAACCAAGGAGCAGATCGATCGTATCTACGCCGAGGCTGAGAAGGCTGGCCGTAAAGATCGTCCTCGCATCTGGGTTACCTTCCGACCTATCATCGGCGATACAGAAGAGATCGCTTGGGCCAAGGCTCACCGAACCCTAGACCTCCTCAAGGAGAACCGACCTAAGGGCGTTGGTAAGGCTGCACCCAACGACAACCGCCCTCAGAACGTTGGATCCCAACGTCTGCTTGATATCGCCAAGAAGGGTGAGGTCCAAGATCGTGCTCTCTGGTATCCTACCGTCACAGCCACCAATGCTCGAGGTGCATCTACAGCCCTGGTAGGCTCTCACCAGACTGTCATTGATTCTATTCTTGACTATGTCGACCTCGGTGCTGAGCTTATCTCTATCCGTGGATACGATAACCTTAACGATGCCATCGATTATGGTCGATACATCCTGCCTGGCGTACGAGCTGCTCTGAAGGAGCGACAGAATGGCACAAACGGTGCCAATGGCAGCAATGGAGCTACTAAGGAAGAAGTTAAGCAGGAGGTCAAGGAGGAGATCAAGGTTGTTCCAGTCGCTGCTTAAGCTCTGGGTTGTTGCTTGGGATTAGCATTGAGTTCATAGTGCATAGCGTTCAGAATGAATTGACAACGAATGAAATATTCTTGAATTCTTGGATTCTATCTAACAAAGGCCACTAAGGATCATAAATCAGGTCTCCTTGTGCTTATACCAAATGACAGCATATGAGCTTTCTTGCCTCTAGTCTCAGGGTCCCAAACTTGGAATCACGAATATCGGGTTTCTGTAATGTAAGCCTATACACCCCGAAAAGGAACGCAATATAATGTTTCCAAAGCGCAAGGAACAAGAGTGACAGGAAAATAAGCAAATCCTATATACTTATTGGTCCTACTATAGCTCACACAAGCAGGCAAGTCTTTCTCCAACCGTCAGCTTGCACCTTAACCGTCCGCGTACTACTCATTTGGATATAAACTTCCCAGAAGGGCAAAAATGATGATTCTTATTGTTTCCTGAATCAGCCATAATTCTAGTGTGGTCACTTATAGTTACGCAATAAAATCCAGCTGATTAGATGAGTCGTAAAACCAAAGATGCAGCTTAAAACATCGAACCATTCAGACATCTTCAACCCCACAGCCCCGCAAACTTGAAGAATGATTCCAAAGCCAAGATCACATCAGCAACCAATCAGAGAATTGGTTTACAAAGTTCAGCTGTACATATGGTTCGACATTGCAGCCTGTGAAGTCTCGGCAGTTTATGACTCTTTTACAACGAAATTGTTAAAGGCTAGGCTTGTTTGACTACTACTAAACATCACTTTTGTTAATAGTTTGTGATTCAGCTTCAAATGTCAAGGCAAGCCAGTCGTCAAAAATTATACGAAATAGGAATGGACTCGTGAGACTGATCTACTAGAGCCCGCCATCCTTACGAGTTCCCACATGACTATAACGATTGTGGGCAAAGCAAGGCAGTTTAACGTATACAAGGTTATGATGATTCCATATGATCGACTTCGATGCCGCTGGCTAGAATAAAGCTCCGAGGAGATAGTCAATTCAGTACCCTGAATTGGTATTACGGCTCCTGTAATTGGTCCAGGGCGTTCCTCTGTGTTGTATATAATCATTGGATGACTCTTCACTGTCTGCAAATAAATACCAGCCTCAACTTTTGAAATCCTTGTCTCTACGCAGTAACTTCCTAAACTCACCTTCTTCGTATTTGAATATCCAAGTTCAACAGAAATGTATATCAAAGGACCTCACGCCGAAACCGAGCTTCCGGTGCTCAGGAAGCTAATTCGAGAGAACCCATTGGGTCTTCTGACTACCGCCATTCCCTCCCCAAACTTCCCCTTTCTTCAGTCCAGCCATATCCCTTTCGTTCTAGATATCGAAGATGAGACAAGCGAGACGGAGTTGGGAAAGCTACGAGGTCACCTCGCCAGAGTCAACCCTCAGAGCAAAGTCATGATCGAGAACCTCACCGAAAACCCACACTTGAATAATGTAATCGAGCAAGACGTTATTGTTATTTTCAACTCCCCTATTCAACACTACGTCACACCAAAGTTCTACACAGAAACCAAGCCTACAACTGGAAAAGTCGTTCCAACATGGAACTACGCGGCAGCACAAGTCTACGGCCGGGCCAAGATCTTTTACGATACCAAGACCGACGAGGCTGGACAATTTCTTTCAAAACAGATTTCGGACCTCAGCCGCCACGCCGAGACTAATGTTATGGGCTTTACTGGCGGTGACAACCCTGTGGACTGGAAGGTTTCTGATGCTCCTGATCGATTCATTGAGCTTCTGAAGAAGAGCATCATCGGAATCGAGATTGAAATTACGCACATGGGAGGAAAGTTCAAGATGAGCCAAGAGATGGGCATGGGTGATCGAGAAGGTGTCATCAAAGGCTTTTCTAGGCTTGAATCTGAGACTGCGAAGGAGATGTCGAAGCTGGTTCAGACTCGAAGTGATTTGAAGGAGGCGAAAAAGGCAAGCGTGTAAATTGGGCATCTGGAGAATAGTACTGTTGTCCCAGAAGTGCTGGTGGGCCAAGAAACTGAAGTAAGAAGTCATTAATGATGTATGCATTGCTTAGATCAAATTTCTCTGTGACCTGCAGAGCGAACCATACGGGATTGTACTTCATAAAAGAAAAGATAGAAAATGTTTCTGTAATAAAGTTAAGCATGAAGCAAAGCAATATTAACTTATACATGAATTATAAAGCATCCGACTGTCCTTCGAGTCGGTGACTCATTAACAGGAATTGATAGACCTGCTCTGAAAGCATGTCGGTTCTCTATTATTCGTAGCCAGGCGTTGCTACCATTTTACGAACCCGGACTACGGTTTGCAAATGCCGTGCTCCGTCTCGGCGATCCCCCGATCGTTAAAACCTGGAACGGTCGACGATCAGTTGTCACTCCGGCCTCAACGAGCGAACGACGGCAGCCAGGTTCCCACGTGGAGCCTGTCATTGGGGCTTGGCTCCCGCTGCACTCCATACAATAGCTTACCTTAGACGCCGAGCTATGCTATTCCACACGATTGACTTTCCCATGTTTGTTTAACTCTGACTCCCCCAAAAGACGATTTCACTCCCACGTGCAGCAAAGTCCCTTACTCAGGGTCTTGAAGATCTCACCCACTATCTAGATCCGGCATCGAGGCCATCCCGCGCTCGCTATTCAATTGTCAATAAGAGTCTCCCGAGCAACGAATCAGCGGGCCCACGTGTCGCCGTGGGCCGTCGTGTTGCAGCCCTTCAATCGCTCACTTTGCACGGGATGAGGGGCTTGAAGCGGGCCTGAGGCTTCATCTCAGCAAGTTACGTTTGACAGAGGCGAAATGTGGTTGTAGAGTTTCGAGCTTGTGACCGTTCTAGACGGTAAAAAGCCTCGCGTTTGCCGTTGGATGCGGGAGGCGTTGGGGATGCTATGGAGATGCAGAGTGGGGGTTGGAATTCAAGATAATTTATATAAACACCAAAGAGTCAATTAATGCTGCAGATGGTGGGGGTTGCTGAACGGTCAAAGACATTCTCGTTTTTTCTCTGATATTCTTGTGCTGTTGCAAGCCTCGATCTACCGTTGGTTCATTTCGGTACTTAATCGAGACTCCATTCCCAGATCGAGATCATGGACAAAGCTACACTTCTAACCGCTTCCAAAGTGGATCTGAACGTTTCGACCCATCCCCGCTCCGACATCACCAGGTTGATCGTTCCGTCACTACAAATTGCCCTTCGCTTCCAAAGCCTTGTCGGCTCAATCTCCATCTTCCTTTGCCTCCATGCCTGCATCATCGCGAGCAGCGCGTTCGTCGCCGTCCTCCAGGGGAGCAAGATCGTGTCCCTAAACGCCTTCATCGCAGCAAAGTATAGCGCTTTTCACAGTTTCAACATGTCTACCCAAGCCGTCGCCAGTGCATGGAACTCCAAGAATGTCCAGAGATTACGAAAAAAGCTCTGGTACGAATTCGCCGTCTTCATTCTCGGCAGCGGGAATCTAGTCTTCCTCATGCTCTTCTGGCCTGGATGGTGGGTGCTCGCAGGCGCGTGCTGGGCAGGCTGGATGCTCCTCGGTTGAAGCTTTTCCCACGCGTTTTGGGTGTCTCTATTACCTCTCAGCCAAACTCAAAAGGTGATCCACTCGTGATATATCCAACGCCCAAGGAGCCGCCACAACCCACTTCCAAGCACATATCGATGTTTTGTGACAGTCGACAGCACCATCTCAGCGCGAGAAGAAGAACGTATTACCACCAGCATCCTTCCTCACCTCCTTCCCGTAGTCCTTCTCGGGATCAAACTCCTGCCACATACTCGCAGGAAAGATATGTTTGTTCTTCTCGTACCACCGCCTATCAACAACCTTAGTAAGAGCGGGATCTTCGTCAGCGCCCTCAAGGGTGTTAATATCGGGAAGCGCGTCTGCAACAGCAGCCTTAGAGGCGGGCATGACGAGAGGATCAATGGGTTCGGCATTATCGATCGATTCGGGTTTTCGAGGAGGTTCCGCACTGTACTTAAATACAGGCTCGCCATCAGGACCGGGTGTCTTGTTCATGGCGAAAAAGTAGAAGTCATAATGCTAGACGGCAATGAGAAGCTGTTCAATAACAAGCGCCAGCGAGAAAACTTACGTGAGGTATAATGACTGTTCCGCGAACAAGCATCAAATCGTCCACTCCAACTCTAGCCCATTCCCTCCTTGCATTGGACTTTTCACCCACGCCCAAATCGGCGCCAACTTTGCGACTTTTATCAAGGAACACCCATATGAAGTCGCCCTTCTTCAATCTGACGATTCCACCAGGAATATTAGTCCCGTCATAGAATACGAAAGGTAGCGCAATCTCGGTCGCTTTGACGGCTACTTGGATAGCCAAGAATTCGCGACGTAATGCGTCTCGTTCAGCGGCTTCCTTGCGCAATGCAGCTTTCGTCATGGCTTTGGGTACTATACCCACCGAAGCATTTGCCTTGAATTTGGTCTTGACCTCGCCTTCATTGCCTTCGGTATCGACTGCGCCGGACTTCTTGGCCTTTGTCGGTTTTATCAATGGTCCCTCATCCTCACCCTCTTCATCGTCAAACGACAGCAGCTTCTTCCCTTGCTTCTTTTTCTTCTTCTTCAATGGTTGCGCGCCACTTCCTGTATCACTGCCAGCGTTGTCAGGAGTGCCTGCTAAGGAAGCATCCGGAGTGGACGTGCCTGAAAACGCAGCTTCTCGAGATTCGCGCTCCTGTTGTTCAAGGACTTCGGCGCGTCGTTTGCGAAAATCGGAGAGGGCAACGAGACCGACCGTATGCGTGGAGAGTCGTTCATTGGTGGTTTTGTTCTGCGGTGTGAACCGCGACGTTCTTGAGTCTGACATTTTATGGTTTAGTTTGTAACAGTTGGTGGAATACAATGGCTTGGTTGACTCGATAGCTGCGATAATGATAAGAAGACGGTGTCAAATACCATCGTGCACTGTTTATCATATGTCATAACGTCTAAGCTCAACTGCTCCAGGGTGGGCTTCAATGGATGGAAGTCATGGTCAGCCAAACGCTCGCTGTAAGAATTTCCCACCGATATGTATAAGTCTTGAGATATCAAGACTGACTGGAGGTCTAGAAATACATATCACAATTCTAATGACGGTTGTGCAGCGTAATTATTGAACAAGATGTTGTCTGCCAACCATTTCCTCTTGATAAACTCCACCTTTGCTTCGACGTCATTAACTTGACCTCAGCCCATCACCGCCGTTAGACATGCAACAAACCTATTTCTTGCGAGCTCTGCTTTCAACTTCATCAAGAGAAACAAGATTCATAAATATTAGAACTAGATCCATCATGACAAACGTCGACACTTCTCTACCTCCAGAACCAACTGGCGCAGCCGCCAAGTTTGCTGCTCAGCATGCTGAAGAGCATCCGCTGAAGCTCTACGGAGGCTGGTTCTGCCCTTTCGTCCAACGAACTTGGATCACTATTCACGAAAAGAAGATTCCTCATCAATATGTAGAGATCAACCCATACAAGAAAGAGGCTCACTTCATGGCCATGAATCCCCGTGGATTGGTCCCTACTCTTGCAGTACCCGTTGACCCGAAGGGCAAGCTGCAGAAGCCTCTGTTCGAGAGCAACATCATTTGTGAATATCTCGATGAGGCGTTCACGGACGAGTCTAAGTATGGGCCTCGACTTCTTCCTACCGATTCATATGAGAGGGCAAGATGTCGTATTTGGATCGATCATATCAGCACACGCATCATTCCCTCATGGTACAAGCTCATGCAGCACACTCCCGACAAGCCTTTTAGCCTTGATGAGGCAAGAGAAGAACTGAGAGGACGCATCAAGTCTCTAGTTGAGGAGATGGACCTTGAAGGCCCATGGTTTCTCGGCTCGACTCTGAGTCTCGTGGATGTTTGCTTAGCACCATGGGCGAAGCGCCTGTTCTTAATTGATCACTACAAGGAGGGCGGCCATGGTATCCCGGAGTCTGGCGAAGGTAAAGATGGGGAGATTTGGAAGAGGTGGAAGAAGTGGTATGATGCAATTCTCAACCGTGATAGTGTGAAGGAGACCTGGAGTGCAGATGACCGATACATCATTGCGTATAAGAGATATGCCGAGGATACTACCAACTCTGAAGTTGGTCAGGCTACGCGTTCGGGCAAGCGTCTTCCTTGAGGGGTTTGAGTAGCGACTATTAGAGATATCCAGTTGCAAACATTGTGATTTCGGCTTTGAATCAACTCGGGTAACTTCTCTCTTACATATACCTCTTAGCGCCAGAGCATGTTTCATTTTACCCCTTCACATAGTACATTAAAGCTGATAACTATGAATATAAGCCACATGCACGCCGAGGATACTTTCCCGGTTTCCATAGTTTATCGTCATCACGACGTCTAATTTTCGTTCGTAGACTGTACGCAGTTGTGGCTTGAGAAGGACTGCTGAACAAGTTTGTTCTCTTAACAAACAGGTGATGTCACTACATTGATGTTGACTGCGATACGATGGTTACGGATCAAAAAGGGCCTATACACGCCGTTGAGATTCATGTGCTTCAAGGCGAATGGTACGTAACCATCCTCAAAGCCAATCGCTTTGAATCGCCCGTGACAATGCAGGAGGACTTCGAGAACACGGGACGAGCCTTCCATTACTCGCCTAGATACATGATGACGCAAAGGTTTAACGGAGCATCGCAGTTAGTAAAAGTCCGAAATCGTACAGGTGGGTGTTGTTGAACGCCGGCGGTGGCTTAAGCTACTGTGATCCGCGAAAGAGCCGCACTTTTGCAGTGGGATACGAACCTGTTTAAACATACACCACTTCAAGACTCGGTTAGATACTGGGTCTTCAACAAATGGGAGGCATTCAGTGGCTTGGCAAACGTCTCCGCAAAGCACAAGGCGTAGATGAAGAAAGCAACCAAGGAGGCAGCCAAACAATAGGGTTTGACAAAGAAACGAAGTCCTCGCCTTCTGCAAGGTTCACCCTCGACCTTCAACACGCGACCATTCAGTACCTAGACCATGGACGTCATTCTTCGCTACCAACCAATACTCGACATCGTACAAAACCACGCATCATCTCACAAACAAAGTCCCAGACTTCCGACAGCGGTATCACAAATGTCCCGTCGTCAATCGGCTCCGGCGTCGGCGGCCGGTAGGATACCGATACGGGCCGTCGCACATGCAATAAACATGGCTCCGTCCGAGGCAGATGTTCAAAAACTCGCAAGATATGAACAATCACGGCAATTGAGCAGAATAGAGAGAAAAACGATGTCACGTAAACGTCAGAAGCCTACATGGACTGACTAGTAATTATTGTTTGCCCGTCGATATGTTTAGCAACACCATGCATGACGGGGCGGGATGCAAGTCATGAGCTGAGGGAAGATCCCTGCCGAGGCCTTCTGGGGTTCCACAGGCCTAGATCTCTAGCGGTCAATGCCATCGGACAGCGTCGTGAAATGTCAACGAGGCAATCGCCCGCAGACCGCTCTCTTGGAGTCAGCTGATAGCCGTCATTGGAAATTGTTTGTGGTACGCTTAATAAACGTGTATATCTGGAACTTATTGACAGAAGCGTTGCGGACGGTGAATGAACAGTAAAGCCACCTGACGGTCACCGTAACAGGGTCCAGCCTGTGCCTCTCTCCCGTGCCTGTTCAAACATTCGATGGCCGTCGTTGTTCCTCTCGTTTATGCGGAGAGGTGGACTCGCCGATCATAGATTGGTGAGATGGGGTTGGATCCTGGGTCTAGAATTAGACACGGCACAGTCCAGCTTTTCGAGGTTTCTTCCGCTTTTCCCGCTTTTGACAAGGTCTGGGACAGTTGAGAGTTGAAAATCTGCCAGGGCAAGACACACACAGCGTAACTTGTGAGTTTGCCACGAGGATTCGTTGTTGCTGCCTGTCGTGTTACAATGCCTTTTGCTTTGACTTGCATGCATATATCGTGAATGTGTACCATGCTACGCGATATCATTCGTCGCAAGCTTGCAAAGATTGCCCAATATTTTGATCCTTTGTTACTATTCTATTCTTACCGACCTAGTGACCAAGCTTGAAGAGTTTTCCCAACATAATTACCTCATGAGAGCTTTGATGTGCGATGAAAGTTACCATGATCCATCATGTTAGTGATCTTCCGATTTTCGCGTTGGCTTAGTGCATCTGCCAGCCACCCTTGAACTTTGACGGCACGGAAAACTGTTTGACGACGGTTAGCCCGTCTGTCGTCAATACTTGTGGTGGCTGGTGATGGTCCAACTAACTCATTGTAGAAGCTGAACTTGAAGAAAGCTGTGAAAAAACCTTGAGCGTGATCAAACAAGCATAAAGAAAAGCCCACCAGTCGTCAATGTTTCATGCGGACCTACGGCCTGGTTCCTAGACTCCTCCACTGTAAGCGGGTCTTCAACGCTGACTTACAGAAGACCCCGGCAGGCATTCAGTGGAAGCTTGTGATTCTTTGGGGTAATCCGCTACAGATTATGGCATTCCTGGGACCTACAACAACGCATTATATTTTCCGTCCCGCGTCATCCGTCAGGGTAGCATAGACCAGCAAGATTAATACAACGTACCCCTAATATCTCGAATCAAGAATCAATAACAACACAAAGGAAAGCAATAGTACTACCCTGTAGGCAGAGGTTCTGGACCTTGTTAGTTACCTGAGCTACTATTTTAGGCGCGCTGTGCATGCACAAAACCGTACCGGACTGCCGAGCTGAAGACATGGCCCCACGGCGGGAATACGAGATCCCAGCAGGTGTTAGTTGAGTGTGATGCGACTCAGCGAGTGAGTTGTGGTTGTGGTACGTCACTTGACATATTCTCCATCATTCTCAACGCTTGTGCTGAGAATGTAGTGAATTCGGCCCTATCTGAGTCACGAATATGCATAATTCACTGGTAACCGAGTGAGTTAGCTTGAAGTATAAAGAAGGCCTTGTCCGCTCGCGTATTTGAGGTTGAAAGAACATCAATTGACTTCAACTCCAAAAGATCATCCTCTCCCATCACAGACAAAGATCATCCTCATCACCCCACAGTCTAGTCTCTTTCGCAGACCAACCTCCTCACTGCTCAACTTATAATCAGTCACAACCTTTCTCAATCCTCTCTCCCTCAACTCATACTACTTTTTCAGTAGCCTCTCAATAATCGCCAACATGCAATTCTTCACCCTTCTCTGCCTCGCCACCTCCGCCCTGGCCCTCCCTCAGACTCTCACCAAGCGAGAGACTTGTATGGACAAGGGCAGCAGGGTCACTGAATGGACGGTCAAGGACTTCAAGTACGAGGCCGTTTACACCCAAAACACTCCCACAAAGCAGACAAACTCTGCCACCGTCACTTTCACCCTTCAGAACCGCGGCGTTGGTTATGAGGGTAAGTGCTCAGCCAAGTCCACAGACGCCAAGAAGGACTTCTTCACTGGTAACACCGACTACAATTGCGATGTTCCTTTCGAGGGCGACTCTGCTTCATTCAAGTACAACCGCAAGTCCGGCGTCATCGCCATCTTCCAGCACTGGTCCTGCGTGAAAGAGGGCGGTTGGTACGAGGCCAAGGGCAACACAACCTTCACTCCCAAGTGCACCGAGAAGACTTGGAAGAACGCTCACTACAAGGCCGGTGGTGACAAGGCCTACTCCAACCGTCGGGTGACTTGCCAGCAGAAGCAGCTCAAGGTTCCTGTCCTCGAGATGCAGGCTGTCCTGTAGGGGGGGCACTATTCTCACGACACTTGTTCTTCATTCGCAATTCATGACAATATCTTTTAATACCTTTTAAGCGCAAGCTTTTGGAGTTGGATTTTGCTTTTTTGGGACACCCCTCTTCATCCACGACTACGCCGTGACGACGGAAGGATATGATCTACGATCTCCATGACATTCATTAGACTAATAGCATTAATTGGATGGAGGAATATGGGAAAAGCTGCCATAGCAGTATTTTAGACATTCAGTGGAATAATTGCATCGCAATAAACATATTCATGATCTCAAATTGTGTGATTCTCGTGATCTTGTCCAGTCGTTGACACAGTGACATCGTCTCGCAATGCAGCCATGAGCGATCCAAATAACAACCGTCACCAGTGACGAATTGTGGCAATACCACGTATGATGAGATATCGTTATTGAATATTCCGTGTTGCAAACAATGTAAAGCGGTGTGGTCGTGATGGGAGATCGCATGGTTGTGAGACATTCGAGGGAGTCATCCAACCCCAGAACGCCATTCAATGAAAGCCATACCTGCTGTGCCACGTCTTCGCTGCAATTCCTTGCGCTACGTTGCTTGCGCTTTTGTTTTTCGAGTTTCTAGAAGCCTCTCGGCCTCAATTGTGAAGCGTGATCTTTATACGATTTCTTGGTCGGATTACCTACAGGTGGCTGCATGTTGTTGAAGAATGGGTGTCTCACAACTTATTGCGAATTACTACGTAGTTAATTCCGGTTTCACAATTTCCGCGGGTCTCCAGCACCATGTGACTTACACCGATTTACCATAGGAAAGAAAACCCGATGTTCTTACTCTCGTTTTGCACCCAGTTCGCAGGGATCCAGCGTGCTGGACTGACCCATCGGCCAACGGAGATTATAAGACAAATCTCAGTCGGTCTCAGCCATTTTTCAGGCCAGGCAACCCGTTGAAGGATTGTTTTGTATCACTCTGTCGGCATATTATGAGCTTTGTGTAAGTGATGAGTCGAGTCCCAACTGGAACAAGACTATGCGCGAAACATGGATCTGAACCAGAAAAATTGAAAGTTTAACTTGCATCATTTCTTTTATTTTCCTTCTCTTATGTGGCATGAAAAGCCTGGTCTGTCATATCATGATTCGCAATCTCAGTATCACCCTCCCTACTCACGAGGGAGATACCAAAGCTATGGATATGGGTCATGTCACGTACAAAAGGGAGCGAACCTCCTTTTGCGGACTAACTATATAGTTGTTCTTACTCGCTGGTCTTCTCTCCGAATAGCAAAAGCAATTGCTTTTGCACCAAGATCTGTGTAGTTCAGATGCTCCGCGGGCAGATCTTCCTTATTTGGCTGTAGGTCAAGTCAGCATTCTTAGTCGCTTGATTAGGCCATTTCCGCCGACTGGTGTTTTCCCCACTGCTCGCTCTTGTGTACATCCACCTTTTGAGTGGGAGTAGGCATGAGGTATTCTTCGAACAGGGAGAGTAAGATGGTTTATTATAAATGGGCAGAGTTTCACGAGATGTGATTCTTCGTTCGCAAACTGATACCGCTCAAGGGTTTATACCAGATCCTCTGAACTCGCAGCTTGTTACCTTCAACAATGGGGTGAAGGTATGATGTATCCCACCCAAGGAGTGGGGCCGTTCTCTACCTAAGATTGACGAGAACGGTAGGTTATTCTGGCTTGGCTTCCCCGCATCAACCTACCATCGAGGCATCTCGAAGAGGCAACAAACGTTAGACGATGACGGTAAGAATCCCGAGCAAGTCCCGACCTGGGGTAATCATGGCAAGAGGACGTGGCTGTGATGCTTGGAAACGCGGGGTATAAATAATCGTGTATTTAAACTCAAATACTATTTATCTCTCTTCCTCGACACTCTAGAGTTGCCATATACACTTGCATCACTATTCATCATGACTACACAAACTATGAAGGCTGTCAACTATCAAGGCCCTTACAAGGTCAAGGTTCAGGATATTGAACTTCCTAAGCTGGAGCATCCTGACGACGTCATTGTCAAGGTTACGACTGTAAGACTCCCAAATCTCTCTGTAGGTATCGCAATGGCTGATAAATGCTCAGGCTGCTATCTGTGGCTCCGACTTACAGTAAGGGGAACAATATGTACACAAAAAGTAATACTCACAAGTCATAGCATGTATGAAGGCCGAACAGCAGCAGAACCCGGCATTACCTTTGGTACGGTTCCTGTTCTCACATAATTCATCTCCTTACTAACTTTACAGGTCATGAGAACATGGGCATTGTCGAACAGCTTGGCGAAGGTGTCACGCTGCTAAAGAAAGGAGACCGAGTCGTCATGCCCTTCAACGTCGCTGATGGCCGATGCCGTAACTGTGAAGAGGGCAGAACTGCTTTCTGCACTGGTGTCAACCCCGGATTTGCCGGAGGTGCTTATGGCTATGTCGCCATGGGCCCTTATCGGGGAGGACAGGCACAGTATATCCGAGTTCCTTATGCCGACTTCAACGCTCTCAAGCTCCCTGCTGGCAAGGAGCATGAAGCTGATTTCATTCTTCTCGCTGGTGAGCATGTCGAATTTATATCTCTTGCGTCTTTCTCTAACACTGTACAGATATCTTCCCTACCGGGTGGCACGGCGTTGAAATTTCTGGTTTCCGATCAGGCGAGAGCGTCGCTGTCTTCGGTGCTGGGCCCGTCGGCCTCATGGCCGCTTACTCCGCCGTTCTTCGTGGCGCATCCAGAGTATTCGTTGTTGATCGTGTTCCCGAGCGTCTTCAGGCCGCCGAGAAGATCGGCTGCACGCCAATTGATTTTTCAAAGGGAGATGCTGTTGACATGATCATCAAGGCCAACGACGGAGAGGAGGTTGACCGATCTGTTGATGCTGTCGGCTACCAGGCGGTCAGTAAAAGCGGCGATACTGAGCAGCCCAACATTGTATTGGAGAACATGATTAAAGTGACAAGAGCTTGTGGTGGACTGGGTATTCCTGGTCTTTACGTCCCTAGTGATCCTGGTGCTTCTGATGAGGCATCAGCAAAGGGGATGATCAGCCTTAGCTTTGGCAAGCTATTTGAAAAGGTATGATTCCCGACACGGTCTCGCTAAGCGACAAGAATTTAACATTTAGTCAGGGACTTACTATTGGCACTGGCCAATGTAATGTCAAGTCTTACAACAGATATCTCCGAGATCTTATTATTTCTGGTCGAGCTAAGCCCAGCTTCGTTGTCTCGCATGAGATCAACATTGAAGAAGCTGAAGTAGCTTATGAGAAGTTTGACAAGCGAATTGACGGATATACGAAGGTTCTTATTCACCCTAATGGTGGTTTCTAAAATTGGTACAAGACGTAAAAGCTGTGGAGTGCCTAATAAGAGCATGTTGGGGAGAGTTATATGTATCTGTAAGTGGTGCTTGTGAGGCTGGGAGCGTTGTATCTGGCATTGGTGAGGTGTATTGAAGTTTAAGGAAGTATTCATAGCGCGAAATCGATCATTTGCATCTTGCCATAAAGGCAGCACACCCTCCACTTCTGTTGCTATATAATCTAAATAGGGATAACTCACAATGATACTTACATGGCAACTTGTCATGAGCTAGAGAAAGGCTGTTTAGATCTTCATTCTCACGTTCGGCTCGTAGAAAGGATCACTATACAGCTTCTCAATGACCAATTTCAAATAATGAATTGTAGAAATATTTTTGATTGCTTGGAGATATCATTTGAAATTTACAAGAGCCCTAGACCTCCTGGAAACTCATGTCTGATCATGTCATTCCGACCAAGTCTTTCTTCCCTCTTCCGAAACCATGTCACTTTTCATCAGGAAGAAAACCGTTGTCGCTATCCCCCTTATCGCAAATCGATCCGGAAGTTGCGATGTCGGAACCATCGTGAGTCCAATTGGCTAGACTGGGCATAGTCACGATGAACCATGACTTCATTTGCTATAAATACACTTGAGCTTCCCAAAGAGGAAAGAAGTCTCTTCACCGAGATCTAAGGATTTGACTCATTTTTCTCCCTTGTGTTATATATATCGTGAGGCTTGGCAGAGATTTCAGTCATCTTCAATGGATCTCCAAATTAATCATGACGACCACAACTTCTCTCGAGTTGGCGAGTGTTCGCCCAACTGACAACGATGAGGCAGGACTCTCATCTATTGATGCTCTTCCACCGACAGATCGAGGTCGAGGGGCTTATACAGCCTTAGCTTGCTGTACAATTGCCCAAGCGCCTATATGGGGTCAGTATTAAATCTCTCGATTATTCGAAACACATCTAACTTGCTCTTAGGATACTCTGTTTCCTATGGGATCTTTCAAGAGTACTACACCGCTCATACCAATCTCAAAGCCTCCCCAAGTGCTATCGCGTCCATTGGCGCATCTCAGACAGGGATCATGTATCTCATGATGCCTGTGGCATTCATCGTTCTAAATCGCTTCCCACGTCTTCGAAAGTGGTGCGGTCCTCTCGGCTTAGCTATCACCATAATCAGCTTAACGGCTTCGGCCTTCGTAGGCAATGTTGCTGGTCTCATCGCCACCCAGGGTGTTCTGTATGCCATCGGATGCAGCTTGCTCTTCAGCCCAACCTCACTCTACATGGACGAATGGTTTGTCGAGCGGAAAGGTCTTGCCTATGGAGTTATGTGGGCTGGTAAATCAAGCGTTGGTGTCGCCATGCCGTTTCTCTTCAACGTCTTGCTCCAGCGATTCGGGCTCAAAGCAACATTACTGTCTTGGACAGTGGCATCAGTTGCTATGACTTTACCAACACTCTTCTTCCTGAAGCCTCGAGTCGAAATCAGCCGTGACTCCAGGCCGCGTCCTATCAGCTTTGCTTTCTTTAGACACGCTTCATTCTGGATGCTTCAGTTCGGCATAATCATTCAGTCATTGGGTTATCTGATGCCGAGCACCTACTTGGCTAGTTATGCCACCGCGATTGGACTTTCATCTGTCACAGGACCGATCTTGCTGGCGCTCTTCTCGCTTGCCTCTGTGCCTGGATCTCTCATCCATGGCATGTTAGGCGACAAGATCTCTGGTGCCAAAGTCATTCTTGTCTCCTCCTTGGGAAGCGCACTTCCGGTATTCCTCCTATGGGGCTTGGATCGTCATATAAGCACTATGGTGGTCTTTGTGATTCTCTATGGCTTCTTTGCTGGTGGGTTCAGTGCGACATGGTCAGGAGCTTTGCAAGAAGTCAAGGGGACGAACGAATCGATCGATACATCCTTGGTATTTGGTATGCTACTCGGAGGCCGTGGGCTGGGCTTCATTGTTGCGGGGCCTCTCAGTGGTGCGCTCATCTCAGCAGGGAGTTCGTTGGCAAGTGGTGATAGCCTTGGGTATGCGACCAAGTACGGTCCGATGATTCTTTGCACTGGCGTCACGGCAATTCTTGGAGCGTGGGCACCTATCTGCAAGATCGCCAAGTCTGCTGGGAAGAAAGGGCTCGAAAAATATGCAAGATTGATGTTGTAATTGCAATCACTGAGATTTCGCGTTGGCAGTTCAGGAATAGAGAAAAGGACAGCGGCTAGAGATTTGGTGTTCCAAAATGATGCTTGTTCATTCAGTCGATGACTATTAATTCTATAATTGCTACAAGGTCTTCAATCCGTCTTCTTCTTTTATTTCTTGGTGATCAATGCTTCGCCATTCATGATACCTAGCGAAGCGTCATCCGTTTCAATCCACTCCTCCCACGCCTTTGCCATCTCATCCAACTCATCACCAGTCGCACTACCCATCTCAATAGCCTTGTCGCGCGCGAAGCCAGTCAGCGAGCGATCTTTCATGGCTGATCCTGTAGTATGTTAGTGCAATTGTTCGGTATGTCGACTAATTTCTGACTTGCCCCATGCTTTCTTGTCCTCCGGTGCACTGTAGCACCACGTCCCAAAGCTCAAGATAATGTCTCGACGGGAAACCCCAGCTTTCAGGGCCCATGAGAGAAGTTGACGGCCTCCCTTGTCTTGTCCACCCTTGCCAGAAATGTTCTTAACCTGAAGCTCATGGAACTTGAGGAGGGCTGGAAGTTCAGGCCAGATGCACCACATGTGCATGTCACTCTCGCGAAGAGAAAGTGTGCCCCCTGGTTTAGTAACTCGGAGCATTTCCCGGATGGCATCTACCGGTGCATCCAAATGACAGAGGACCTGATGCGCATGGGTGACATCAAATTCTGCGTCTGGGAAAGGCAGCTTGAACACGTTGGCTTGCTGAAACTTAATGTTGGAAACGCCCTGAGATTCGGCATACTCCTTGGCTCGAACAAGGATCTCATCGGATATGTCGGTGGCAGTAACTTCACCTTCAGGCATGTACTTTGCCAAAGAGGCAGAGATCGTACCAGAGCCAGCACCAACGTCGAGGAGTTTAATCTCTGGGTTCTCTTTAACAATGGCCTGCAGCTTTGGGATAAGATGCTGGCTGCTATTCTCGGCCGTTCGCCATTCATGATGTCTAACTTCGGTAGCGGCATAGCCGTGGCCGTAATCGTTGTGTTCTGATACCATGATCCTTTGTTTGAGTATTGCTTGTTCAAGTGGCTTTGCGTTTCTAAAATAAATCAAGCTTGAAGTGTCTATTCTAGGCTCTTAAATTAATCTGGAGTTTGTTGTAAAGGAATTATATATGTGTTATTCACTGGAGGCAGGCGAACCTGTTTTCCGCTGCCTACCCTACTCTTTCGTCATTCCTACCGGAGCTGAGGTCGTCAGAGCTGCTCAACTCCGGTGACCCTCAGTGGAGAAACCCTCAACCCCGGACCAATAAGCTGAGACGTTGTTCATCAACGAGCAAACTCCAAGAAACCGACAGCGATTGAAAAGAAAGTACGTCTTCTCCATATTGTTCTGTTGCAATACCGAGTAGTAGCTCTAGAGTTTGTTCTAACAAGGAAATAGGAGATCACTGTCAATTTTGGTTGATGGTATGCGACGGACTTTCCGCGGACAGAGCCTTGAGAACTGCCGTGGTAGGGTTGAATGCAAGTTTCCATACTCCATCATCAGGCGTGCTCGAACAGAACTTGCAAAGTCATGATAGAAGTAAAGACATGACAATCTCAAAGAAACAACTATTCCACTCTACAAGCTCCTTTTCTTGTCCGGGAGCAACGTTCCGGATCCCCAATAGCGGGAAGACATCAAACAATACGATGCGGAGAAAAAGGGCGGAACGCCTCCGTCGAAAAACCAAAGCAGGCGCTGGCAGAGAATAAACTCAAGATCGCAAGCAGCCTAGCACATTATGAAGGAGTAATGGAAAGAGTCGCCATTCGCTGGCCATATTCCCGAGGTCCTGTCTCGTGCACTTCCCCGTGGGGTTTGGTCCGTGAGGGGAAACATTGAGCTTCCTTTTTCAGCCTCTGACTACAGCAACAGATGGATTACAAAACAAAGTTGCATATTGTGGCTTGCTGTTGGTCCTTTTGTCCTGCATTGATACTCTATCTGTATTTTGAGGATTCCTCTAGATCTTCTTGGTAAAGCACCTCTGAGATGAGGGCGAAGGAATCGCCCGTGCCGAAAAGCGAAGACTCGACTGATTATTCTCCTAGAGTTTCGCGACAGGTGCTGTACTGTAACTTTCCAGTACGTAACCCCAACGATCGTCATTGAGTTTTCCAGCTGTAATGGGCCCCCCTGTTCTCCAACCAAGACTGCAGAGCCGCCACCATCGAGCACGGCTCCTCGGCTGTGGCGTATCAGAGCCAAGTTTTTCAACTTCAGATCAAAGCCCGAGCATTCTTCGTCTTATATGAATCACGGATATTCAGATGAAAGCAATTGATAACGTACCTTTGTCAAGAGAGATAAATTATCTCCGATATTGGAATGTACAAGCGACATCGGTCCAATTGCTCCTCCACAGTCGGGATTAACGAACAATCCATTAGACTTTTCGCTCCGTAACTCGGCCGTAAATCAAGAGCCTGCTGAACGGCCCGGCCCCAGCGAACTCCTTGTTCCCTGCGGGGTGATCTAACCCCCATCCGCATGGAGTCTGTGGATCTGCTCTGCTTAAGCGTCATGATAGGCATCGTCCCCCTTGCAATTCGTTACCCCGACCTCGGCTGGGTCTTTCTCGTTGCAATGCAACGATCCACTGTAGGATTGACAATTTGATCATCTTTGACTGGTTGGGGTATAGTGATAAATTGCCTTAGGTAGCTTGTTGAGAGAAGAGGGTGTGACTTGTCGTGTTAACCAGGGTTTAAAAAGGCGGACTTGCTCCGAGACATTCAAGTCTCTTTATAAGTGCCGGCCCGCAACTCATTTCCACGTTTGAGGATCTGCAGAGCACTCTGATTTTCCCCTTCTCCTCTGCTTTGTTTTCATACGGACTCAGTATACCTTTGCTAGAAGCCATCGTTTAGCAGCAATGGCTCTCAACCACACAGAAAAAGACGAAGGCAACGAGTCACCCGTTTCCCTCGACCCTGAGCGTTCCCACGTTCGCGATGCCGTTCACACAGACGACGCTACGGTGGTTTGCCCGTCGAGTACCACTGATACCAAGCTCATGACCAAGATTGATCTCCATGTCATTCCTTTCTTGTGTATCATGTATCTGCTCGCTTTCCTGGGTTCGTATACTCATACCGTGTCGCGTCGCATAAATAATCGGCTAACACCATGACTTACAGATCGTGTAAACATCGCCAATGCCGACGTTTTTGGCCTGTCCGAAGAACTCGGCCTCGAAAAGACAGAATACAATACCGCCCTCGTCGTCTTCTTCGTGCCATACGTCCTCTTTGAGATTCCCTCCAACATTCTTCTCAAGCGCTTCAAGCCCCATGTCTGGCTCAGCCTGAACATGTTCCTCTTCGGCCTTACTACTCTCCTCCAGGGTCTGGTTCAGAACTACAGCGGTCTTATTGCGACTCGTTTCTTCCTGGGTCTTTTTGAGACGGGCATGTTCCCCGGTGGTAAGTTGATCTAGCGCATCATGAAATAGCACATATGACTTACACGAAACGCAGCTTTCTACTTGATCGGCATGTGGTATCGTCGACACGAAGCCCAGCGCCGCTACTCTTTCTTCTTCAACAGCACCACCCTCGCCGGCGCATTCGGCGGCCTTCTTGCTGCAGCCATCGGCAAGATGAGCGGTATGCGTGGCTACGCTGGTTGGCGCTGGATCTTCATCCTCGAGGGCGGTCTTACCGTTCTCGTTAGCTTCTTCTTCTACTTCCTGCTCCCCGATTTCCCTGAGCAGGCCAAGTGGCTCACCAGCGAAGAGAAGCACTACGTCACAGCAAGACTGCGCATCGACCAGGGCCACGCCGGCGCCGAGCGCAAGACGACCTTCGCCGATGCGCTCAGCGTGCTCAAGGACTACAAGATCATCATTGGTGGCTTCATGTACTTCGGTCTTATTGTGCCCGCATACGGCTATGCCTACTTTGCACCTGGTATCATCAAGACATACGGATACAGCCCCATTCAGACACAGCTCTACAGCGTTCCTCCGTGGGCCGCTGCCTTTGGCTTCTCGCTTGCTGTCGCATTCGCGTCAGACAAACTTCGACACCGAGCCTCATTTGCTATTTTTGCCATCCTCGTCGCCATCGCCGGGTTCGCAATTCTTCTATCCGTCCACAACAACCACTCTGTCCAGTATGGTGCTCTATTCCTCGTCACCATGGGCGCATACACCGCTATGCCCATCATTGTTTGCTGGTTCAACATGAATCTTGGAGGTCACAGGAGACGAAGCATTGGCAGCGCATGGCAAGTTGGCTTCGGAAATATTGGTGGTATTATCGCCGTGTATTCCTTCTTGGCCAAGGATGCACCGAAATTCATCCCGGGTTACTCTATCTGTATTGCATTCACCATCTTGTCGATCATTGCGTGTCTCTCATACGCTGCCGTGATTCTATACGAGAACAAGAAGAGAGATGCGAACCCACCGCAGACCGAACTCACCAACGAGGAAAAGGCCGAGCTGGGCGATAATGCGCCGACATACAGATATTTGCTGTAGATAGAGTTGTACATGTGGCTGGTTCACAAAAGTTGGATACATACCCCAGGTAATCATTTTGCGTAATGTTGATGAATCACAAATGAATCAAAGAGCTTTCTAGCAGACCGTTTGTCCATGACTCTGTTGGTGATTCGGTCTTGAATTTGACTCTGAATTGTTTCTGATGGATCAACCCTCAAGAACAAAATCTTCCATTTCGATCCGTTCATGTAAAAGTAAATAGTGTCCATAGGGATCGCGGAGGCTCGGCGGTATTGCTTTTAACTCTTCATAGTTCCCCTCTGGAGTGCATCGATTGGATTGGATGCTGGCCATAGACAATGCGGTCATGTCAATTCCACGACTCTGGAATCCAATGGAGTAGTGTCTGGAAGCATCCATGAATACAAAATGAAAACTCTTCAACAATATTGACTTGCTGCCTCTACAGAGTGGTAATCAAGGATGCAGGTGGATAGAAGATTGACTTACACCAACGAGTGGGATCCTTCGCTAAACCCAATTCCGCCCAGCTTCTACTACTGCCCCTCCTTACACACGCCCTTCACGTAAAACAAAACCCCACTAACAAGGCGTCAACTGCGCCCAAGTCAACCAAACTTTCTACAGTTTTCGGCTCTTCTGGTTGATTGAAATATAAATATAATTCTCTATAGAGGGTATCTTGGAGCTTCTGTACAGTTATCAACTATCATACGTTTACAATGGCCACAATTCGACATGCCCGAAGGGAGGGTAAGCTCCAACATCCAATCCAATGCCTCTAGAGAGTCGTCATGGCGCTAACTTAAGCTCTCTGAAGATGCTCCCATAATTCTCCAGCTCATCCAGGAGCTCGCCGATTACGAGAAGGAGCCTGATGCCAACCAGGCAACCGTTGAAAGCATCCAGGCCACGGTCGCATTCGCACCCTCCGACTCCCCTAACACCGACGCCTCTATTATCCCAGCCACCGAACCTATATCACCAACGAAGCCCGCTCGTTGCCTTCTCCTCTTTACCCCCGAAGGTGAAGCCGCCGGCATGGCATTGTACTTTTACAACTACAGCACATGGCGCTCGCGTGCAGGTATCTACCTAGAGGACCTATACGTGCGCGAATCGGCGCGTGGCAAGGGATACGGCAAGAAGCTGTTGAGCACTCTGGCTAAGCAAGTCCTTGCCATTGATGGCGGTCGACTTGATTGGGCAGTTCTCAAGTGGAACGAGCCCAGCATCAAATTCTACGAGAGCATTGGTGCATACGCTATGAACGATTGGGTCGGTATGCGAGTAGATGGCGAGGGTCTGAACAAGCTGGCCAGTTTGACGGATTAATAGACCCAATGGAAAAGAAAACAGTTCAATGTTCAGTGTTCATGAGCACGGAGGCCATATGAAATGTGTGTCTATGATTTCCGCGTCCTAAGAGGGTTGGCCGCTGTCCTTGATCGTGAATTTGGCGCCCGTTGAATCTGGTAGGACGGCTTTGGCTTTTTACCCTTGCTATCGACGCCCTCGAAAATAGCGAGTTGCGCTTTTGAAGGAGGGACCGCGGGATTTGTCAAAGCACCCCATATGAAATTGGGCCTGTCTGGCTTTGAATTTGGATCCATCTTGGGGGTGAACTGCCAGACTCGTTGATAAGCGCGCCTAAACCATCTGGGCGAAAATTCCTGATGGTCGAATCTTGGCTGATATGGATGCTTTTCCGTATCCCGTCCAACCAAAGCATAAACGGATAGCGGACTCTGACGCTCAACCTGGGAGGCTGGCCGAGAAGCATATCCCTCCCAATCCCAGGCATCAGATTTAGTAGTAGCACCACGTGAGGGCTTCGCAGCAGGTCGTCTTTCCGGGACCTTCCACTGATCTTCCTGTTGAGCGCCGCTGCTGAGCCGGCCTAGAAGGTCCCACTCATCTTTTCCAAGTGGTGGCATCGCTTTGCCTGAAATGCGCTTCCAGAAGCTTGCTCGCTTGGCTTGATAGATATTTGGTGGTGGTGGTTTTCCCCATATGGTTTGACGAGGGACCGCATGATCGGGATTAAGACTCTTGATATCGGTTTTAGGCCAAGATAGTCTTGATGTTCGCTGTACATCCCTCTGACTGCGGAGGAGCTTTCGGAGCTTCTCGGTGTTCCACTTCTCATAGAATGCTGGCTGAAGAGGGTTTGGTCCTTTTCTTACTAGATTTGCCTTTGGTTTTGTTTCTTCTACATTGCCCGGTGTTTCGTTCGTGTCCTCTGGAGAATTCGTAGAGGTTTGACTTTCTATCGCTGTTTCGGCTGGTTTAGGTGGAGAGGACTGATTTTGTAACTCAGTTCCTTTAGGCTTGGCCGTCTCTGGAGGCTTTTCATCCGCTTCAACTCTTTGGATCAAGGCTTCCAGATCATCCGAGTTGCTGGGAGGTTCGGGTTGTATATAGTCCGAAAGTAGGCTTCGCCTTCGAGCCCCTGTTCTGCCAAATGCGTCCATCATCAAGTCTACCATGCGTGATTGCTTGCCACTGTTTGCTGCTCTTAATCTGCGCAGAAGATTGGCCGCAGCGGCGCGGTGCTTGTTTTGGAGATGATCATATTTTCGATGACTTCGAAATCGTGTGCGAATACGGTGCGTAACCTCTGGACGTATTGCTGGAGGGAGATACGATGTTTCGCGAAGGATGTGTCGATAAAGGTGAAGAGGAGGTAGATGGGCGGGAATTGTGGAATGAGGACGAGGCATCATGGCGAACGTAATAAGGGCAAGAGACAGGAAGAGAGGCGCAAGGCCCCGTGAAAGAATTTAATTGCCAATTGCAAGGGCTCAAGACTGGGTCTTGAAATGATACTGAAGCATTCGGATATCTACGATGGTATAATTTTCGTTTCTACGGTAGATCTTCGGGCAGTGGGTTCAAGCGTCCGAGAGCTCGAACATTTATAGCAGATAGAAAGGCAGTGAACTGGATCTGATATATCTGCGACGATGTGATTTACTCCAAAGGCATGGACTGGAGGCCGAAGGCGATGTGTCTCAGTCGTATCAGTGAACCATCACGATGGCAGGGGTAAGAAGTCGCCTGGAGATACTTGTGCTCTAGCAGCAAGAGCTTGAAAGATGCACCCCACGTCATTGATGGCATTGCATAACTCTGTTTCAACAGTGCGAATGGAACTGAACGATCTATGCAATTCACATCCAAGGAAGTACCTGTTGTGTTATGCATGAAACAAAGAGTGGCCAAGTTATGACGGCCATCAACAAGTGGTTGCATTAGTGGCCTTGACAATCCGCGCGTGGCCTGAGAATTGATGGCCATAAGCTTCGTGTACTTGCACAAATCCTTTAGCAGCCAATGGCCTGATCGGAAACAACAAAGACATAGTCACTGCAACAGGCCAAGTTACAATGTTAGCGGGCCTCAAGATGAGTACATTAATCTTCGCGAGGCTTGGCTCGTGCGTTCACGGCCTTTACGCGCTTTACGCGCGAGACACGTCCAAGGGCGCGACCGAGCACGAAACAGACACGTCTCGATTAATTGAACGCATCTTTTTTCTCTTCCCGTTCACGCTCATCAGCCGAGGGATCGGGAACTTGCTGCAAGTGAGCACAACCTAACAAGTCACTTTGACGTGCATAAGCTTAGCACGGTTGATGATGGTACATTTAATTGCCTCCACCGAGGCCAATTTATCCCTAGGTATTTATCAGGTGCAGAAGTAACCTGCATTAGCACCTTCTGGGCAACTTTACTCTGCAAACACACCTGCAATCTTCATCTTTTTCTTTGCTTTCATCCTCACCTCGCTCTCTTACACGAGTTTAATCGAAAGCAGCTATAGTGGAGGTCTTTCACCGGGCCAACTGAGCTACAGGCGGCTCATTACGCAGAACCCGCTAAAGCATTGGTTGTCAGCGCACTCCCCGCTCGTCTCTGGGGCATCTTCCAGGTACCTGAGACCCTGGGCCGGTTCACCTGCAACTCACTTCCAATCACTTGCACAACTCCGCCGTGGCCCGCCCACTACACTATCTCGAGCTACTCATTTCGTCTCAACTCCATCTTCATTCTGCAACCACCCAGTTTTTAGGCGCACAAAACGACTGAAACTCCGACGACGAAGCGCATGAGCGAGCCCGGATAACTGCCTTTAGCCTCGTACGGCACTTTTAAAATACTGTATCCTATCATACTGGCCGGCCACATCGACCTCTTGTTTCAAACTTTGCGCGTTTCCCTGCTGATTGTACATACCCTTCGACTTGTTCTTGTGGTACTGATTGGTGCTGTGATGCTACTACGCTCTTCATCAATCCACCTCGAAAAACCCTTTCAGCTGAGACAGTGTTAATATCACGCTGCGAGTAATCACCTATAATACGAGATGCCGTCAGCATCGCAATCATCTCAACAATCATTCAGCATGAGCCAACAATCGCAATCTGGTGTGGGTAACTCCTTCAGAGGTTACAATGGCGACTCCGAAGGTGCTACCATCTACTCGGTATGCAACGCCCAAAAACTATACTACTCTCCCTCTGCTAACAATCGTCTGATATAGGCATCGTATTCTGGCGTCGATGTATACGAGATGGAGGTCAACAATGTCGCCGTGATGCGCCGTCGCAACGACTCATGGCTCAATGCGACCCAGATCTTGAAAGTTGCCGGGGTAGATAAGGGGAAGCGCACCAAGATTCTCGAGAAAGAAATCCAGACGGGCGAGCACGAAAAAGTTCAAGGCGGTTATGGAAAGTATCAAGGTACTTGGATAAAATTCGATCGAGGTGTCCAAGTTTGCCGTCAATACGGCGTTGAGGAGCTTTTACGACCACTCTTGACCTACGACATGGGTCAAGACGGAGGTGTTGCTGGTCGAGGTGATTTTAACACACCAACCAAGGAACAAGCTATGGCCGCACAGAGGAAACGGCTGTATAATCAAAGTACGGACGGAAGACCTAATGGTCTAAGTGGGACATTCTTCAAGAACATCTCGACTACTGCCTCACATGCCGTCGCCGCCATCAGCAAAGCTCGCTTCGATTCACCAGGCCCTCGAAGCCGCAATGGCCCTTCGAGAGCACCCTCCTTTAGCCGCCAAGCATCCATGCAGAACGGAGACGATTTCCCTACCAACTCTCAACAGAGCTTTGCCTCTGATTATGGACAACAAGTTGATTCAGCATATTCGACGCAACAGATTAACAACTCGGTTCAGATTAACGAGACAGAGCCTCCTCGAAAACGCCAACGAGTGACCATGACGCCAGGCGATAGCTTTAGCGGATATGGGCAAAATATGGACATGTATGCAGCGGCCTTCCCTGGATCACCCACGGAACCAAACGAGTCTTTTATCTACACCCAAAATACTATGCAGGATGGCTCGCCGGTGGACGAGGGCAGTGGGCCCCTGGCGCCTCTCCCTTACGAGATGTCCCCAGAGGTTGAGATGAAGCGAAACATGCTGATGAGCTTGTTTCTGGAAGCTCCTGGCACCGATCCTACGAAGCATGACATGCTTCGAAGTTACACCCCAAAGGAATTGGATATGCCCATCGACTTGCAAAGCCACACTGCCCTCCACTGGGCTGCTACACTCGCCCGTATGCCTCTGCTCCGTGCTCTCATCGCTGCTGGCGCCTCCCCGTCCCGCGTAAATGCTTCCGGCGAAACAGCCCTGATGAGGGCATGTTTAGTCACAAATTCACAGGATCATAACTCGTTTCCTGACCTCCTCGAGGTTTTGGGCAGCACCATAGAGGCTCGGGACCACAAGGGACGGACGGTGCTTCATCACATTGCTGTGACGAGCGCTGTCAAGGGACGCAACGCTGCAAGCCGGTATTACCTTGAAAGCCTTCTGGAGTGGGTTGTAAGGCAAGGTAGCGCACCTAATAGTCAGGCTACCAATGGGAATGGGCCCAGCGGCTCGCAGTCGGCCAATCCAAAAATGGGAATCGCTCGCTTCATGAGCGAGATAGTCAATGCTCAAGATAGTGTTGGCGACACGGCCCTGAACATTGCATCTCGAATCGGAAACCGCAGTATTATTTCACAACTATTAGAGGTCGGCGCCGATCCGAATATCGCCAACCGTGTTGGCTTGCGCCCCCTTGACTTTGGCATTGGTAGTGAGAATGTTGAGGACAAAACGAACGGCGAAGTCAATGTGGATAAGAATGGCGTGACAGGGACGAATCAACGTAGTCGTGAGAGCAGTGATGAGATAGTAGCCTGTAAGTCGACCACAACTCGAGAATCCATCAGTTCATTGCTAATCAGAACAGCCATCTCTCACCTATTATCAGAAACAGGCTCAGCTTTCCAAACCGAGATGAAGGCTAAACAAGCTTCTCTCGACACTCTTCATACCACTCTCCGCACGACGTCAACACAACTTGGCGAAGCCCGACGAACTTTCGAGCACCTGAGCGCGACACTGAAGAAGCAACAATTAGCTAGGCAAAAGGTCGCCAATCTATCACACGCACGTGAAGATGAGCAAGTCCGTCTTATGCAAGAACAGTCTAGAGCATCACAGCCCAACCCCTCATCTTCATGGGAAACAGAGCTATCTGCTATGCTCGAGGCCGCTGATGATACCTCGGGCGGCGGTTTCGGTGGTGAGGGTCTCCTGCCCTCAGCAGCAGTTCTACGTGCCCGTATTCGTGCCGTTGAGGGACGTCGCGATATGACTCGAAAGATGGTCACGGCCCTAAAAGGACGGAGTCGCGATGTCGAAGTCAAGTACCGTCGTGTAGTGGCGCTATGCACGGGAGTCCAAGAAGACGAGGTGGACGCTGTAATTGACGGTCTACTCAAAGCCGTGGAAAGCGAACACGAGGAGCTCGAAATTAACCGTGTGAGACGCTTCCTCGGCGGCGTCGAAGGTGTTGTGCACTGATGCTAAGTTCTTTGATTCCTCGACTGCACAGCACACATCGGGTTGTGCCTATTGCAGACTGTAACGACTACACTTTCTGTACGATTCTGTGTTTATTTGTACACGGTGCTTTTGATACCCGCTGAGCCCGAAAAGCATCCCTGCTCGTGGTGGATTAGAACAATGGGCGTTTTCTTACTTATTGCCAAGGGCTCCATACCTTTCTGTTTATATCTCCATTACTATTTCAAGCTTTTTGTCACTTGATCGTTTTGTCTACGAGAACCGAAGATTGGACGACTACTTATACCTTTATTTCTGGACGAGAAGGAGTGTGCGTAAAAGAGGAAAGGGGAGAAGTTGGCTAGATAGCGTCCTTGACGAGTAATGGTGTATAATATATGACATGAAGAATATTCATTGACGGGGTGCTTTCACTTTGGTGAATATAAGTTAAGTGATAAGAGACTGAGCAGACTTTACGTGTCTCAGTAGAACTCCAGTGTCGCCCAATTCAAAACTCCAAACGCCATGCAATGCCATGTGATATATACAAACAAGGAGACGGCTTGTCCAGTTTAGCTCCAATGCCCAGGGCGATCTTGCCGAAAATCTGATGGCATGTTCATGCGACGCCGTTGCGATATACCCCTTCCCATCTTTCCTCTACACCCCCAACTTTGTTCCTCAGGACCTTGATCTCAGCATCAAGCTCGTCTACGTTCCTTGACAGAGCGCTGACTTCTTCAAAGCGTCTTGAACCCTGGGCAGTCTTGACCATAGCCTCAACCATGAAGCGCTGCTCTTCCAAGACAACGAGTCGCTCACGAAGCTCCTTTTCCTCCGCCTCGAGCTGACTAACAACTGTACTCCCTTCACTAGGTGCTTGCGATGACGTCTCGTCAGCTAACTCTGAGTGTCGTAAACTCGATCCGGAGTGGTGATGGGAAGCGAGAAGTCGTGAAGTAGAGACTGCTGTAGAAGATGATGCAGATGAGCGTGAGCGGAGCAGCTGAGGGAGGCTCTTTAGAGGAAGCATATTTGTATGAAGAAAACCACTAGCGTATGTATATATCGCCATTTGAAGACGTCGTTGTGTTGGGCTCTCGGTTGGAAGATCACGCAGGCGCTTCGCAGCAATGCCATATTTTCCAAAGCTATCAACCAAACGCTTGCGAATCTTGGCCGCTTCCTGAATCTGTGCATGTGTAGGAGGTGGCTTGTTGAGATCAATTTCTCCGCTCTCCTTTTTCTCCGGTTGTAGATTCAGTAAAGCTCGATGAAAAGATGGTAGAAGTTGCTGGATTCCACGCTCAAACTGCCTCAAGGTTTCGTATGCTCGTTGATCTGCTGGCTTGTGCTGTAACGAAGCTGCAAAGTCACGAGCGGAGAAGATGGTGTGCTTGCAATCACGACACATCCGAATGTCTATCCCAACTTGCCCGTCACCAGTTACTGACAGGGGCTTTTCGGTCCCCGAAGGCGCTTTTGTTGCACCATTAGTTTCGCTCGACACATTCAGACCAACTTCAGAAGAACATCCTGTTTGCGGGTCTCCACAGACGACGCGACCACATATACGGCAATGGTGCCTTCTAAACGTCCAAGAGCCAAATTCCTGCTGGCAAAAAGGGCATTTCGAGACGGTAGCATCTTCTTCCCACGTAACAACAGACTGTTCGATGAGCTTCCGAGGGTTCTTTTGTCCTGCTAATGATGTGACTGGGCCTAGCAAGGAGCCATTGGATTGTGTAAGTTTTTCGGGAGGGTTCGCTAGTAATTTTGTGAGTTTTGTTAATCGTTTTTCGAGCCGCGAAATTTCTAAATTCTGTCGCTCAACCTTTTTCCTTCTTATTTCCACGAATGCGTTAGTGTGGTCCGTCAATACACCTTGGTGATCATTATATCCTTCTCTTGATTTAAAGCATGTCTCGCATACTCGTGCCCAGTAGCCTCGAACCGGTTCATGTTTCGCGCTTCGACTCAATTTCATTTGGTACATGGTATGTTCCTCGCAGAATAATCGTCCACAATGTCGGCAGTTTATGCTTCCATTCAAAGGTCCCAGACTTCTTCCGCACGTCGGATCTGTACAGAGATCGTAACTTGTAGACCGTTGCCAATGATGTCGTGTAATAAGTTCGTCGGGGTCAACAGGGCCTTCGAGAGGGTTCTTTCCAGCAGCACTAGATGGCGCGGAAACAGGGAGGGATTCGTTTGATTCAAAAACATCGAGACCGCGTAGTTTCTGGTTGATGAGGGAGAGAGGCTGAAATCGTTTGGCCTTGAGAACCTGCTTATCAAACCACGTCTTGACCTCATCCTGCTCCTCCTCTGGTAATTCTTGGTGGTTGTCGTCGATATGTCGGTTGAGTTGAAGAAGGGTCATCTATGGGCACAGTATTTAACAAACAGCATTCAAGGTAGATATCATCATAATTTACCATCTCTTCGTTGCATATTGGGCAGACAAGTGCGCCATCAGCAGGGCCTTTCCCTTGAGCACCAACGCTGATGCTATTTCCTATGTCCTGACTCGGGAGATCTGGTGAGATACCACTAACAGGCGGGGATAACGACGATGAAGCTATCGATATGCTGCTTTCGGACGCTGCTAATGGACTTGCTACTCGAGGCGCATTCGTAATCGGAGGTGTCGGGGGAGCAAGGCCCCTGCCGCTGCCTAGGACACGGCCGCCGCCCAATTTGCGGCCCGACATGATGAAGAGGTTTCGAAATGAGAAGACAAAATCAAAGAGAAGGAGAGTGCGACCGTAGCTGGTCGGGCTCTATCTCGAGCTGCACCACGGGGGGATGTTGGAAGTAAGATGATGGATTGAGGGGATACAGGATAACCTGGCAAGGTACTGCTCCCAGTGGCTTGGTGCTCATGCCAGATAAAGAGGTACCTTGGGCTCGGAGCTCCAAAGGCGGTGAACCAAGTACACTTATAGCATGCGTCATTCTATACCAAATAAAGTTAGCTCTTATTCGCTTCCTCCCGTTCCCCGTCCCATGGGGCAAGAAAACTTGGGACCTTTAGCTTGTACGACAAAAATATCGAGGCAGGTTACACTTTAGAATATTGCGCTCGTAGAGCAGCTAATTTTGACTCTCTGGCTTAGGTTCAGAAGTTTTCTTGCCCCCTTGAGCCGTCGTGTCTTATCACAACCCCTGCAGCTCCGATAAGAGTCAACCATTGTCACCTTTACTTACCGTCCCTGACTTTAGTTGATGGGGAAAAATGACCCCCATTCAGAAGCCAGTATCAGCCCAGCCGGCGCTGGCATCTCCGGCATCTCCTCCCGCCTCTTCTACTCCCTCCTCTGAATCTACTTCTGCTTCTGCTTCCTCCTCCTCTGCTTCAGTCGCAATGGCAAAGACTTATCCTCCCGTGCAGCCTGGAGGCAGTTTGATCTTAGCATGGCAAATCAAGCACAAGAAGGTGCTTGTTGTCGGCGGTGGTGAGGTACGTCTGAATCATCATCACATGCGCCGAGCCTCGGACTTTGATGTTTGACGCGCTCATCAATCACAAACTACCGTGCAATCAATGATTCATCTTATCTGACAATTCTCTTTAGGTCGCTGCTGGTAGAATCTTAAACTGCCTCAACGCCGATGCCAACGTCACTGTCGTGTGCCCCAAGTCCGGCCTCAATGATGAAGTCGCCTACCGAGTTAGCGAAGGCCAGGTCGCCCACGTCGACCGAGTATTCGAGCCCGAAGATTTAGACGGGGCCAGCATGGTTCTGGTCGCTATCGACGACCCCGCCGCCTCGACCGTCATTTGGAAGCTTTGCAAGGAGCGAAGGATTCCCGCCAACATCGCCGACGTACCACCAGAATGCGATTTCTATTTCGGCAGTATCCATCGTGATGGTCCCCTCCAGATTATGGTCAGCACCAACGGCAAGGGACCCAGGTTGGCGGCGGCCATTCGGCAGTTCATCGCCAAGCAACTACCCAAGAATGCTGGTAATGCCATCGAGACTATCGGTGAACTACGACTAAGATTAAGAAAAATGGCCCCCAAGCCTGAGGATGGACCCAAACGAATGCTCTGGTCAGTTCCATGAGGCCCCTCACGCAGACTATACTGACAATCCCGATAATAGGATGTCCAAAGTTAGCGATACCTACAAGTGGGACGAGATGTGCGGCCTCACAGACGAAGATATGGACAATCTCCTTCTGTTTTATCCTGCCAACAAAGTCCCTGCGATGGACGTTCTGCTAGCTCTCCGGGGAGGCACTGACGTCAAGAAACTCGACGTCTTTGACGGCTCATTCGGCTTCAGTGTCGGCGCCTAGATACCGACAACACATACAGCAGGCAATATCTACTAAACGATGGCGCAAGACACGGAGAACACTACGATGTATACAATTTATTTGGGACAAGGTGCATATATGGTTTGGAACATTTTGACTACGTATTGTAGATGGGGAAGACGCTGTCATAGCATTATTTGGTATGGAAATGGCGGTTTCAGAACAGTTCACCAGTTGCGGTATTATTTGTTGGGGACATACTATTCATTCTAGATTGTCGTATTTACAAATCCTTTGAAATTGCTCAGACATGTGGATGGTCGATCCCGAGACATATCGGCAGTTTATGTCAAAACAAAACGAAACACGATGATTCGCTCGGCAGTTGTCAGGGTGTAAGCACTGTATTATAGGAGGGAGAGATGATCATTAATTTTTGTAATTTTTTTCTATGGTCAAGTTTTCATCCGCCCAACCTTTTAACTGATCTATTCTATGTCGTCATGCATCATAACTTGGTATCATGAAAGCCTCTACAGCTTAAGAACCACCTTGTGGGTAGCAGTCTTCTCCTTCTCGTCGCCGAAAACATCAATGTCCCAATCAGGAGAGTCTGGAAAATGTTAGTAGAAATTCAGGTATTTGGGATCGTGGATTGAGACTTACAGGTCTTGGGGATGTTGAAACGCTGGGGCTTCTCGCCGAACTTCTCAAGCTCCTTGATAGCCTCCTCGTCAAGCTCCACCTCCTCGAAGTTGCTGCGAATACGAGCGGGAGTAACGGACTTGGGGATGACGATGTGGTTGTCGAGGGTGGACCAGGCGAGGATGACCTGGGCGGGCGTGACCTCCTTACCCTTGGACTTGCTGAGGCGCTCAGCGATAGCCTTGACCTCGGGGGTGTTGATGAGGAGAGGCTCGCCCCATGAGTTGTTGCCGAAGGCAGAGTAGGCGGTCAGGTAGATACCCTTCTCCTTCTGGTACTTGACAAGCTCGGGCTGGGGAAGACGAGGGTGGCGCTCGACTTGGTTGATGGCCGGGGTGACACCGGTGTCCTTGATGATGGTCTCAAGCTAGTGGGGGTCAGTTGTTTGTTCAAAAGTTGGGGTGAGGCATTGTAGAAGCTTACCATCTCAATAGAGAAGTTGGAGACACCAATGGAGCGGACCTTCTCCTTGGGCAGCTTGGTAACGGCCTCCCAAGTCTGGGACAGGGTGACGCCCTGGTCAAGCTCGGTCTTGTTCTTATCGTCGGCCTTGAGGGGGAAGAGCTCGGGGCCGTTCTTGAAGGCAACGGGCCAGTGGATCAGCCAGAGCTGATACGATGGTTAGCCGTGCGTGGAAACGAGTGAATGAATCTCAAACTCACGTCAAGGTAGTCAAGACCAAGCTCCTCAAGGGAGTCATCAAGAGCACCGGGAACCTCCTCAGGGCGGTGCTTGTTGTTCCAGAGCTTGCCGGTGATGAAGATGTCCTCACGCTTAAGGCCGGGGACGTCGTTGAGGGCCTTCTTGATACCCTCGCCGACCTCACGCTGGTTCTGGTAGATCTTGGCAAGATCGAGGTGACGGTAACCGGCCTTGAGGGCCTCGTAGACACCGTTGCCGACCTCACCGGGGGCAGCCTGCCAGGTGCCGTAGCCGATCTGGGGCATCTTGTGGCCCGAGTTGAGGGTGACAGTTCGACCGAAAGACATGATTGCAGTTGTTTTTTGGGTGAGGGTGGTATGTGAGAGGGTTGTGTAAGTGTGAGAATGGGAAGAGAGAAAAGAGAGAGAGATCAACTCGGGAGAGGAGACATGGAGGGGTTTATAAGAAGAATTGCGTAGCTGCAACAACCGCCAGAAACGCAGGAGTAAGGTAATGTTAGTAAACGTGGACGCGTTATGACACCAGATGAGGACCCAGTACTTGCTATCGCCATAGATATCCACATTTACATCTTAATCTTCTCCAATGCCATGTCTCGCGCATCGAGAACCCTGGTGGTGACGGCTCCCTCCCCCACCACCAACTCCTCATCTAAGTACAATAGCTGTAACAGGAATGACTACTTACACTAAAAAGGTACTCATGATGCCTAAATGGGCAGCTCCGAAGAGCTTTCACAGAAGCTGATTCGCTAATCAAGACATCGATCGAGAAGCTTCTACTGTACGTATCCAGAAACACCAACCGCAAAATGCCGTGCCTGTCACCAAAGCAAACCAAAGCAACGACGCCGCGGGGCAATTTCCATACTTGCCCCACGTCAAAAGTCGTCATTGCCCCGTTGAAGGGGGCTAAAAAAGCCCGCATTTGTTAGCGCTACGTGCACTCCATAGCGCTCCTGTTGATGCGATGCGGATTCACCTGAGAATGATATCAGCGACTTTTTTTTTTTTGTTGCTCGTGGGGGTGCAAGCTTTCGGTCTAGTTACCCCGAGTCAGTGCTAAAATGCCCCTACTAACGGTTGGTTCTCATGTATCATTGGCACGGCTGGACCTGCCCAGCTCCTGGGGTTTCTAGTGGGAATATGGAGAAGGCGTGCTTAGTGGAATCTAATGCTAACGTTAGTTGGTATTTTGTGGTGATGGACTGTCATGGTTGTCATGAGGGGTAGCAACCATGTTGAGAAGCCGAGGGAGCATGATAAAAGGAAGAAAATTTTGTATTCATGTTGGATGTGCTTCATGAGCTAATAGGTGTTTCAAGCAAATTCATTCACAGCATGTCAGATAATCAAGACTCAAGGAGCTTCTGACTAACAAATTATAAAGATATGATATAGTCATGATAAAGGTTGGGGACCCTTTTGAGCACGGCGGACGACTCATGATGGTCTCCCCTCAGTGTAAACAATCTAACTTCTCAACCAGAAAGAATTCTGAGCCATCATAAGTATCACTTGCTATAACCCGTGTCGCTTCCATGGCTTCATACCACGAAACGTCCGGATAACTGCAAATACCATATTAGTTGGTGGATTGGAAACTTGGTCAATGGTAATGATCCAATACTTGTTCATAAGAAGCTATTTTTCAGGTTTAGTCTTAAACGGGGTTAACAGTTGCCAAGATGTGGTAGATACTGCGCAGCATGGGCGATCTGTTGTTGGCAGCTAAACGTACCTTATACACTTGTTTGAGACCACCGTAAAGTCATGATTGTGGTTTCGATTACATTTCGCGACTAAGAACGAGACACCAAAAAGGCAAACAAAAACAAGTCAAGTCAATAAAAAAAGACACGTAGAAGCAAAAGAGATAGCCTTGCAACAGCCTCTTGGGATCCAACATCCTATGTCTCCTTCTCCTTCTCCTTTTCCTTCTTCTGCTTCTCCTCCGCCTCTTTCTTCTCCTTCTTCTGTATGAACCACTGCTTTACAAAGTCCCAAGTAATCCCAGCTTCCTCCAAACATGAGCTCCAATTGTTCATTGTTTCCTGTATCAGGTCCGAGCCTTTTGCCGCTTTCTTGTCAGGATTGAAGTTGAAATTCTTGACCAGACTCGATTCTGGCAATACGCAATTCTCATTCCAAATGAACTTACGGTGCCGACCCTTCCCAAATTCCATACGAAACCCGAGCTCGCGGCCGAATGTGCTATCAACATCGTTCAATTTAACCGCTGGGAGTTCTTCTGTAGTCTTTTTTCCATGGGCGTTGGTGAATGTTTGTCGCCGCATCGTGAGTGACTTCAGTGTCTCCCATGCATGCTTGTTGATTTCTCTCTTGGGTAGTCCGTCTGGTGCCATCTTAGGATCCAGAACAGGTTCGGTACGGCGTACCTGCTTTTTAGGCGGAGGCCTATATTTGGTCTTAGGACGTACACGGGACGGCCGAGCATTGAATGTTTCCTGGGGTGCATTCGTGGGCTGAGTTTGAGGTTCTGGCTCTGGCTCGGCGTTCGTTCGTGACGACTCTCCAGGTTTTTGACGGCCAATTTGGCTAATCAACATGGGTAAAACTTCAAAGCCCACGTCCTCCATCTCTACATCGTCGCGCGCCTCCATCTCTTCTCGCACTTGCTTCCCCGTCGTTCGTATAGGCGCCTTTCCCTTATTGTCCTTCTTGCCGACCCTGTATGGGTCGGACGGCTTCAGTGGCGGTGCCTTATCTTTATTGCGCTTCTTCTGATATCCCAGCTTCTTCTTCTGCTCTTGCCGATGTTTCGTCATAACTTCCTTGAGGGCTAACCATATCTCCGATGTGATTTTTCTGTCCCCCTCAGAGGTCTTCTGTATGCGGTTGGATCCTTGAGCGTCGAGATCGAGAGGAAGTTCATTGTCGGCAAAGGGGAATTGCTCCCTGGTGATTCCCATGCATTTCGTCAGACGCTCGAGTGCCCGTCCATCTGCTGGGAATACTTTCCCTCTGCCAAGACGTGGACTGACACCCATGCCCCAGGTTTTGTACCGATATACAAGCTTATCGGCTTTTTCATTCAATGGATAGATAAGCCCCCGGAGAAGAGAGGCACCAAAGCGCTTGATGTCGCCCTTCGCCTTTCCAAAGCTCATCTCTTTTTCTTTGACATCAAATCCTTGCAGTTCGTCGAGAAAGCGGAATATTCGATGCGTCCGTTTAGCAGGGACGTGTTGGTCTTGAAAATCACAGTTATCGAGCGCAAGAAGGTCATATGATGAAAACTCCTGGAGCATCCTCGAGACCGTTTCGCGAACATCTTCCTCGGACTCTTTCGTCCAGTCGTTAAATTTGCGGAACATGCCTGGTATAAGTTCCAGATGCTCTGCAACATCGGCGAGTAAATCCAAACCGTCGATTGTTTGGCTTATCAGATTGGAGAACTTGTCTTCTGGCTCAGCATCACTGTTGTGGGCTTCGATATGCCTCTTTACTTTATCCGTAGTCTTCCGGATGCCGACATACATGGAGGAATGCTTATTCGAAATGAAGTTCTCAATAAGCTCAGCCACGATACGTTGTTTTTCCCCTCGGCCACTGTGCAAAGCCTCTTCTTGGAAGTCAAGCATAATGTCTTCGCTGTCATAGTACTCTCTGATCAACCAGTCCTGCCTGTACTCTGGCCTTCTAGTGGTAAGGTAGGTGTTGCGCATGGGCTCAGACGCAGCATGAATTGCTTCTTTACGGAATTCGAAGATGAAGAAAGCCGCGGCGTGCCGGATCAACTCCTGAAGTTGACGGTATTTCGCTGTATAGGTATCAAGTTCTTCAGAAACATGAGGCCTAGGTGCAGCTGTCCTCCTGCAGTATCCGAATTCTTCCATCTTGGGTGGTTCTTTGAGTGTCTCCCGTTCGAAGGTTTCAAAATCTTCCAAGGCATCTGTAACGGCATCCCAAATGAAGAACTCGAAAAAGGCTCTTCTAAGTACGCTTCTCATGCAACTTCGATATAGTACTTTACGCAAAATTGCGTCATGGTAGCTCTGAGAGTACTCATTCGGCAGATAGGTTGAGTCTTCGACAATATTAGTCCAATGATGATCCTTTTGTTCCACGATGTATTTGACTAGATAGGCAGGGTCGTCAAAAAGATTCTTGATGTGGTCTTCAGCCGCTGCACTTTTTATCTTGAGCTTGGTGCGATACCTCTGTAGGTTGACCCCAGTGCAATTTGGCTCATATTGTCGAATCGATGCGATGTCTTGCATTGTTTCGGCTCCTTTCTTTTCTTTCAGCATCTTGATCTTTTGTCCTGCTGAAATCTCAATTTCCAGAATCTCCTTTTTGCTGAGTCTGCTAGTGTGGCCTGTGATCAGCTCATGCTTTGCCAGATCTAGCATCTGTTTGCAGAAAGTAGCCAAGAAAAGGTATGTAATTGCTTGGGATTGTAGTATAAGCCATGCTTCCATGCTACCGAAAATCCGTCCGGCGGATTGCAAGTCCTCAAACCTGTCTTCATCCATCTCGGGTGAGTGCTTGGACAAGATTTTGGGTTCACACCAAGCTCTTTGGTATTGATTTTCGTACTCACGGTCTTTTACCGGGACAAACATGACATAAAACGAAGGATCGCAAGCGCCTGACAAAATGTGAGACTGCTTTCCTAGGTGCATGCGATTGTTATCTTGGAAAGCAAACTCAATGGGGTGAAGTCGGGCCCGATAGTGGATGAACATGAGCATATTGAGCGGGATAGAAAGATCCTCCTTGTTGATGTGCGAGACCAAGAAATGAGCTCTTTGCTTTCGCAGTGCATCTTCTACTTCGAAGTTACACCCGGCTTGTTCAGAGGCATCTGCTGCAGGGTCTGGACTGGGTTTCCTCAAATTTCGGAACTTGACATCGTCCATGATAGCATCTTCCATAGCCTCCCTGTCGTCGTGATAGTTGGCTGTACTGCGATATAGTGGGTACTGTCTCTTTTCCTCGAGCATCCTCGGTATACCGTTGTTTTTCCAGTGGAAGTTGACTCTGACGTTGCGGAGATACTCATGGGCAAACTCGTCGAGATCACTTGAATGGTTGGGGTTGATATGGCCTTCAGGATCTAGGCTGAAATCACTCTCCATGTGAACGGGTCTTGACTCTGAACGACTTTTGGTGTATTGGGCATTGAATGCTTTTCTGGTCTCTTCCCAGCTGTTCTCTAGGCAGTCTTGAATGCATAGAATCTTCCCATTTTGGTCTCTGACTTTTTCATCAGTGAGGTTTATGATGATCTCCTGGATCTCTCGCTCTTTGCCGACTACGAGTTCAATCAATCTCGACCATTCCGATTGAACGACCTGGTTGACATGCCTAAATTCTTCCAAAAGCTCTTCGGTAGGCCTTCCCGGGTCAACTGGTGGCCACACAGAGTTTCTTCCATAACCATGAAATGCACAAAGGGCGCGGGCACTTCTCAGAGATTGGCTGTGTATTGCTTCCTTCGCACGAAGATGTTCATCCCTAGCAAAGTCTTCGAGATCCGAATCCAGGATCGATCCATGCGTTGGATCGCCTAGCTTGTAGTTTTTCCCGAGCCACTTGACATGGTAGTTCGAGTATTCGTATTCTGTGGGTTCCTGGCACTCGTCGGTCATTGTGATATGCAAAGCTCCCTTGTTGAGAGCTGGTTCATGGATCAACTGTTGCCTTGGGAAGGGAATTGACTCATTTAAAGAGCTAATGAATAGTGAAAGACTTCTCGAGATCGTCTTCAGACTTTCCACAGACGAAAAGGCTCAGGAAGAGTTTCCAAAGAATAATATCGGTAGTCTCGAGTAGTCGCAGCATCTCTCCCAAGTACCTTTATCAGGCTTATAAGCTGCCTGGTTGATATGGACATCCGAAGAGTGTGATCGGATGCCTTAGTCCACAATAGATAGACCTTGGAGGGACAAAGAAAACAAAACCACCTGGGCACTTACACCTCTGTATAGCTCAGATCATCCAGTACCGTGTGTGAGTGTCCATTCTACTCACTAATTTAACGCCATGTTTGTGTCCAGATCCATCTGCCAGACCCTCGCAATGGCGCTCTCGGAGTTTCTTGAGGGCACTCCTTTGTCTTTTCAATCCACTCCATAGGCCGCATTGGATGCACGGGCAATTGGAGTTTCGAAACCCGGATACCATGAGGATCACTTATATCTGTCGTTTTCTTTGTTTCGAGTCCGAGTGGCTGGGCCAGTGTTGGTCGATCGAACAAACTTATTGAGCTATAATGGTATGGGAGCACAAGTCAAGGCATCTCAATTACCTAGCATCAATATTAAAGGCGCTTATTGACCACATGTTGTTTTTGTTTAGCATGGCTGCTGAACAATGCGACCACTATTTCGGGACGACCAAGATCGTAATACAAGTCCACAATCCACATTGAAGTGTGAGAGATCTTGTTCTAAAGCAGACAAAGCCAGTGCACATTCAGGGGCGATTCAGGAGGGGCACAGGTGATAGCTTCCTTATCTCTCAGTGAAGCACAACCCCCAGAACCGCAAGGGTGAGAAATCGTGAATATCTCATCTTTGAGGGCGATCAGAAAGCATTCATGGAAAATTGAGTCTGCCTCCATTTGTACTCTTCGATGATAGAATGAACGGGGAACGGTGAGCTAAATTGCAAGGAAGGAAGATGTGATCATTCCTCACTTGCGTCCCTCATCATTTCAGCATCTTCGAGCTTAGTCATCAGATGAACGCGATCGTTCTTTCGAGCCAAATGCACCAACTTTCATCCTCAGGTACCGATCTTGCAAGGATTTCTCTGCCATGAGGTAAATGTGGTGACATTGGGAGGCTGTGACTTGAAGAACTACGTAAAAAAGCTCATGGTTCAATTCTCCTCATTCTTTGCCAGTTTCTTTCAACAAAAGTGCTCCCACAAGACGCGTCTGACCTTGCGATACACTTTCTAGACCCCACATTCAAGCCGGAACAATAGCAGCAAGCCAACAATCGTTCCAGACACTCAAAGCAGAAAGGCATCAAGCACTGAGAAAATACTGCACTGGTCGCAAAGATGGCGCGCCTGAGTGCTCAAGGCGTTGCGTCTGCAGAGGTTCAGCAATCTCCGACCCAGTCGCTCAATACCACCTCCGAAACCACCAACGATGAAGCGGTTCCGCCCTTCTTCAACACGACTTTCTCAACTCATCGTGTTTCCCCCATGCACATTGGGAAATCACGTCTCACCAGCCAACGGCTCCAAGTTATCGCCAGCCGCCTTCGTGATACCCTTGTCGGTGATGTAGTTCGTGGCATTCAACTCAGTTTGGAGGCAGCAGATACATCTTTCGGCCAAGTTGGTGCTCTCAAGGGTGTCCGAATCGAATGGTTTCATGCCAGTACGTTTTTGGGTGAGGACGCTGCTGAGTTCGACCTCGAAGCTCCACGCGGCGATCAGAGTGACCTTCCAGACGACCAGAAACAAGGGCTCTGGATAAGCATAGAGCATGAGAATGCTGCTTATGCTGCGATTCTTCTACCTGGATTATCAGACTCTTCAGAGTCGCGGCAAACCGGTGATAAAAGCAGGTTCCTCTATCTGCCATTATTGTTAATGCGCATGCCTCAGCAACTCAAGACCGTTGTGGCAAATTGGCTTGCTGCTTCTTTCGACTGTCGCGTCAGTCGGATAACGATGGGAACCAAGACTATTCTCGGAGTATGGGAAAGCTGGATCGTAAACGAAGGGCTCAACGACCGAGGTATTGACTTTACCATAACACTTGCATTCAACGTGTCGCTTCAGACCAGCGAGGACCCAACAGCTATCGACAAAACCCAAACTCAAGAGGAAACCAAGCCTAACCCAGGGCTTCGATCTGTTGATATCACCATATCTGCACAAGACCTTCGCCGCTTTGTGCGCGCTGGTGAGAAGAGTCATATCCCGGTTGATGCTTCTTGGCAAGGAGACGCCCGTGAACGCCGTAGACTTGCTGGTGGGAACACGGACGATGGCTGGGCTTGGCGTACAAACGGTCCTTCGGAAGCATCCCCCTTCACCGAAGCCTTGGGGCTCTATCTACATCACCATCTTGCACTGAATCTTTTTCATCCCGGCGTACATGTTACCCAGATCTCCTGCGCTGGGTTCGTGCTCGGCCAGAGTCGCCTAAAGATCATAATGCCTGGTGAGATCAGCCAGAGCCTCTCCCGCGCTGCGTGGTCCTTTATGGCGCAACTTGGACAAAGGGTTCAGGGCGAGCAGCTGCCGCAGGTATTTGCCAATCAACCTGGAGTTTGAGCCAACGCATTAGCTCAGTTTACCGACATCCACCTGGCACCCCCGGTTCGTAAATGCTGGTGCGCCAGGAACCAGATTTTAGTGCTGGGCCGTTCAGTGCATTTCTTTGTTCAAAATGGGTCTTGACGCAATGTTTTCTTGCCCATCATGACCAGACTGATGGGCAATCCTAAGAGTTCAGCAATCACGAACCAAATGATGCGAATGACAATGGAAGGGCGAATGGTCCAATGGTTTGCTTTCACACGCCATCTCTCGTTTCACGGAGTAACATATGACGAAATACCATCGGCCCTTTTGACAGTAATGAAGATACAATTTCTGTCCAAGAGCGGAGATTTCAACTCGGATCGCCCAATACTAGCACCCAGCGTTCTTTTCGGGAACACTTTCTTTCTCAAGTATCCTTGACAGGCGGCAGCTTCACTGCCTGCCACTGCGACAAACATTGCTTTTGGGATGCTGAGACTGACCGCGGAATCCCATTCTCGTCTGCACCATTGTCCAGAAAGAAATCACTGGAGCTGAATCAAGCATAATCAAAGCCTGCGACTTTTTTTAGTTAATAAGTCTATATCTTTTCATCCTGCAGCATGTAAGTCGAGGTGTCATATTCTGTCAGCCTCAAGCGTCACATATGCAGGAAAAGCTGTTTGTTGGTTTGCAGTTTAATTTCGCAAAAGCGCTTCTTGGATGTGGTGCAAACTGTAATCTGTGCTGTCTAATCGGGCACCAGTACCTTGGCATCATTTAACCAAGGCAACAAGCCAGACAAACAAGGCTGTATCGTGAAATGTGGTGGAGGTGGCAACAAAGAGGGGTCTATTTTTGGTGATTATCTTGCACATTATGGAACTCGTGCATTTGAAGCTGGAGATACGACAAACAAGAAGGATGTTGCTTCAATGTCCTTTTTTGGTCTTTGAGATGGAAGGTTTCCGGTCATCTTCATCGCGATCGGGAGGAGCAATGCCGTGGCATGCGACAATGGCTGATGGTGTATCAGAAGTTCAGATGCGCACTACGGAATCGCTGACTCAATGGCCAAGGGCTACAGCAGCAAGCAAAGCTGGAGCCAAGCTTTCATATAAGGCTCGGGATAAATGTCAACAAAACCGATGCCAGGAAGCCACATGCAAGTGCCATGCTCATTGACAACAGAAGAAATAAAAGTGTTTGCCGTCGCCAAGCATCGTTGAGCCTCCATATCAAAGCTTATGGTGGCACCATAGGATGCTATTCATAGTTTTACGAAGACCATAGCGCAGTTATTTGCGTCGTTAATTAACCCTGATACAATGGATCCAGTATCTTGGCCAAGTCTTTGCCATTCTTCTCAGGAGCCAAAGTTAGCAAAGAAATAGGTGTCATCGCGCTTTTGCTCATCACCTACAATCTTCTGTGTGTGTATGATGACCTAGTGACACAAGTTGCGCAAGGGTTGGTGACTGAGCTGGACACCTTTGTCTCTAAATGCGGCACCGACGGCTCAAGAAGATCCTATATTTGGCACTGGAAGTGAATATTCACATAGAGATAACTTAAGCGAACATTACCTCTGGTAATAACTGCAACGAAATCTCATGACAGCCTAGTAATGTTTCACTGCGTCAAGCCCTTGGTCAGACAAGCCCCAGAACTTGCCGCTGCCAAAGTTGCCACAAGTCTTGACAGCTTGCTTTGAAACACGAATGTGGTCTGGTGCTTGGGGTTCCCTACGGTATGCTGAGCTGGCCTGTCCCAGCTGGGGGAATAGCACAGATGTCGTCCGGACTCCGTCCAGTTTTAGCCATGCTGCCCACAATCTCTTGGGGTGCATTCCCATGCGGGCTGTGCGTTGAAAGTAGAAAGAGGCTACTTACGTGAGCTGGTGCTGTCACTCAACGGCAATAAGCGAGAGTTCCATGTTTGCTGAAATTCGGGGGCTTTACTGATCCCTTACTCTTACCTTTGCCCTCAGTCATCCTGCTTCGTCTTATTCAGAGGCTGCCAGAGCTCGCCTTTGGACCCTACCATAACAAACATTGCACTTCATTAACGTCATTGCCGAGGCCGAATCCTCGATTTCAAGACTTGATGTCTGAAGCTCGTACGCATTGGGGTCTCTCGTGCCCTAACGGAGGCAGTTTCTACATCTGTGAAGATGACGATACCCAGTTCATAGGTTGTTGTGTCAATGATCCCTGTGGCAGGAATAACGGAACCTGTCCTGATGGTGATTTGCGAGCGACGACCTTCGACTGTGATAAATACTCTCAACTTCCTCAGCAGGACTGTGACAACTCTCAAGGTGTCGACAACTGGTACTCATGTGCCCATACCGACCCGCCTTTCCTAGGATGCTGCAGCCAGAACGCTTGTAGCTCAGGCTGCCCAAGGTCAAGGCTTGCGCCAGCTAAGCTATCAGAAGTTGAGAATAACAGACTCGATTTTCTTCACCCTAGTCAAAGCGAAAGCTCTACTGCCTCGAGTGTGTCCGCGACAGCCTCTACGACAGCTTTGAGCACCTCAACAGTTGATGCAAATGAGAGCGATGGTTTGGGAACTGGAGCTTCTGCCGGCATCGCCGTGGGTGCATCAGTTGGAGGTCTAACTGTCCTCACCCTCGTGGCCTGGCTATTCTGGTGGAAGCCCCGACAGAAGAACAAGCATCGACGAGAACACAATGCCAGTTACAGTGTGCCTCCAGCTGCACCAACACTGACGGCGAATCCATTCTCACCTCCAAGTGGTCCTATTCATCCGAGCACATTCATCGCCCAATCTCCCATAAGTGGCTATCAACGTAAGTAAATTCGTTCAGAAGGAGGCTGAGCACTAACAAAACGCAGAGTCATTCACTTCGTCTCCCACGGTTATGAACCCATACAATGGCGGTCTATCTTCTGTTGAACAGTTCCGAAAGTATTTTCCGAACATCTCTCCATCTGAACGACCGCAATCCTTCACACACTTTCCGGAGCACAGTGCCCAACATGCACACAGCCCCAACTTTCTTCCTCCGTACCAGCAACAGTACAATCACAATCACAACCAACAGCAGATGGGTGTCGCTTCAGAGATGGTTGGCAGTACGACACTTCCGCAAGAAATGAGCACTGGTGCATAATATCGCATCGGCCGTCACTCGAGCATTGGTCCAGAGACAGAGTTGAGCCTCGCCAGGCCGTAAATGAGTTGAACAAAGAACCTGGCATCCAGTGAATATTGAGGACTTCCCAAAACATACGGTTGGATTTGACCCAGATCCTCAGTAGTATCGTTCTACAAACAATAAGAACTGCGGGCAACTGTGCGCAGTGTCATACATTCCTTTGGGCGATTATGTAGAGCAAGAGCTTCATATATCTTGGTATTCGCTACCGGAGAAGAAGGGGCAGGGCATAATTTGTGTTTGTACCTAGAACAAACGGATACGGCATACTTATTACGAGCATGTTTTATTGCAAAACATTTAGTCACCGACTGTATCTTCGATATGCCAAGCAGAACCTGGGGGTTGCAAACGGCAATGACTTTGCAACCTGTCACAGGAAACCCGTTTGTTTGCGTGTGACGAAGCTGTATGTCACAAGTTGGAAGGTTACGACATTCTTTCTCTCCGAAATTTGTGCAGCGACTGCCAGGATAACTTTCGAAAGTGGCGTTCTGAATGTATTTCATGGCTTCAAAAAGTGCATAATCCGTTGCTTTTTGTATCTGTATCACAAGATGCTCGTTGAAGTGATCGAGATGGTGGATCAGCCAGGAGTGCAGTCCAAAATAACACGACCATCTTCAGCCCAAATCTTGGTTGTAGTAGCTCAGATTAATTTCGAGCCTCACCCTGGTTTCATTCGCAACAAGCTATGTCATCCCGCCCCTCATGCTGGACAAATCCAGCCACACAGAATGCATCGCTCGACACACCTGTAAGGTGAACCAAGTATGTGGGACATGGAGATGTCCTTGATTCAGTCCAAGCATGACATAACAGCCTTAACAATATTCATGCTGTAACGTCATGGCATGTCATGCCGAGAAATAGGTAGGTGTTTAGAAGACGAGAATAGGTATATAAAGAGGAAGTCAATACAAGACATGTAGGAAAAGACGAAGACTATTACAAATTACAATCAATCAATCGATCGATATCAATATCAATATCACCAAAATGAATTCCGCCGGAGACCGATCCGTCATCTCGAATGACATGCAGGAGCTTCGCGAGGGCGGCGAAGAGATCTCCCACAAGATCCAGGGCCACAAGGCGAACCTTTCCAACCCCAGTATGAACCGTCTTTACATGAGCGTCGTCTCCAGTTACTAACAGTGATCGATAGACACCAGCCAGGCCAGCAAGGAGAACAGCAAGAAGGAGATCGAGGCGCTGGGAGGAGACGCGAACCACTACGGCAACGAGTCTGATCCTCGAAGCAAGAGCGCGGCGGACAACTTGGAGGGAAGCCGAGTTGGTTAATTTAATTAATTAATGGTATAATATGATATCCAAATGGAATAATAATTGAGTTTTTCAACTTTCATATATTCGTATATTCGCTCGCGTAACTGAATGATTCGTTTTATTGCTACTGCCTCGATTGGTTCAGTTCAGTGAGCCAATCGTCATCAAGAGACTGCCCCAGCTCCGAAATCAGCCCCGGATCCGATTCGGATCCGAAATATTCAGCGTCGATCTTGCGGAGCTTGAAGCGCAGCATCTTGTTGTTTATTTGCAAAAGGAAGCCTATTTGCGTCTCTAAATTGTTTATTGACACTGGCCTAGCAGGCTAGCTAGGCAATGCGTATCACGGGAGGTGGGATGAAACAAACGTCTGCTTACTATGCCCCGGGAAATGAAGGTAATACGGTACTGCACAGGTACCGACACCAGTCGGCATCTCCTTTCCACAAGTCACTCTCAACAAAGTAACGCTGACAACGTCGCCAGACGCGCGGGTGCCCATGTTTCATTACAGAATGAAACGTGTACTTGCAGTATTGGGCATAGCAGGTCGGCAAAGCGGATGATCGGCACAGAAGCGTTGAGGTCTAACGAGTTCTGTCGATGCCATCAGAGAAAAAATGTATTAGCCTGTGAATATTGGCTGCTGATGGTCTGTCTTATTGCCATGCTCTTCATGGCGGAACATTTCAGCCAATATAACTAAAATATCCACATTAAATAATAATGACAGATTTGAGTAAAGTCCAGCCAATAGTCACCATAGTCTATGTCACCCGCCGTAGCAAGATTGAGACGGGTCTTGGCGTCGAACAGCCACTTCCTGGGCAGTGACAGACTCTGCATCGTATCTCCGTGCCAAAGCCGGCGGATCTCAAAGGATTGGTTGGCAAAGTGTCGATCTAGCAAGAGAGGACCGAGGAAGAACAATTTGGAGTCGTTAAGAAATACTGCAATGAGTTACAGGGATCTACCCGCGCGCGGTATTTGTAGCTCGGCAACAGAGCCAAGAGTTGCTAGAAGCTGTCACTGTCAATGGAACATCCATGGCCATGGTCAGATCGGGCTGCCGGCAATATACTCGCTGTAAGGTAGCTCTTCCTCAAGAGGTCAAGTGTGGTTTTTCTCTTGCGTGGCTGATCATATTTGAATCCATATGATTTCTTTCGTGCCAGCCAAGAGCAGGATGAATACACAAGGTACCATTCATACATAAGAGCCCATCTCAATTAGCGACATTCATCATATTTTCCGTTGCCACTGTCCCTTTTTTTTTTGCTTGTCTAATAATATTTATTGGTTCCGGCCCTTTTTAATTTTTTGCCCTTAGTAGCATAGCAAGGCGAGAGAGGCCCGCAAGACCAGGATCATCTCTGAGGCTACCTACGGAATACCCATCATTCTTCGTTCATTCACTCATTTATCCGTCAAAAAGTCTCTTTTCTTCTTCTTTTTTTTCCTCTGGAGGCGGCTGCACTATTGATTCAAGTTGCTCTGCGATATTCTACTCAACAGATGAAGGTTGTGGTTACAGGGGCGACCGGGACGGTCGGCAATGAGATCGTCAAACACTGTCTCGCGGACGCGCGCATCACAAAGGTCGTTATTCTCACTCGAAAAGCCGTGTCGATGGATATCGAGAGTCACCCAAAGGCGGATGTTATCATGATTCAGGATTTCGCAAGGTATTCCGATGAAGTTTTACGGCGACTTGAAGGGTCTTCGGCGTGTTTATGGTAAGAAGACAATCTCTTTCGATCTCTGAAGATCAGTCTTCATACTGCTCAAACATGAGAGGCTGATCATTCGCACAGGGCCATTGGAGCACGGCCAGATCGTCTCAACCACGACAAGGCACTTCTTCACCACGTCAACGTGGAACTACCGCTCACGGCGGCAAAAACATTGAGCGAGCGCATAGCACCAAAGACACCAGCAGGCAACAGGTTCAACTTTGTCTTGTGCAGCAACAGGACCAACTCAAAGGCATCTTCACTGCTCTCGCTCGGGGACCCAAGAAAACCAAAGTCCGAGGCGGAGAAGGGTCTATGCGAGATTGCAGACGCCAGCCCTGAAACATTTAGCGCTTGGATCTTGAGACCCAGCGCCATCGTCACCCCAGACGCGCCCAAGAAGAGGAGACTTGTAGGCGGTCGCTCGGCTCACGGCGTTGAAGTTGCGCAGATGGCCAAGGCTTTTGTCAAGGTGGCCTGCGAGGGCTATAAGGATCGTATCATTGATAACGATGCACTGCTGAAAATGTGAGAAACTTCCGCGGGAAGAAGTGGGTGACGTGGTGTACGATGGAGCTGGACTATGTGCGTGTGTGCGTGTTTGTGAAGCCGAGCTGAGCTTGACTGGAGAAGAATTTGTGGACTTGGCGGAGCATTTGGGACCGTCGAACGATATGCCAAGCCTTTTGGGTGGTGATATCCATTTGGGTGTTGATGCTGGCACATCAAGTTCATGTCTTTGTTGTTGTGATGTGTTGGCCTTCGATTCATTGTACCATTACTAACCGGGTCACGATATTAATGATGTATATAGCATTCAAGCCGGCGGAGATTGATAAGATATTTGTGTAATTGACAACATCCATCAAAGACAGCAATTCTCGCCAAAACCCTTTGACTCGTGATAGCTTTCGGGTATTAAACTCTAGGAGATTGGGTACGGTCCAACCAATCGAGTCTTCTGACTCGTGCATGTCTGCGATTGGAAGTGGTATCGTGTAAATGCAGCGATGTTACCGTTTCAGCCAATGCAAGATGTCGGGGTCAGGACGCTGAGACCAAGCCTTTACTTGAACTCTGATTCTCAAACATGAACGAGAACCGTATAACAATATCAAAGCATCAATTCAAACTACGTATAATGCTTACAGTGAATGCGATATGACAGTCAGATACGAAATGCAGCTCTTGTCATGTTGCAGCCACGGCTATTGGTAACAAGACTGCAACAATCTCCAACTTGACTGAGGAGTCAGAAGCCAATGCCGAGGAAGACGTAGAAATCTGCAGTAGGTGTGTTCCCATCGTATGGAAGGGGTGGCATGTGCCTGTCTGTCAGTGACTGTCGCTACGCTTTCGGCCAAGGCGACTGTATTGGTTGGACAGAGTGACATAGAACTTGACGTTCATCTCTCACATCACAGGTCAGATTCGATTATCAGAGAATGTTTCTTTGCTTCGTATCCTGGCAGCTACGCCTCAAGAGGCATGGCTTGTGGGTTGAATATCCCTGTTTTATTGATAGCTAGCTGTTATAACCTTCTCTGACATGCCGTATTGGTTACTCTATGCAGTTCGATCCGCACTCCTGCGATCATAAGTGACGAGTCCATCTGGAAGATAATGCCTGAGAAGTTGTTGCCCCTTAAGCCTGCCTCGGGTCCGGAAATGGGAAAGACTCCAGTCTAGATCATGAATCAGCTCCCTTCTCTGTGTTTCGGTGTCTACATCCTTTGTACTTCAGCATTACCCCAGGATAAGTGTAGATTGGCCTGTAGGCACGCGAAAAGAGGACTTTACTTTCTAATTGAGTCATATCTCGCGATATAAGGGTTTGTGAAAACAATAGCCGTACCGATATAGAGGGGTAGTGCAGGTCAAAAAAGGAGGAAGAGTCTGTTGAGACTGAGAGGCAAGGCCAGCTATTGATCAACCCTGTTTCAATGCAGAATGAAACCACAAATATCGTCTTCGATTTGTATCTTCTTAAACAAAGTGAAACGAATTCGTAAGTTGATAAATCACATCTTCCATATGACAGGTAACGAGTGCCGTGCTTAAGGGGACTGCTAATACACCAACACTTCTGCATAACCGACAATCCACCGAGCAGACACATTCAAGATACAATCTCTCATGTTACGGGGCAGCTAGCCATACCGCCATCACAAATCTAGAACTCTTTCCGTTGCATCAGCTGGCCAAGCCACCTACTTGCAGTCTTTCCACACGGCTACGATGACACCTCTCTGCCCCCACGTCGAATCAGAAAGCGTCAGCCAGAAGCAAACAAATAACTTCCAATGGAATCAACTACGAGCTGCCGCCTCTGTAGTCTCTTACTATGTAGTTTACACTTTCTTTTGCTGTCTATTTTACATCTAGCATCGGATGCCCAGACCTAGATCACCAAATCTTTTTTGCAGAGAAATCAGAGACTGGCATTTTATACAGTTCACTCAATCTTCATAACTAAACTCTCTCTTTCACCTGTAAGCCAGTAACTAGGTGTGTTCTCATCACAATCTTTCAGTATTTCTGCCACGTGATGTTATCTCAAAAGTAAAAACATGCCACCGCAGCACTCAGTAACTTTATATAAGTGCATCCCGAATTTACACACAAATTAAATACAAATCAACTGTGCTCCGATTACTGTTACTCTTCTTCACACCAACTTCAAATCACAACTTCTTCTCGAGAACTTCCTACTCCAGCTCACCAATTCGCTTCAAACCACACATTCATCATTCGCTACCTACAAGACATCGCAACACAACAAGTACCTTGTCTACTTTACCCAAAATGGATTTCAGCAATGGAGTTCTCTCTATGTGCCTTTTGACCTTCAGCACGATCGTGTGTGTCCTTGGTCTCAGTCTAGGCGTTGTCTTCGTCCTCATCCACCGACAAAGGGAGGAGCAGCTTCTAGACGATATTTACTATACCGTATGTTCCGCCATTGAAGCATCAGATGACGCTGAGAACTGTAACTGCGTGAATGGCGAGCAAAGACAAGGACCAAGAAATTATCGGGTTCCAAACCATTCTTCGATCGGCTCGTATAAGAAAAGAGCAACAGCAGCGCAATCCGCCACAGCAGCAGCAACAAGAACAACAACATCACCAACGGAGGCGCCTATCAACGCATGGTGGTAACACGGGGCCAAAATTGATGGCGGGAGGGGGTTGATTGCAGAGTTTAAAAGGAGAGTTTGGGAGAGTTCATAAAAGTGACTTGTAAGAGGACATATCAATCGAGGAGGAACTTGGTTGAAAAAGGGCTTGGGTGGTCGTGTGCAAGAAAGAAACTCTGTATACAGATATGACGATTATAAGACCATTTATACTTTGTCTCCCTTCACAAACATAAACAAGAGGCGGTCATGACTAGGTACGGATCAGACAACACTTTTCCTTCATCATGATCAAACTGTCCAATTTAAGTGGCTTAATAAGCAAAATGAGTCCTCGAAACTACCAAACGCCCCTTGCCGCCTACAATTCTGAAAACATCATTTCAAACCGGTACGTGACTATCTCGGCGACATATTTAATACTACATCTGACCAATAGAGCAGCACAATGTCGAATACCGAAGGAGAACTTCAACAAGATGAATCGATACCCTGGGGCATCATCGTCTTCTGCATCTTTTTCTGTCTCTTTTTCCTACTGACGATCCTTCGTTGGACCGATCTCCAGCTCAGCATTTTCCGTGATTTCATCAACAGCGGCCGATGGCGAGCATACTTTGGAATGGAAGTACCCAGACGACATGGCCAGAGTAACTTCAAAAAGGTCGAATTTGGGGAAGACGCTCCGTTAGTGAAGAAGGTGGTGAAAAAGGTTCGGTTCTACGACGATACAACTACTGTTGAAGACATTGAGGGAGTGAAAGCAAAGAGCAATGAAGTCGACTGTGCCAACCAAAATGAAACAAAGCGCGAATGAGGCTTAGTACTGTGGTCTTCATTAACTACATTCTCTACCTATGTTTCAATATCTCCGGCTCTTCTTCATACCTATTCATGCCTGGTGCGTAAACATCAGCTCAATTGCTGCCTTTGAGTATCTCCATAGGCTTCGCAAAACTCAATTCCTTCATCAAGTCATTCCAAGCCGTTTCTTGAAGTGCCTTCCCTGCCGGCTCGTACATAATCTGGGGGTATCTGTCAAATACAATTAGAAACTTGTCGTCGCTGTCCGCTTCAAAGTACTTACGGCTTAACCTTGCCCTCGCCAACAAAGCTGCCGTGGCTTTCTTTGCCCTTCACGGCAACGGCATCAACATAGGATCTTGCGCCAGTAGAAACTGTTCTTCCAACAATAGGCTTGGCAATACTCATCCAAAACTGCTCAATCTTGCTCCTCTTACCATCTGTTCCAAATTCTGTTCCCCTGCACGCGCCGGGATTGGGGAAGTTGACAATGACTTCGTCGGGCGAGACGTACTCGGAGAGTTTTCCGACAAACATGATAAGAAGAAGCTTGGATATCTGGTAGGCACCATTGCTGGACCAGCTGGATGGGTCGTCAACTGCATCCCAGATGGAATCGCTCGTTCCAGTCCAATGAGCCCAGTATGACATGTCAGAGCCAACGAGAGCGAGATGTGCAGGCTCAGAAGTTCCACGCTTCTTCTTCAGGACGGGTAAAAGAAGGATAGCTAGGAGCGCAGTCGAAAGGTAGTTGATCTGGCATGTCATTTCATGCTTGGATTCGTCTGATCGCTCGAACTGAGGTCTGCTCAATCCAGCGTTCAGGATGGCAATATCGAGCCGAGACAAACTCTCACACCACTTGACAAAGCTTTGGATGGATTTGTACGAAGCCATGTCAACTATCGACACCTCAATCTTTGCTTTTGGGAACTCGTTTCGTAGTTTCTGTGCTGCACTGTCGCCTCTCGCTTGGTTCCGCACAGCAATGATCAAGTGTGAAAGATCGAGAGCAAGAAGTTGACGAGCACATTCAAAGCCCAACCCGACGTTTGAGCCCGTGATGAGAGCTGTTTTTCCGGATAGAGTGACGCCTTTGGGGGTCTTGGGAACTCCTTCAATGAATTGGCGGGATAGGAATGCAAGAGGACTAGCCTCCCAGGCGGCATTATGTTGGAGCTGAGCAGACATTGTGATTATTGTGAAATTAGATGAAGAGGAACACTGATGGTCTATTTTTTGCAATCTAACTATCCTCACTGCTTTCTTATATATCTATAGCCTCCGGTCGAGGTACGGACGAATTTACGGACGAAGCTCGATTGACAGCGATCGTCTGTGTTAGTTTTACAGCTATTTTGTTCGGCCGTGCGGAGGCCGAGACGGACGAATTGATGCAGTTCTTACCAATTCTTGGAAGTGTAATTGTCATTGATTAAAAGGGTCCATATATCTGAGATCAAGAGATTACGATGTGCTCGACGGTCATTTCATCAGTTGAACAGATCTTTTGCTTAACTACTGTGTATGCCGCTGAGGGTGGTTCATTGAGCCGTCATGCGGGAATATGGCATCTCGGACAAAATAGTCTTCGGACTAAGACATCAAAGCAGCACGATAGAATTATGGCGACTTGAAGATGAAAAAGAAAAGGGCAGTAAAACGTGACTGAATCCAAAAACACTGGCCTTGGAAGTCCATGTTCGTCAATTACACATCAATGATATTCCGTTGCGATTCATGGTGCTCTTTAGATGTGAAGATTATCACACAACTATTCGTGATTAAAGCCCGGTATGATAGACGGCAATCAACTTACTAGCACCTATACATTTTGAGGCCACAGAAACAACAAAGAAAAGTACATCAATTGATGGCCTGACTCGTTCGATTGTGGGTTTCTATTGTATACCTGAATGTGTTGGTTCAGGTGAGAAAACATAGGGTAACCCTGTCTCATATGTAACTTCACAAGAATAACCCCAGCAAATCACATCTCTAGCTTCATTTGCCTAATCTGTCCCTCGCGTCAATCATTACTGGGCTCGTTAAAATGCAGTGACACAGTAGAACGAGAGCCTTACCAATATGGATCTTAACTAGGCGGACTAATATCCCAATCTGCAAGATCTCGCTCTAATAGAAGCAAAAACAACAGCCGGTGCTCCAAAGGTTATAAGTATGCTTAATGCTAATAAATTATTCCGTTCTAGACCAGATCGACCCGTCTTGGCGGGGAACAATTGCACCCCTTGGAGGGAACCCAAGCCGTCAGCTTGCAACTCTGTAAGGAGAACTTTTGGTTCCGAGTAAATTGGACGAGGATCACTGCATGCAAGCAAAAAATGGGCTGTTGAATAAAACCACTCTCGCCCCAAGTTTTAAGGGGAATATTTAGACATTTAAACATAAAGATAAACTATCGCGATTGAATTGATCGGCCTTTTCCCCACGCTCGCTACTTCATTTCGGTCGCAGATTCAACGACATGGGTTCCCTTCGATTTCTCCTTTTCGCATCGATCGCCACTCTAGTTTCCTGTCGCGATGTCCCCGATAACATCAAAGTTTTCAAAGAGAGCATCATAAAACAAGGCTCTTGCAATGATACTCTCGCAGAAGGATTCCACAGCGCCGACGGCGACGACGGCTGTAAGCCTTCCAAGATCCGCGTTGCAACCGCGACTAATCAGTAGCAGCATACGTCTACTGCGGCGATCATCTCAAAGATTACAATGTGATATATCTACAGGGCACCAAAGGCAAGCTCGTCAACATGGACATCGACTGCGATGGAGTCCAGGGCAGCTCTGCAGATGATGGACGCTGTGGCTCATCAGGCGACACACAATCTGTCACGTCTTTTCAAGACCAGCTCAAGTCGTATGGCACGGATCAGAAGGACCTAGATGCCAATATCCATCCTTACGTGGTGTTCGGAAACGTGGGTACGAAGAAGAACTGGCCAACTTTTGATGCGCAAAAGCACGGCATCAAGCCATTGAGTGTGATGGCTGTTGTATGCGGCGACAAAATGGTAAAACATTGCTTTTTCTTTGAATGCCGAACTATTGTTGACTTTGTTAGTTTTACGGCATCTGGGGCGACGAGAATGGCGATGATGGTGATGAAGCAATGGTCGGAGAGGCCTCCATCTCCCTTGCAACGGCTTGCTTCGGCGATGACATGAACGGCGACAATGGCCACGATGAAGATGATGTATTGTATATCGCCTTCCCTGGTAGCGACGCTGTGCCAGGAGAAGACGGTGCCGACTGGGACGCGAAAAACTTCAAAGACTTCGAAGAGAGTCTCGGTGGTGTTGGAGATAAGTTGGTCGCTCGAATCGAGGACACCGATAGTGGTGCCTCTTGCTTGTGGCCTGGTACATGGGGAATGGTAAGATATTAAACCTTTGTGTCATTTCAAGTTGTACTGACGTTATGGTAGGGTCTACTCGTCGCCTCGGCTATGGCTGCCATGGTGGTTTGAACACGAGAGGGTGCATGCATAGTGGGCTTCGACAGCTCATGATTCTGGAGATGTTTTGTACCACGTACCTAATGTTTGTTATATGAACTGTTAATATTGGGCATTGGGTTGCATATAGAAGAAACCATTATAGACATAGAATACCTAATTGTACACTTTTGATTCCTTCTGCTTCACGCTTAGCACTCGCTATGGTATACAATCGTCACACGTCATCACTGAAGGAACATAATAGTTTGGAAACCGCAAAAAACAGTAGACGATAGTATTAGACAAGGATATCTTCGTTCAACGAGTGTTTTATCTAAAATTGGATATAATAAGTGAGAAAGGAAAGCTTGTCGCAAGCGCTATGATCTACATATCTAAAGTGTTGAAATCGAACGCAACTCATACCGCCAAGGCGATTCCTAACAATGAAGTGAAAATAATAACCCAATTACCACCAGACTCTAATCCAGCACCAGCGTTCGTTGAGTCTTGCTTCGCACCCATGGCAGTCGGCCGCGTCGCCTCGACCCGAACGTTATCCGCCGCTTTGTCCTGGTCAGGAGTGTAAGTAAGTGGCTTAAACCCGCATGACCGCATGATAATATCCAGGTCTGTTTCGTTAGCAGCCGATTAATGAGTTTGAGCATAGAGACTCACTGTTTTGCTTGTGTCCATCAACGACGATGCAGTCTTGACATAGCGCTGCGATCTTGGCCACATCAAAGCTCTTATTGTTGCATACACATTCCCTCTCCGGATCATCCTCTGGAACTAATGACTGTGTCTGCAAACTAGCTCCCCAACTCGTCATGCTCGCTGTACCAGAATCACCCTGAAGAGACTTGGTAGGTTGAGTTACCGCCGAGCTGACAAACGATGAACTCATCGAGGTACGTCTCATCGTCATTGTCTGCTCCTCCGCACTGGTGTCGTCCGCAACCCATTTCATTGACGCCGGCGTAGACTTGGTAGTCGACGTTGACGTTGACGATGTCGTGCTCTCTTGAGGCTCGAACTGTGGAGGAAATGACGTCGGTGCAGCTCTGATGATAGAAAAGCTTCTCTTGTGCGGTCCGTCATCCTCGAGCGGTTCCACGGCCAACTTTGGAACCCACTCGGGGTTTGGCTGTCGCTTCGCGAGGCGATGGTGGTGAACATCACATTTTGCTGTCAACTCGACTATTGGGCCACAGATCGTCACGCACATGAGTGGAATGTCGTCCGGCGGCAGGACGTCTGCCATGGCGACTGCGACGAGGCCTGTAATTGCGGCCTGTCTGGCCCATGACAATCTCATCTCGACGAATAGCTGCCTCGATTGTGTCCAAGGTACGTACGTGATGGCGAGTCGACGATGGTGGCCCGTACGTTTAGGCCTCGAAGACAAGACAGGATGAGCCGCCTGCAGCAATTGAATAATAAGCGAAAGAATATAGAGGCACAGCCCCGGGATAACACAAAAGTGATACCAATATGGTTAAAGAGCGTATGGTAGCGAGACGAAGATGTCACCCGTTCAACAGGAAGACAA